GGGGATGGTTACAACTCTCTAGTATATGTATATACATACATTCATATACACACATACTATGTATATAAATATTGAATGAAAGCTGTGTAACAGGGTCTTTCTTTTAGGTGATATAGCTTCCCCCCCACCAAAGGACTTTGGGTCTGTGAAATTATTCATATCTAGGTGTTGGGAGCAATGCTACATAATTTTAGGGAAAAATCATTTGGTTAGCTCAGTTCTCCTGCCTACAGCCCAGCTATGGAATTCCGAGACATAATTCCATTTTGGCCTCCAGTCACAATTGAGACCTCAATGATCCGGTGATGCTCCAGGACAAGAAACATCCTGGGAGCTGAAAACATCCTGGGAGGAACAAACATCTGCTCAGTTCCTCGTTGTTCTTGGATTGTTACATTTTATTTACACAGGATGGACTGAACTCTCTGCAAGTCATATGTTACATTTGTTTCTCCCGATGTACTGAATAAAAGGTGGGGTAAACTGGGGACTTTTGTCTTTGCCGTCCACAGCAGCACTGATCAGACCCAAAGGTCAGCTTCTTAGTCTCATTTTTTTACCTTTCCTGTAATTCGCCTTGTGCTGCCTTGGCTCACAGGAGACTAGGACTTACTGAAGAGGTTCTAGTAACGTCCCCTTTCCCTGTTCCCTACATCTAGGAATAGTCAAGGGGCCATGGCTGTCTGTTGTGATGATTCAAGTCAGACTTTGCTTCACTAAATCTAGAGCTTTTCTGTTTATATGCTGCCCATCACTTTCAATTCTCTTTTTTCTTAGTACCGGGGATCAAACTCAGTACCTTGAACTTGCAAGGGAGGCGGTGGCACCACTGAGCTAAATCCCCGGCCCCCATCACTTTCAATTCTTGGAATACCGAAAATCAAATACCTTTGCCCCAAGGATGGTGGCATACACCTGTAGTCCCAGCACTCAGGAGGCTGAGGCAGGAGGACTGTCACAAGTTCAAGGCCAACCTGAACTACATAGTGAGACTGTTTCAAAAAAAAAAAAAATCAAATACCCAATAAATGGCAAGGTTCCTATGGTTTGGATTATTCTTATAATTGCTTAGGTGCTGTTGATCATTATAGTAATCAAGGGTTCCTTGTCTTTGTCAATTAAATGCTGCCATTTGACCCTCACAACACCAGGATCTTGTTACTGTATTCTGTTGAATTCAGAGAGCCCAGTAGTTCACACTGTCACTTTTGGCTCACAGAGAACAGTCACCTCAGGACTCATTAAGGATGCCAGGGCTACCTTCACAAATGCATTTCCCACCACCTTAGTGAAAGTAGAAACACTCAGGGAGTGGACAAGCAGGAAAATCCACTCTGACAGCCTTCCTTGTCCTTTGGATACTACCTTAGCAGCAGCTTTTCATCCTCAGCACTAACGATACTTGGGGTTGTATTACTCGTTTTCTGGGATGGCTGACCTATGCATTGCAGTATAATCAGCAGCGTCCCAGGTCTCTACACACTAGATGCCAGTCTCTCTGATGTCCCTCACCCAGGGTAACATCCAAAAATGTCTCTACATATTACACTCAGGTATATGTCCCTCAGGAATAAGACTACCCAGGATGAGATTTTCTTAGAAAATGATGTTTCAACTGACAAAGGAGTCTCAGTAAAATATAGGGGTTCAGGGACAGGACCCATTTCATTGATATCTGTTCATAGGTTTCTATCCCAATTGTCAGGCTCCTTTCAGAAACATAATTTTGATCATAATTTCATGTCATGCTTTCCTTCCAGAATGATGTTAATTTTTTAAAATCCAAATTTCCTAAAACTTGGGGCAGGAACAGTGGACATGAGCTCACCATGCTTTTTCCTGAAATGAACCCAAAATGCAGGTTGTTATCAATATTCATTCCATTATGGATTTTTTTTGTACATAAACCCAAAGGCATTTTTCCCAAAGTAACTGAGCAACATGATTATTCATTCAAATTGGCTCAGACTATCGATTATTTTGGGTCTTTATTCCAGATTATTCTTCCAAGATAGACTTTTTAAAAATCAAAAGTCTGGGCCGGGGATTTAGCTCAGTGGTTTCGCTGCCTGCTGCACAACCACAAGGACCCGAGTTCAATCCCCGGTACCAGAAAAAAAAAAAAAAATCAAAATTCTCATATGTTTGTTATTTTGTTGTTGTTCAATGATTTTTAAATCCTGGTACAGTGAATTACTGTTTAAATTGGGATACTATTTAAATAGTGAATTACTAGTGAAAAAAATACACATGAATCCATACACCATTTTCCAACATAAAGGACTCTTCTCTCCAAGATTGACCAAAGGCTCTCAATAGTTGTTTGTTTTTTCTATACTTGGGATTAACCCAGGGCCTTCACACTGAGCTATGTCTCCAGCCTTTAAAATTTTTTAAAATTGGAGACAGGTTCTCACCAAGTCACTAAGTTGCCCAGGCTGGGCTCAAATTCACAATCTGCCTGCCTCAGCCTCCCAGAGTGCTGGGGCTCTCAGTTGTAATTAAAATTAATTTTAATTTTAGTTTTTATTAGTACATGTTTGCAGTACATAATTATTACATTCACTGTGAAGAGTTGATATATGTACATAGTGCATCTTTTTTTAACATATCCTTCCCCTCCCCTTCAATAGTTTTAAACTTACTAGTTTAGTCTGTTACCTGTTGCTATAACAAAATACCAGAAACCAGATAATTTATAAAGCATAGTCTGTCTTATGGTTCTCAGTCTGGGAAGTACAAGAGCATGGGGCTGGGTTCTGGTGACGGCCTTGTTGCCTTGTTGCTGAATCATAACGTGGTGTGGGGTATCATGTGGTGAGACAGGAAGTGTGAGAGCATGGGCTCTTCCTCTTCTTAGGAAGCCACTAATGCCATCTTGGCACCCCTGACCTCATCTAACCTTAATCACCCCCCAAAGTCCCCACCTGCAGGCAAGATCAACTTATCAATTCGGGAGTTAAGTTTTCAACTTGTGAACTTTTGGGGGACACATTCAAATCACAGCACTCACCAGCAAAGCTTTATGATTTTTCCAATAATAAATATGCACCTTCTGTTCATACTCTTGACCCCGGGGGATGACATCAGGCAGCAGGACAGGAACTGTCCCAATGTCCCTGCCCTTTGGTGATCTCTCTATATGAAAAGTCATACACTTGCTTGTACAGACTGCAGTGATTGGGGTGGGGTGAGAAAATGACACAAAGTACAAATAACAAAATAGTCAGATTCCACCCTGCTATCTGCTGTGTGCCCTGGAGAATGGAGAACCAGGGGAATTAACTAAGCATTTACTCAGGCCCAGAAAGACAACTCTTCACCAAGCAGCCCTGCTTGGACTGGCTGGAAAGGAAGGCATCACCTCTCTACTGGGGGTTTCTGGGGCCAACCACAACTTCCTATGGACCCGAGAGGATGTAACAGGGGCTCCAGCTCCTGAACTGTTGTGCCTGTGAATGTCTGGGTCACTTGGGGCTTTTCAGAGCACCCTAAGAGTGTGCCCACATTCTGAATTAAGACAGCACTGGCCAAGGGTCTGGAAAGCATTCTGATTCTAGGGCATGTAAAGACCTTTTCCAAATCATTAAGAACAAATAAGGAACCAAACTTGCCAATAAACACAGGGGAAGTTTCTCACCTCAAGGGAAGATAGGAATGGAGCCTTGTGGTGACATGGGACAGGACACAAAGCAGGGACTCCCCCTCTGAAATTAGTGGCTGGGCATCGGGAAGAGATGGCAGTGGGTTCAGATCCAGGGAAGACAGTGGTCTTTGTCACCAGCACTGGACGGTCAGCTGACTGCTGTCCCCTACTTGGCAAACATGGTGCTGGCTTGGTGCCAAACACCACCTGCAGGGCCTGGCTGGGCCAGAGCAGTGACCCTGCAGCTCCCACCGGTGTCCGCCTTCAGCTCCCTCACAACCTGGATCAGGCATCTGTGCAGCCCCCTCTGGGCAGGGCCAGCTGGAGGGAGTATGGAAAGCAAAGTCACCAGTGCCCCCAGATCGCACAGAGGGGCCACAAAAGCACTGTGCGACGCTGACACCAAGAAGGGCAATCTTCATTTGTAAGCACCTGCTGCAAGACTCCTGGCCTCCAGGATGGACATCCCCATTTATCTGCACTGATCCCCACTTCACACCCACCTGTACTGCCTGACTTTGGGCTTGGGTCACACTTGGGGCCCTGCCCCACCAGAGGGTCTCGTCCCTTTAGCAAATCCTTTTCCATGTCACTCATCACGGCTCTGCCCCTACCCCAAGCACTGACACACTGTCATAGGAAAAGAAAGCTTCACAAAGGACAAGAAAATAACATGACTTTTGAAATTGGAAAGGCCTGACCTTAAAATGTGTTTGATTTTCTTGAAACACATAGTTCAGTATTTATAAAGTCCTTTATGTGGCCCTGTGGAATTTCATCAGCAAGTGCGTTCCTGCATCTTGCTTGCTTAGTGAGGCTTGACTGTGCCCAAAGGAAATTTGGCGGTGATGTGTGTGGCTGTGGGCGTTAGAGAAAGGAGGAGCCCCACTATGAGATGTCCCTGGTCCAGCTGGTGGGCACTGGGGGCCTTTTGGGCTCAAGGTGGGAACAGAAAACCCAAGGGACATTGACAAGCCTGGAGGGGATTGTCCCTGGAGCCCACAGGCCCATCCTTCTCTGGGGAAATCCTGGACTCCATCACCTCCCCCTGCACTCAACCCTGCGGATCCCAGGCCTGCAGGATGTGAGAGTAGTGTCAGGGCCACACCAAGCTGCAGGACACTGAGCTGTGGGTGGGCCTTCCTTCCTTCTGAATCCCACAGCTTTTCCCTCAGTCTGGCCCTAAAGGGAACCATGACTGTGGGCAAGGTGGTTCCAGCTGCACAGCCAGATCAGATGATCATGCTTCCCGGTCCTTCCTGACGCTGCCCACCCATACAGTAGCTCCTCACACAGGTGACCCAGGGCTCTGCTCTGAGGACACCGAAGCACCAGCACAGGTCAAGGCAACAGCAACCACCACCAGGTCTGTTGTTTATTGTCCTGAATGAACTATTCTAAATGAACAAATGCCCTGTTTACATCAGTAGAACAATTCCAAGGCTCTACTACTACAGCATTGCAACCTAGATTGAAATCATGACCTCAAGAAAACAGTAAAAGTCATGCATTCCTGCAAATGGTTTTACTGAAGCTGGGCTGCCAGCCAGCAACAAATGATGGTAACCAATGAGTTCAATGTAGAAATTTAAAGTTCAATCTTTACATACTAATTTGAGGCCACCTACAAGATGCACAGCAGTGTGCAATTTGCTGCTATTGTGTTAATGAGGGGAAAGAACACATGTATGTTATACATGCACTGTGCGTGGCCCATGACATGTGTCCTATGTGTTTTTATCCAACCCTAGGATGATACAGCCAGCCCTGGGCTCTCTGGTGCCCCTGAGGAGGGAGGGATGGGAGGGAGACTGCTCCACAGACTACTTTATACCTTTCAGCTCTGAACCATCTGCAATTATTATCTATTGAAAAATAAATTAAAAATTAAAAGTGAAATTCCCTCCAAAAACCCCAGCAATAAACCATTAAAAAGTATGCATTAAGTTCATCACATTCCAAGGTATATTGGGAGCAGCCCACATGGTACAAATGGCTTCTACTAATCAAAAAATAAAAAGATTTTTTTTTTTCATTACTGAGGATTGAACCCAGGGCCTTCACACTGAGCTGTATCTCCTGCCTTTTTTATTATTCTGAGACAGGGTCTTGCAAAGTCACCAAGCTGCCCAGGCTGGGCTCAAACTTGATGTCTTCCTCTTCCTGCCTCAACCTCCTAGAACACTGGGATTACAAGCATGCATCACCATGCCCAGCTCTAAAGAAAGAAAAAGAATCTTAAGAATTTCTCTCCAGCTCAGTTCCCAATCTCATATGCACACTTCAGAAACAGGACAGCCAGTGCTGAGTGGCTCCTTCTGTGAGGACCAGCAGCTGCCTTGGGCCTGACAGTCATCTGGGCTGCAGCTCTCAGGCTGGCTGAGCTGGTCCCCCAGCTCCTGGCTGAACTTAGCATCAAAGAGCAAGGTGACGTGGTGGTCCTCCCTTTCCAGAGCCAGGTTGTGGGCTGTCTGGCCTCGAGTGTCCACCTTCTGGAGGCTCGTGCTGTACCTGTGAAGGAAACCAGCAAACAGAAAGCCCTGAAGGGCTCCGCATAGGATTCTGAGTGCCTGATTCCTCCCTGCCTCGGAGGTCAGTCAGCACCTCCCAGCTGGGTCTCCCCAGCCTCCCTAGGAGGCCACCATGACTGTGGACCTGTGTGATTTCAACTGGCAGGCCCAGCATCAGTTCCCACTGCACCAAAATCCTACAACCTACAGCCAAATGTGGGCACACTCTCAGGGTGCTCTGAAAAGCCCCGAGTGACCTGGACATTCACAGGCACAGCAGTTCAGGAGCTGAGGCCCCTATAACAACATCTTCTCGGGTCCATACCAGGTCGCAGTGGCCCCAGAAACCCCTAGTACAGTGGTGACGCCCTCCTTTCCAGCCAGGCCAAGCAGGGCTGCTTGGTGAAGAGCTGTCCTTCTGGGCCTGTATAAATCCTTAGCAATATCAGACCAGCAAGTTCGATGTGACCAAAGGGGTCTTGGTTTTACTCACTGACCTATTTAACCAGGGAAACCCTCTCGAGCGTCCCCCCACCCCTTCCCTTGGAGAATACCGTGATGTGGTCAGCTTTGATACACAATGGAGTGCAAAAGTCTAGAAATATTCATTTTTTAATATGAGAAATCCACAGAAGTCTGGTTTGTAGCTGACTTAGTAAATGCTGATAAGTTTGGGAAATGTACTGAACATGGAGACATCTCTAGCCCAGAGCTCTTGGGCACCATCTGCACAGGGACTTGGTATGGGCAGCTCCTGCTTCTGTGTGGGGAGAGCAGTGTGCTTTCAGTGAGTTTGCCCGGCATGATGGGAAGATCAACCCAGCAGGCTGGCCTTCGAGGTCAGGGCAAGTGCATCTGGCTGTTTCTGCAGCTTTCCTGCTAAGGTCTGACCTGGTGAGGGAGACTTTGATGGCTGAAATGGAGGATGGGTTGGTATGTGAATCAGTAAAAGGCTCCTGAATCTGAGGTAGCAGGAGAGAGGGAAGGCATGAACCATGACTGGAAATAGCAACGAAGTAGGCAACTGAAGGCTGTGCTCTCCCAACCCACCATCTGCCTTTGGTACCCCCAACCCCAACACCTGCAGCCTAAGTTTATTCCAGTAGAGAAAGGGCATGGTGGCCTCCTCTCTGAAGAGTATGAGGTGAGCCCTTCCATTTCCCAGAATCCCCTGGTCCTAGCCTGGGAGTGGCGCCATCTCCCACAGAGCTCCTGGTTGACAGGCTCCACTGGGGTTTGGAGCTCCAACTCATCCAGCCCATTCCCCTTCCTCAAATATGGCAGACAATAAAGGGTCCTAGAGGTCTCAGAAAAATCTGCAACATCAAAGAGAAAAGCAAGCTAAACAAGAAATTTTTTTAAAAGACAAAAACCTAACTGGTCTCCTCAGAATGATTTAAGACAATATCACAAAAATACGAGCACATAAAAAGGAAGAAAACAGAACAAAAGGGAGCTCTTAGAAAGGGAAAATGGGACTGCTGAAATAAAAATTACTCAGTGGGAGGGATGAACAATTAAGTTAGGAGAATCTTTTAAAATATAGAAAGAGAGAGATGAAAAATACGGGCAAAAGGAAAACAAAGAAGACACAAGCAATCAATTCAAGAGCCCACCCTCCAACTAGTAGCTCCAGAAGGAAAAAACAGAAAGAGTGGAGGGGAGAAAAGATATCAAAGGGATGATAGAAAAAAACTGTCCTGAGCTGAAGAAAAACATGACTTTTTAGACTGAAAGGACTGGGTGAATAAAAAAATCTATAAATACACTTGTGAAATTTAACACCAAGGGTAAATGCTTCCAGAAAGAACAAACAAACAGCTCACAAAGGAACAAGAATTTGCAATAGAATTTTCATGGCTTATCCTGGATGGTAGAAATCAATACAGCAAGGATTTCCAAGGATCGAGGAAAAATTAGTTTGAACACAGAAATAACAGACAAGTTATTCATCAAGTGTCTCTGAAGCCAGAGATGCAGCTCTGTGTAGTGTGCTTACCTAGCAGGTGTGAGGTCCCGGGTGTAGTTCTCAGTGCTACAATCAAAAACCTCAGAAAGTTTATATTCATTCTCTCTCTCTGGATCAAACTCAGGGCTTCACACGTTAGGCAAGCACTTTACCACCCATAGTCCCATGCATCCTTTCTGAAAAAGCAGCTTGAGGACACACTCTTGCTTGATGGGAGTCAAAACCAAGAAAGAGATGGATGCCAATGAAAAGAAATCCCAAGAGAAAAAAAAAAAGAAAAAGAAAAAGAAATCCCATGAGAACAACTGTGCAGTCAGCAAGAAAAGCTGCCAGGTCAAATCTGTGTAGAATGTGTACTCTGAAAAGAAGGTTTCTAAAACGAATGGCACTTAAAAAGAAAGAAAGCAGATGGGATTGTGGATGTGAAGGCATGTTCTTTTCCAAACTGTGGTTGAGGGGAAGGATTCAGAAACTCCAGGAAAATCAAAGACTTAGAAAAATTGCACAAATAGCTGGGAGTGGTGGCACATATCTGTAATTCCAGCACTTGGGAGGCCAAGGCAGGAGGATCACCATGAATTCAAGGCCAGCCTGGGCTACATAGTGAGTTCAAGGCTGGTATGAACTACATGGTAAGACCCTGTCTCAAAAACCAACCCCCCTAAAAAACATAGAAAACCCCCAAAACAAAACCCAAAACAACAACCACAAAACTGCACAAATTGTTCTTGGTTTGAGAAAGAAAATGAAATGTGACATACTTCTGAATGACTTGTAGAGTGTATGGAGAATCTGACATTTCTGCTAAGAAAATTTTACTTTGAGCAGCCTAAGGATCATGAACAATCTTACACCAAGAAAATAAAAACCCAGCACACCACTTGGTTTTGCAATGAAAGTATTTATAGTCCTATTACAATGCAATTGGCCTTGGTTGCTTTTGAATTGTTGCAACCAGCCTATGGACAAAGGATAGAAGTTTATTATGTTAACACGAGTGGAGACAACTGGGTCAGCCTTGTAGACGCTAACTGTGTGCTAGTGAAAGTTGTGAGGTGCGGTGAGAAGGGAAGAAGCGGTAATGGTAGGGCGTACTATCCTTCTTTTGCCCACAAAGCAGCCAAGAGCTCCCACTGAAAAGTGATAGTCGAAATACAGCACACAATCAAAACATGAAGGCAAGGCAGAAATGACCAGGTGAGGGCAGCAAGCAAATCATCATCCCTCAAGCAGAAATCAGCAGAGGACGAGCTAAATCCGGAGTCCGGATTAGGTGTGTTGTAGTGATGGAAATACACCCGTTATTATTGGCTCCCTGCAAAGTTTAAACATTTAAATGTAGCTGTTTCTGTCTCTGGAGATAAGGAAGTCGGGGCAGCAGAGGGTGGCTACATCCTCCCACAGGATCTGATTTTTTTTTTATCATGTGCACACTTTACTTTGATAAAATTAAAGTTATTTGGTATGTATGAATTATTTTCAGGAAACATAATTTTAAAAATCTTTCTGCCAGATGTATCATAAATAATCTCGCTCTAGACCAAAATGGAACATGCTGCTAGGGAACAACTTCGCTGCTACTACTCTGTATCTAAGCAAGTCTGTCCTGACTACTTCCAGCCCTGGTTGGGCCAGGTGCTTAGCAGTGTTTTCTGACCTCGCCCTCTGTTCTGCCACCTTTATTTTCTTGTAGCACTTGGCATTCTCTGAATTAGATTCTTGGCACTACAAACAAACAAAAACCTCAGAAAGTTTATATTCTCTCTCTCTTTCCGCCACACACACCTCTGTCTCTTGTCTCTTTCTCCAGTGAGTTAACAAAATGTATCACCATTTATAAAGTATAAAAGTGACTAAATTAGGCAACCCAGCAGGCCATTTAAAAATTTTTGTTTGACCCGGCCAGGAAAACAGAAGCTGCAAAGCTGGTGTAAAGGAAGAAGTTGATCAGAATGGCTGAGGGTTCAGTGGGCAGGGGAGGTGGCTCAGAGTCCACCACAGAGCCCTAGGCCGAGCTCCACCACAGGGGGCCCAGCTGTCCCTCCCACAGTGCAGTTCACATTTCACTTACAGCCCCCACTGCTGGTCCACATCCACTCCTCTCCCAGTGAGAACTGGAATGGCTTCCTGGTGCTTATTTAAGGCAGCAGCAGATCGGCCCGTGCTGTCACTGCAGTCAGGATCTGTATCCTGCAGCACATGGGGAAGGAGGAGCTTGCTACAAAACCCTGACCAAAGAAGCCTCCTGTTACTACCCTATTAAGCATAACACAGGTCCTGTAAAGAAATGACAGAGCCGGGAGTCGGGATTTAGCTCAGTGGTTCCGCCACCTGCCTCGAAAGCATAAAGTCCCGAGTTCAATCCCTGGTACCCCCCCCCCCCCCCACAACAAAAAAAAGAATGACAGAGCCAGACCAGAGGGTGCATGCCTGTAATCCTAGCACTCTGGGAGGCTGAGGCAAGAGGATGGGAAGTTTGAGCCCAGGCCAGGCAACTTAGCAACTTAGTGAGACCTTGTCTCTAAATAACAAAAAAAATTGGGGAAGTAGCTCAGTGTGAAGACCTTGGGTTCAATCCCCAGTACTGGGGAGAAAAAAAAAGGGAAGGAAAGAAAAAAGAAAGAAAAGAGAGGAAACTAGGTTGACTTTAGGTCAAAGGAGAGGAGAACCAGGAACTTTAAGACCCAACTTTACTGTAATGGACCCAGCTGCCAAGGCCAGAGGAGAGAGGTCCCTGCATCAGCAGGGGCGCCACCCTGAGCACTTTGGTTTCTTTGGGAAAGTAGGTTGAAGGTCACATGGGGTCATGGACCAGGGACTCTCTGTCCAGCCTTGTGCCTGTTACTTGGGCTCATCCGTGCTTGTCCAACTACTTTCTTTGCTATTAAAACCAAAAACGGTAATATATTACTGCAAAGCTTTTGACGAGCCATTCTCAAGGTGGACTACAGGGGTGGGGCTCCACCGTCTGGCCTGGGTTTCCTGCTCCGGCTTCTGGCTGTGGCTATGCTCAGGGCTCACCTTGTCCAGCAGCTGTTCAAGCACAGAGACTCTTTTGTCCCCTGCCAGGCCCACTTCTTCCACCCGATGTCTGCTTCTAGGCTGCAGGATTACAGAACAAGTTACTTCCACCACTCCCAAAGCCCATGCCAATGAGTCCAAGGGCAACACTTAAGGCCAGCCCTTCCTCTCCAAGCTCAGTGCAGCACTGACCACACTGGGGGACGAGTGTGAGAGCACACACATGTGTCTGTGTATGAGTGTTGTGTGTGTGTGTGCACATGGTCTTCAAGGGCCAGCAGCACAAACATCCATATCTAACATCAACCTTGCTGGTCTCCAAAACCTTGCCTTGGGCACAGGTCTGCGCTGACCTTGTTGTATGACTGTGAGAGACCTTACAGACACCCAGGAACCCCACTGCAGCTTCATTAAGCACGTTTCAGGAAAAGCAGCCAGGTGAACCCTAAAATGGACTGTTCAGTGCCCACGGCCCGCCTGTGTGTGACCATTTGGAACATGTGCTCCCCTGAGAAGTGAGTGATTCGACAGCCAGCCTCTTGCTCAGAGAAAAGAGCTCTCATTTATTTATCACCACAAGTCTGAAGAATTTTCTATTTTCTATTTTTCTTTCCTATTTTTAAGATGCTCTGAATTCTTCTTTATATATAGTTTTTCTGTGGGATTTCAAATGCTGGAAGGGTGAAGGAAACAGTCCACAAAGTAGGACGCATTCCTTTCTGTAATATTCTGCCCTCGGTCCCCAAGACAACTGCGGTGGTCACAGAACCAGCACTGCCCAGGTGTTGAGTAGAGAGACAATCCACTCCTTCTGCTCCTGTGAGTCCATGTTGTGGGTCCCCCCATTCTCTGCCCCTGCTCTCTGAACACAAGCTCCCCTACTTCTAATCCCTAAGGCTCCAGGAAGGGCAGGGGGGCTCTTTATACCAGTTGTGTCCCTTATGGGAAAATGTGTAGCATGTCAGCTTCATGAAGTTGAGATATCTCTATCTTCGGCTCATGTTTTCTTTTCACCATCTAAAACCACGACTGGAGTATGTGTGCTCAAAAGTAACCACTGAATTAGTGAATGAACCTCAGCCCCTAATGCAAATGAGAAAGTAAAGGGCCCATAAGGGGACTCAGGTCACATTGGTGGAAATGGGAGGAATCTCAAAGCTGTAAACTGCTAAATTCGGGGAGCTCTAACTGGATAAAGAAAATGTGGTTTTTTTATTAGAATGGTGTACTACTCAGCCATAAAAAATGAGAAATTAGAGATATTTATAGCTAAATGGATGCACATTGAGGCGATACTCTTAAGTGAAATAAACAGGACACGTGTAAATACCGAATAGTTTCTCTAGTGTGAGAAACTGAAAGTGTAAATAAGGACTAAAAGGTGTAATAGATAATGTGAAATAGGAGGAAAAGGAGCAAAATGGAGGGGGAAGTGTGGGGGGTGGGGAAAGGAAAGAAGGGAATGGAATTAATATGAGAAAATGAAAAAATGGAAACAAAGTCTTTGTAAATAGGGAGGGATGGAGGGGTTGAAGGGAGGGGAGGGGAAGGGGTAAAAATAAGGACCAAGATGGATTATGTAAAGGTGCAAATTTCCAATGATGAATGTCATTATATTGTATACCTAAAATGTACCAATAAAATAATAGTTAAAAAAATTCGGGGAGCTCTAAACTTCTCTTTACTCATTACAATATTTCAAACTGGGAGAAAGTGGAAAAGCATACAGAATCATATGCCTTTGAATGTGAAACAGTTCTAAAGTCTTCCTCCCAAATCGAGTGGTGCTGATGGACATAGGTGTGTTATTATTAGAGGATAATTGTGAGTAGCTGAGATCGAGGGTGTCTGTCTCCTTCACTCCCATGTGACAAGGGAGGAGGCTCATGCTCTCTGCTTAAGCCCTGAAAGGACAGGTTCACCCAGCGAGGGCTCCTACTGGGGCCCAAGGAGGGAGAAAGGCCAAACCCAGACCCTGAAATCACTGGGTAACGAGAGCGTGTCACAGCACCAACACCCTGGCCACCAGAGTTAGGACCCTCACACTGGCAATGCAGGAGACCCAGATGCTTTCTTTGCCAAATGCCTCCGGGGAAGCCTGTCCCACAGAAGCACTGTCCACCCACACAGGGACTTTGGGCCCTCACACCCGAGCCAGGCGCAGGTGCTAATCTAACCAGCCCTTCACTTGTCAAATGACCAGGCAACCAAGGACCCAACCAAATGCAAGACAGAGAGAGGCAGGCAGACAAGGCTGACCCCAGGATAAACAGGCGGACCAGGAAGCTGATGAGACACCAACTCTAATTCACAATCTGGGGATATTTTAAAGGATTCTGCTCCCATGAAATACAAATATGCCATTATAAGAAATGAACAGATAACAGAAATATTCCATTTAGAAAATATCAAAGTAAATAGAAAACGACAGTCTGGAGGAACAAGCCACCAAGGCCAAGGAGCACACGTACCCTCGGCTGCTCTTTCTTTATGTGAAAGTTTTTGGTTTTGATGTTCCTCATCCTCTTGACCTCAGAGTCTGAGGGACTCTGGCTGTAGTCACTCACTGAAATGACAGAGACAAGAACCACAATAGTCCCTCCCCACTCCCCCCCCATAAGGAGCTACTGCCACACCCCTTGAAGGTCAGAGGGACAAAGTGGCCTTTATGGAACCTTGCACTGGACCTGGCTGGCAGAGGGACTCCTGAGCCACCCCCCTGTCCAGGAGCCAGCATGTGAGGGGGAGGATGGACACAGAAGAGACTTCAACTTTCAGGCTTCGAAGGGCCCATGGCCCTCACCCCACCATGACTGTCCCCAACCCCATGAAGGTTTCAAACATCCCACCTCTGACTTTAGAGAAGCCAGACAAAGGAAATTTCTGGGAGGTGACAGTGAGATTCGTGATACGGCTGGAAAGTTGGTAGCAACTCTCTGCTATCCTGGGACATCTGTGAGTCTCTGGCCTATGGCTGGAAAATCTCTGGGAGGGCAGGACTCACCCAAGCTGGACCTGCTGCCGTAGAGGCCATCACCACCCTCGGTGATACTGCTGAGAAAGCGGTTGCTTAAGTCCATTGCTTTGCTGAGGTACAGGTTCTGACAGGGAGAAGAAATCCAAGCACAGGCTGAAGAGGCGACTGTGTCTCCATGGGAAGAAGAGGCTTCCTGCTGACCTGGTCCTTCCTGGGGGCCCAGGCCTGGGCTGCCCTCCTGCCTCCTCCCTCCCCAGGCCACGTGGCCTTCCGCCTCCTCCTCAGCTCCTCAGCTGCCCTCCATGGGCTCTCTCTGCCATGGTATCCCAACAGGCCTCTGCCAGTCACCATCACCCCATGCCTGAAGAGCTGTGTCCCTCTCCTGGGATCCTGTCAGTGTCCTGGAGTCAGGGTAGCATGTGGGGGAGTTCTATGGCCTCAGTGAGATTCCTGGTTCTGTCACCTACTAGCTTAGTGGCCTAGGAGGAAGCAGGTTCCTTAATTTCTCCAAGCCTCAGTTTCCTCACTTATGAAGTGGTCGTGCCTGTAGTCACATTTCATAGTACTGTACTGGGACACTGTTCCTTTCTATTGATGACACAGAAGTGTTTCCACAGTTCCCAAGTTGAGTCCATTCACAAATGAGTAAATTCTGAGGCTCTCCTTACCTTGTTGGAGACTTGAATATAATTCAGCCTGATGCTAACTTCACAGCCATCTTCATGGACAGTGGCAGAGATGAGCTTTTAGAAGAATTTTAAAGAGAATTCACAACTGTGGGTACTTGGACTCATTGACTTGCACCATAGTCCAGAAGATCTGAGATGTTAAGTTCTAACTTTAATCAAATTTCTTTTCTCTCTTTCCTCAACACAGACTTTCTTTCCGTTTTTTTTTTTTTTTTGGTACCGGGGATCGAACTCGGGACCTTGCACTTGCAAGGTAGGTGCCGGAACCACTGAGCTAAATCTCCGGCTCCTTTTTTTTTTTTTAAATGGTAATGGGACTCAAACCTAGGGAGCACTGAGCTACCTCTCCAGCCCTTTTGATTTTTTTCATCAAATATTAACACAAAAGAAGGTAAGATAAGAGAAACAGGGGAACAAATACTTGATCAAATAAATAGAAAATATTCAAGGCCAGCCTGAACTACATAGGGAGAGCCTGTCTCAAAACAAACAAACAAACAAACAAAAAGATAAGTAGAAAACAAAGAACAAGCCAGTAATCTTAGCTACTTGGGAGGCTGAGGTAGGAGGATCTCAGGTTTGAGACCAGTCTGGGAAACTTAGTGAGACCCTATTCAAATAAAAATTTTAGGCCGGGGATTTAGCTCAGTGGTTTCACTGCCTGCTGCGCAAGCACAAGGACCCGAGTTTGATGCCCAGTACCAAAAAAATAAAATTAACAAAATAAAAATAAAAATTTTAGAAAAGGGCTGGAGGCACTCCAGTGGTGTATTAGCACGTGGCACTTATAGAAAAGGACTGGAGATGTAGCTCAGTGGTACAGCACTTGCCTAGCATGCACAAGGTCCTGGATTCAACATACACACATACACATACACATACACACACACACACACACACACACACACACACACAGCTGGGTGTGGTGGCACATCTCCATAATCCCAGCACACAGGAGGCTGAGGCAGAAGGGTTATGAGCCCAAGGTCAGGCTGAGCTACACAGCGAGACCCCCCATCTCAAAATATAAATAAATATTCTCTGAGATCTGCTCTTACTGAAGTGGATCAAGGATGAAAATAGCCAAATGTGAGCATCAGAAGACCTCCCAGTCTCCCTGATGCATGGTCTCTATAGTTCTGGGAAGCAAGTCTGTACAATAAAACAGTAAGGGCTATGTCCAATGTGTGTGTGTGTGTGTGTGTGTGTGTGTGTGTGTGTCTGTCTGTCTAATCATTTCTGAGTAATGATAAGAAAAGGTTTTACTACTGTCCTTTGTAATTATAAAGGTTTTTATACTTGACCTGAGCTCAGAATTAAATAAACAAACAAACAAACAAATAAATAAGGGCCAGGGATTTAGCTCAGTGGCACCACGCCTGCCTTGCAAGCACAAGGTCCTGAATTTGATTCCTGGTGGGGGGGGACAACAACAAGGAAAAGAAAAGAGAAAAATGGCAGACCCATATTTAGCCATATCTATAATTCCACTATTATAACTGACCAAAATACTTCAATCAAAGGATAGATTTTCAGACTGCATTAGAAAATTTACACGTTCTTCAAGAGACAAACTATAATCTTTTTTTTTTTTTTGGTACCGGGGATTCAACTCAGGACCTTGTGCTTTCGAGGCAGGCGTGGTGCCACTGAGCTATATCCCTGGCCCGTGAGACAGACTTTAATCAAACCATGAGACTGGATGTCATCACCTTGGAAAAAGTGACCTGTTAATTGAGGGGGGCAGGCCTTGGCACCAAAGGACAGTTGTCATAACTAAAGGACAATATCACAGCTGAGCAGCTTTCTCTGTAACGGGTAGAATGAGTTTAGACTCAAACAGAGGAGGGCCGGGGATTTAGCTCAGTGGTTCCGCCACCTGCCTTGAAAGCACGAGGTCCCAAGTTTGATCCCCGGTACCAAAAAAAAAAAAAAAAGCTATGAACAGAGGGTAGATCATGTTTTCAAGAAGGGTCAGATAATAAATATTTGAGATCTTGTGGGCCATGAATTCTCTATCACAAAATTTAATATTGTGTTGTATACAAAGCAGCCACAGATAACATATCAATGAATGGCTGTAGCTCTGGTCCAGTTTTATTTTGTAAAACTGAGCAGCAGGTCAGATTTGTCCCAGAGGGCAGAGCTTGCAGACCTCCAAATGAGACTGAAGAATTTATAAAGTGCCAAAACCACTTACCAAAGGAAACGGAGCAATACTTGAAAATTAGGCAGTTTTTGTGGCCCAGTGTGGTGGTACACACCTGTAATCCCAGTACTTGGAAGGCTGAGGGAGGAGGATCGCCATGAGTTGGAGGCCAGCCTGAGCTACACAGTGAGTTCATGGCCAGCCTGAACTACATAGTGAGGCCCCGTCTCAAAAATAAAAAACAAAAAACACAAAGCAAAAAACCCAACCAAACAAAAACCCTCAAAAAGAAAAGAAAAGTAGGCAGTTTTGATGACCTATTTGGTAGCAGAGGAGTGGATAGCTGATTTGAAAAGGTTCCTTTAGGTCTTGGGACAAACAGAGGCAAGGTTTGCACATTGCATTGTGTTCTCATGATGGTGATGCAGTGCTAAACGAAGGGCACGGGGCTTGGGATCTGATGGATCCACTTTGAATCTGAATCCTCTGAGACCCAGCAGGGCAAATGCAGCCAGGTCACCAAACCTCTCTGGGCCTCAATGATCCTGGGTGTCACATAAGGCTTGTTCTGCACACCCACTGCTATGCAGAATGCCTTGCCACTGATTATGTTCACAGGCTCACATGGCCTCGGCTGGGAAGACTGACATGGGTAGAGGTAGTGGGAAGCTTGGGGGCCAGAAACATGTAAAGTCTGGCACTAATCTGCCTGGCCCCTGAGCTGGGATGACTTGAGGACTGGGTGCAGCTCGGGCCATACACAGGCCCCCTCATGTGGCTGCCCCAGGAGGCTTGTGCTTCTCTCAGCAGGGAGACTGGGCTACAGGACCTGCTGGAGGTGGGGGTGCTGAGCAAGAGAACCCACATGGCCTGGTGTGACCAAGCCCACAAGCCCCATAGCATCTCTCCCACCATGCTCTATTAGTTGACCAGTCACAAACCCATTCAGATTCATGGGGACATTTGCTTGAAGGGCAGACTGTCAAAGAATCTATGGTTATTTTTAATAAAAATGGCCACAAAGGTAATACTCTTGCTTTGCAGGGTTGCTATGAGGACTGGGCTGATGGACACAATGCTGTTACAGGTGCACTGCAGGATGGAAACTCTTACACTCAAATACTAGTGCTGTTAGATATTAACACAGCATGTGTTTTAAATGTACAGTGCAGCTGCACTAAATGTTTTGGGGTTTTTTAGCTCCAGCCATTGGGATTTCTGCCATATTATGTGGTACTGAAAGCATGAGATGTTCAGGATCTTCCTATCTTAGGGTGGGTGCCACAGAAGCAGACCCTGAGACAGTCATCAAGAGTCCATGATTATCAGGGCAGACAGCGAGGAAGGGCAGAGGGCAGAGCAGGAAACGCAAGAAGTCAAGCAAGCCCCGAAGGAAGCCAGACCCCTGGGTGGCCTCTCACCTACCTTCCCCATCCTGGGCTCTGAGACCAGGGCCCGGAACTCAGGGTTGTTCTGAGTGTAGGACCGGAGGTGAGCAGAGATGTGATCCAACTGTTTTCTCCAGTATCCTAAAAAAAAAAAAAAGAGAACCCAGACATACAGATAATTCTCCTGAGTCTGAGAAAAAGATGGGTCATGTGGGACATCCACTCTCAAGGAGGCTATTTTCCTTTCCCAAACCTTGCCATGCTTTTTCCTTATTGAATCTCACTTGTGCACCAGAATTTGTTCCATCCTCCCCTCTCCAGCTTCTTATTATACATGATGAGTCGTAGAATATTGGAAGATTGCAAAAGAATATACTTTGACTGCCACACATGAAACCCTTCTTTTTCTATTATTCTTTCACATTTAACTTATATAATTTTTGAATATACACTTTGGGTTTGGCAAATGTATACATCCCGATTAACATACAGAACATTTTCATCACTCCAAACAATCTCCTATGTCCCTTTATGGTCTGCAAGGGGCTTGGACACATTTGGCTTAGTTGCCACTGAAGGATGGAAGGCACCACACGAGGCCAGATGCTGGCTTCTTGTGTGCTAGTGGATGTTGCAGAGGCCTTGGGTGCTGCACACACTGGTGGTGTGGGTCAAGAGCCATGGAAAGGATGGGCCATCAGCTGACCACACACCATACACCACATTTTGTAACCCATACTACACAGTGCTGGATTCTCAGTGGAAGTAGAAGCAGAAGTCTTCCATCTTCGGGCCTAATCCCAGAACTGTCACGTTGTCTCCTTTACTATTTCCTATGGGTAAAGCAAGCTACAAGGCCAGTCCATATCCCAAAGGAGGGGAAACAGCCATGCCTTAAGGCCAGGAGGGATGGGATCTACCACAGCACTGATGGAATTACAGGTGTGCGCCACCATGCCTGGTTAGGGAAATATTAATTAGAAGAATAATGAGATGTCACTTTGTACCCACAAGGATGACAATAATGAAAAAGTCAGATCATTACAAGTGACAGCAAAGATGCGGAGATGTCAGAGCCTTCATGCACTGTTAGTCAGGATGGAAAATAGTACAGAAGCTGGAACACAGCCCAGAAGTTCCTCAGAAAGTTCAACATAAGGTTACCATGTAACCCAGCAACTGTACTCCTGTGCATGACCCCAGGAGAAACGGAAACAGCTACAGAAAAGCAGATGCTCACAGCAGCACGATTTGTAAGAGTCAAGAGGTGGGAACAAGTCCCATGTCCACCAACTGATGGGTGGATAGATGGGATGGCATGGATTCATGCGTCATCTTCTATGGGCATAGAAAGAAAATGAAGTACTGGGCCTGCTGCAGCATGAATGAAGCAGAACACTGCACTGGGTGGGAGAAGCCAGCTACAGAGGGTCACCTATTACTCGTTTCCATCTGAGGGCAATGTCTAGAAGAGGCATAGCCCTGAAGCCCTAAAGACAGAGTGGGTTTGTGGTTCCAGGCCACGGGAGGTGGGACATGGGCAGTGACACTTAAAGAGCATGGTCACTTCTGGGGGGGACACAAGTGTTCAGGAGCTAGTGGTGCTGGCCGAAGGGTGCTGTTGATGGAATTCACATCACTGAATCGTACAGTTTCTAATGGTTGACATGGCAGCTTTCATAGTGTGTGGATTCTTTCTCAATTGAAAGACAGGAGCTGGGGTGGTGACAGCCATGGTGTAGACTCAGCACATGTCTACTGTGTGGACAGGGCGAAAGGGCTCCACGTGTGCTCTGTGATTGGCGAGCTAGACACAGGGTTACGAGTTAAAATATCAGAGTGTTGAGGGCTCAAGGAAGAGCCCAATTCTTCACACAAAGAAAATGACTTGAAAAGGGAAATGTAAGGGACTTATCTCCTGCACGTACATAAACACTCACTAAGGAGAGACACGCGGGTCTCCTGGCCCAGAGGAGGCCTCGCTGGGCCTCACCTCTGCCTGGGCTGATGGCCATGAGTGGGGGCATGCGGCCACGTGTCTCCACCTCCGGCTCCTTCAAGGCCAGCTGCCTGCCAGACGGGTAGAAGAGGCCCACGGTCTGGGTGCCCACATGCTTCTTAGGCCCAGCATCAGCGCTGGGCAGAGGGACAGTTAGGGGTTGCCAAGCATATCGGGGCTAGAATGAGGCAGAAAACAGTTTTTTAAAATTAGGATATCATTTAGTTAATCATCCACCTCCATTTTACTCATGCAAAGGGATTCTAATCAGAAAGAAAAGCACCTCCAAAACTCTGTTCTTTCAAAGACATCCCTGCCCCAACTTCCTGGCTTCCATTTTTTTCCTGGCAATTCTCAGCCTGATCCATGAAGCCAGCCCCTTTTCTTTGTTCATTTATTGTCTCAAATTCCTCTCCTGCCCAGAGCCTAGGCCATATCTATCCTCTCAGTTCCACAATCCAATGGAACATAGACTTCCCTCTGCAACTACTCAACACCTGATATTTAACTACTGGGCACCAACATTTTCTCTGGTATACTCTTGCATAGGGATCTGGGGGCCTGAGAGGATCACCATGTAAGGTTGTATAGGCTGTATACTGTACAATGTCACGTATTCTAAAGAGGTGCCATTCACATGCTGGACAAGGTATATATTTGCATATTAGTACAATTTTTCTGGGAGAGGTAAGAAAATGTCTAACAAATTTCATGTACTATAATCAATTTCCAATAGATGGCAGTCAAGTGTCTGGAGAAAAGACCACCTTTGCTTCATTTACACAAAGGCATCATACGGGCTAGTAGTGGTCCCAGGAATCTTCTAATCTGGGTCACAAAGGCCATGAACTCCCTAAAACTGTGTGGAAGGTGCTGAGCACATGAGCATTCCCTCCAGTAACTGTTAGCTTTCAATTCTTTTAATACAGAGATAAGAAGAAACCTGGAAAATCTTTATGGAGATTAGAAAATTCATAAAGGCTGGGAGGAAGCTGGATGTTAGAGCTCAAGTGCTTGTGCCCATGACCGTGTGACGTTTTCCTCAAGCTCTGCCCAGGTGCTGTAAACAGCCAAGAGCAATCGTCAGTACATGAAGTAAGCTTTCTGCACTACAGAAGAGCAGTGGAAAGGTCACAAGACGCAACCAGTACAACTCAAGGGAGGTACATTCTATCTTTGAGATCCACTCAACAACACTACTGCCATTCTGCCTGTTGCCTGCAAACACTAGTCAACTTTAATCTACAACAGCCAAATGTATACTTACTTAGATCTTCGATTTTTGAAGAAATTTGCATGTTTAAAGCCTAAATTGATTGAGTGTAGCCACATACACATCTAGTTGAAAGTTCATGAGGACAGCCTAAAGAGTCTGGCTCTCTTGCCCTGGGCTGCTGAGTCAGGGGTCTGTGTGCAGAAATTCAGAGCAGTGCCCTCCCCTGGCACCAGTTCTGACCACAGTGGAAACCTCACCTGAGAAGTGGGGTGCGGCTCCCCAGCTAGGACAGTCGGGCTGCCATCCAGGCTCTGTCTTGCCATGGAGTTCACACAAACGCCACAGGTAGCACAGAATTGAGCAGATGGGTGATTGCTGGCCCCACATTTAGGGCAGATGGAGTGGCTAGCAGAAAGGCCAAGCTAGAGGAGAGAGGACATTTTTGTATTAGAGCTATAATTTGCCCACAAAAATTTTTTTTATACCATACTAGCCAAAACAACATGTGCCCATGCCCTTTGACCCAGCAACACCACCTTCCAGAATTCATGCTATGTGTGGACAAGTACTCAAAGAAATATATTCTGGGGCATCTCTTAGAGCAGTAGAGTTTCAGAGGAAATAACAGGAAATAACCTATGTGTCCAGCAATAGGGGATGGGTGACCTAAAGGCATCATGGTTTGTACACACAGACATGGGATATTATGACGCTACTGGAAAGAATGAAGACATGTTGCTGGAGGAAAAGGATTGGATCCTTGTTTATGGTAACACCAGCTCATTTATAAATGTACTAATAACGAGCAGAGCAACTCAGAAACTGAGTGGTAGCCATTACTTCTGGGGAACGGAACAGTGGAGCTAGATGAGAAGGGAGATAATCCCTCCTCTAAACCTTTTGAAGGTACTCAGACAAATAAACATATAACTTTCCATGTTTTGTTTAAAAGGTAGGGAAAACACGAGTCATAAAAGAACAAATGTCAATGGTCAATAAATGAGTACAACAATTTAACCTCAAAGAAATGTGAGTCGAAATGGCAATGATAGACAGTGCTCAGTGTAAGAGAATCTGTCATCTGTCTCCAAGCTCACAGTGGCCACAAGAGAAGAGCCTGGCCTCCTGCAGGAAGGGGGTGCTGCACTACCCACCTTGGCTCCACACCAGTCGCAGAAGATTGCCTCCCCGAGGTTGTGGCAGCCACATCTGCACCAGGAAGTGGTCTCCCCTTTCTGGGTCAGCAGAGGGGGTGCTTTCTCGCCACTGTTCCAGGACTGGTGAACAAAGTGGCATAGATAGGCAGGATCAACCCCATATTCTCACACTCCCACCCAATCCAACAAAGGAATAAACAATGCAAGCCCCCAAACAATGCAAGCCCCCAAACAATGCAAGCCCAGGAATATAGAAATTTTTTTGCCAAAGAATAAATCTATGGTGCTCTTCACCATTTCATGAATTAATTCACACACTCCTTTACAGATCACAGGAAATCACAGACACGGAGAGTCTTCAATCTCTTGCATGTCAAAGGCAGTGAGCCTGCTGTTGATGTCACAGAGGAACAGCAGTGCATGGAGAACTCGACTACCTACCATACCCTAATGGAGGGTTAGCCTCTGTCCTTTGGGTTCTGGTTTCTGTGGGAAATGTGGGTTTATTTTTTACCCCTGACACATGAAAAGAATTTTCTTATTTTGGAAGGGAGACCAAATTGTTTCATGAGGACCTCTGAGACTGCTGGGTAGGCTTGGATTGGATCTTTGCTCCTGCCACATAATCCCATTTGCCTAGGAAGATATTTCCCCATTTCCCAAGTGTGGACAACATTTGAGAGTGATAGCTGCCTGGTCACCTACCATGTGCTGGTGCCATTCTGAGCACTGTCCCTATACGCTCTTGTTAACCTGACAGCAATCTGTAAGATGAGTGTCATCACTGTCCCATTTTACAAAGTGGGGGCACAAAGGGGTGAGACCCAAGATTTAAGCCTAGGTCCCTGACATGAAAAGCCTTACTGTCATCCAGCATCGTACATAGCCCCATCACTGTGACAGCTCCTCGCAGGCCTGTGGACGACTGATCACAAGTAAGCACCCAGGGGCCAGGGATTTAGCTCAGTGGTTCCAGCGATTGCTAACCAAATGCAAGGTCCCAAGTTCAATCCCTGGTACCAAAAAAAAGACCTAAAAAAACCCCCAAGTTGCCGGGGATTTAGCTCAGTGGTCTCACTGCCTGCTGCGCAAGTGCAAGGACCCGAGTTCAATCTCCAGTACCAACAAAACAAAACAAAACAAAACCAAAAAAAAAGCTTTTGGGCCGGGGATTTGGCTCAGTGGTTCCGGTGCCTGCCTCGCAAACGCAAGGTCCCAAGTTCGATCCTCAGTACCAAAAAAAAAAAAAAACCCAAGTAAGCACCGGGGACATGGGACACAGGCTCAGTCTTCATGCATCAGTGCCCTGCCCTGACATCATGTCTGGTAGACCCTGATTTCTTCAAAAGGAAGACTGTAAGTTCACATCTGGCATGGTGACATGTGGGAGTCATTCAGATATTTACTGAATCAATGAATAATTGATTTAGTTGATGGCCGGAGGGTATGGCCACATATCCAGTGTATCATGCTAAAAAAGTAAACTCAGGGAAAACATCTTCTCAGGACAAATTTTCTTTTCTTTCTTTCTTTCTTTTTTTTGAGACAAGATCTTGCTTTGTGTTCAGGAGGCTGGCCCTGAACTCACTTTGTAGCCCAGGCTGGCCTTGAACTCGTGGAGATCCTCTTGCCTCTGCCTCCTGAGTGCTAGGATTACAGGTGTGTGCCACTACACCTGGCCACTGGACAAATTTTCTTTTCAGATGCCCAGTTCAGAGGCTGTATTTGACCAGCTGTATCCTGTATGGCATCAGGGCGCTCTGTTACCCTAAAACAAACTATTCCAGAAAGAAGCCATGTAAGCCCCTAACATCCACAGCCTGGGGAATTCTGTGCAATTAGAGCTATTTTCATTTCAATCAGTTTAGTGTTAAATGGGATTTTGATATAAAACTGGCTGACCTGGATTTCTAAAACAAAGCTGTTAAAGCTGTCATTGAAAGGCATCTAATATAGGTTCTAATATAACATTGCTTTAAAGAAAGAAAAGTTATCTTACCCCATCATATTAATGCTGCACAACAAAGAAAAGACGTAAATCTATCAAATTGAACATGCACTGTTGCTTCTATGACACTATAATAAATACATTCTAACATCTAAATTCTCATAAATCATTCAGATACAATTTTTTAAAATTCAATTTTGAGATTGTTCCTAAAACATTTTGTTGATAGAAGAGACCTAGAAACAAATATATCACTGATAGTTAATAACATCGATTTAAATTTTTAACCATTTATATAAGCCCAGAGCCTGAGAAAGGGTATCTGAGAAAATAAATATTTTTCTTGTCAATTTACGTAAACTTAACACCAAGAGGACCTTGTACTTGCCAGGCAGGCGAGGTACCACGGAGCTAAATCCCTGGCCCTATTCTTTCTTGTACTTTAGAAAACAATATTGGGAAATTTCATGGTGGAAGAATGATAAAGGGGCCAAGGATTTAGCTCAGTGGTTCCGGTGCCTGCCTCGAAAGCGTAAGGTCCCAAGTTTGATCCCTGGTACCAAAAAAAAAAAAAGATATAAAGTCTCAAAACATAGTTCTAGATAACTATCAATAAGAGAGTACCTGAAAATTATACCAGTATATCCATACTGAGGAATGCTATTCAGTGATCAAAATTGTTTAAAAATATATTAATATATGCAATAACATAAGTGAACCTCAAAAATATTCTGCTAAGTTAAAGAAACAACACACATACAACTACACACTTCTATAAAAGACAAAACTAAAAAAAAAGACAAAACTATAGTGTCAAAAGAGATGAGTATTTTCTGGGGCTAGGGATTGGGGGGGCTCGACTGCAAAGGGGCATGAGGAAACTTTTTAATGTGAATTAATTGTTCAGTATCTTCACTGTTGCTGTGGTTAAAATAATTATATATAATTATGTGTTAGGCAGCTTTCCACCACTGCGACAAAATTCCTGAGCTAATCAGTTCATAAGGAGGAAAGGTTTGTTTGGGCTCATGATTTCCAAAGTTTCAGTCCATGGTTACCTGCCCCTGCTGGTTTGGGAGGCAAATTACAACATGGTCAGAGTACACAGTGGAGGAATCCCACTCACCTCATGTGGTCAGGAGGCAAAGAGAGAAACAAGAGGGTCCAGGCCCACTATCCCCTCAGTGGCGTGCCCGAGTGACATAACTTCCTTCCATAAGGTCCTGTCCCTTGAAGGTCCCACCATCTCCCAATAGCACCATAGGCTGGGAACCAAGCCCTTACCACTTGGACCTTCAGGGACACTTCCAAGCCATAACAATTACCAACATTCATCAAACTTGACAATTAAGATAGGTGAATTGAACGGTATATAATTATACCTCATTAAAGCTGGGAACAAAAATAGTTCCTCAAATCAACTGGTCTCACACTGTCAATGATGAGACACAACTTAGAAAGGTATTGAGTGCAGCTCCCTTGTTATGGGTTGAAATGAAACCTGTCTTTTGACATCCTCACCCTCTGTGGCTCATAGAGCGATCATATTTGGAAACAGTCTTTACAGAGGTGGTCAGATAAGGATGTGCTAATTAGGATTGGCCCTAACCCAGTATGAGTGGGGTCCTCACAGAAAAGAGAAATCATAGCACACAGGCAGATACACACGGAAGGAAAGTGATGTGGAGTCCCACATGCGACAGCAAAGGTAGGGACAGGAGTGATGCGCCCAGGAGCCACGAGAAGCATGCAGCCACCAGATGGGAGGACAGTGTCCTGGGTCAGTTCCTTCAGAGGGTGGGAGCCCCGTGACACCTCGATTTCAGACTCTGGCCTTCAGGACTGTGGGACAGCAAGTTCCTGCCATCTTTAGCCACCTAGTTGGTGGCAGCTTGTTTCAGCAGCCGAGAAACACATCTTCTCTGGTCTGATTCTAATCAGGCTGACCACACTAATCATCACACAGAGTACAGTTTCCTGAGGAATCTTTGAGATGAAAACAACCCATAGTCAAAAATACACACAGTGGCCCTCACGAAGCAAGGCCCTTTCTTCTAAGTTAACCAGTAAATGTGACTTCTGAATACTTTTAGGCTGAGGCAAGAGTTACAGTACCTGGAAGTAATTTTCAATCTCATGACAAACATTTTATAAACATGAAGTAAATCATCAAAACTGAACCCATAAACAGTATATACAGTGTGTATTCTGTCTTTCATTTCAACACTCAAAGTGGACTGGCGGGAAACCTAAGAAATAGGTGACTATGCTGCTCTTAACTTCCAAAAGCAGCAGCCAGCAGGCACACACCATATGGACACGGCATATGTATGGGTCCATATCTCACTGGCTACACCAGCCACCAGGCAAAGTTCTTAAGAAATGGTAAGAAAGCATCAATTTTACTGAAGCCTCTTGAAGTTAGGACTTTGCAGACAGTCTATAGTGATGGATGTATAAAGCCCTCTGTACACACAGAATCCTGCTCTCTCATGGTTATCACAAGAAGTTTCTTTTTCCTTTGGTCCTCCTCCCTGCACTGAAGATCATTTCTCCATTAACACTGAACATCAGCAGCCACGAAATCATGCTTGGCACACACAGGCCACCTACCTCTTGTGGCGAAGGCAGGGCCCCCTCGCAGGTGACACAGTATCTCAGGTGAGCAGGATTCCCCGTGCCACAGGAGCGGCAGATCACCTTCTCCTTTCAGCAGAGAACGAGAAACACAACACAACTGAGCAAATGCTGGTGCAGCGAACCCCCTCTCAGCATCTTTTCAGCCACCAGCCGGTTCCAGCCCCACGACACCCACACCCTGTGCTGTGGGCTGGTTTCAGAATTATTACAACATAAATAGTGTCAGGAAAATGAACACAGTTTTGAATGAAACAAAATCACAGACAAACTTAAAACAGTACTCATTTGATCTTTAGAGGGCAATCTGAAAGTTTTGCCCAGATTTTGTCTAGGCGCCCACCCCAGCTGACATGGGGCACTCAATAGGCAGTAGGCTCACCACTTCATGGCTTCAACAGGAACTGGAGACTCAAGATCAGCAAGAGCTATCTGTGTATTTGGACTGGGGTTTGTGTGAAATGTGCATTTAGGTTTGTTCTGTAGTTTCTCACTTAGAAATGGAAGAAGTGCAAGATTGTCTTAGAAGGGGATTGGTAAGTGGAACTTTCTTCGTTAGGAACCTGGTATTAAATTGCAACAGAGAGAGAGGGGGAGGGAGGGGGAGGGGGAGGGAGAGGGAGAGAGAGAAATACCCTAGTCTAAAGAGTTCAGCTATGAGAAGTTTTCTAACACTCATCGTCACTGGGATATTCTCTACTCTGAGGACACCGTCTTTTCAATTTTCTATGACTAACAATGCTCACATTTTCTACTCCAGGACCATGGTCCCCAGCCCTGAAGCTGACAGAGTGTCCTGAAGCCAGTACAGGTAAAGAGGATGATCAAGAAAAAGCAAGCCTAGTGACTGGGTTTTTATCTCTAGTACCACCAGGTATTGGATGTCCAAGGGTTTCCAGGTCTGGTTAACTCTGTTTCCTAGAAAATTCCAGGCTTGCTAGGGATCTGTAGCAGCTCAGGAAAACAGTTTTTAACACAGGTAAATCCTAAAGGGCACAGGCCCACTTACTGCTAGACAGCATGGTGGAGAATCACAGTCCTGTTCCCCATGGTTCCTGGCTCTTCCTGGGTCCCGAACTCTTTAGTTACTTAAAGTCAGCATATCATAAGCTGCAAGTACCAGGTCTCTTCTGTGAGATTTGGGGAGCAAGCTGCCTGGAGATGTTGCCTCGGACAAGATCTGGTGAAACTCAATGAGAAATGAGACAAATTTCCTGCCCTTGTGTTAAAAAAAAGTGCTGACCAAACAAAAATTATCTCATTGTTTGCTGCAGAAAATCCTTCCTCTAGGAAGAGAAGATGAAGCCCCCAAAACTGCTCACTTATCAAGTTCAACACTTTCCTTTGAGACCCTCACCTTGAAATCCAAACCTTGAAAATGGAGGCTTTGGCCAATCCAAACTCTGCCTGATCCCAGCCCTGACTACAAAACCATTTAGTTTTCATTTTAAGTAGTGAACTTTATTGTATAGAAAATGCTAGGCTCATAGTAGAATGGAGCAGAAATTATAGAAGCTTCCCATAAACCTTTGTCACCACACTTGTCCAGCCTCCCTCACCATAGATGTGAGCACCACAGTGCAGCTGTGTGACAGTCAACCATCCTGCAGGAACAGCTCATTACTCCTCACCATCCCCAGTTTATACTGGGGGCTGTTTGTACAAAACTCTTTTAAAATCATCTCATTCCAGCAATAAATCCCTATACTCCCCTGAAAGAGTGGCTGCTATCAAGAAATCAACCAATAACAAATGCTGGCAGGGGTGTGGAGAGAAAGGATCCCTTCTCTATTGTTGGTGGGAGTGTAGACTGGTGCAACCATTGTGGAAATCAGTATGGAGATACCTCAAAGAACTAGGGCTAGAGGTCCCATTTGACCCAGGTATTCCCCTACTGGGTATCTTCCCCAAAGAATTAAAAGAATCATACCATGATGATATATGTGCACCCATTTTTATAGTGGCACAGTTTGTAATAGCTAAAGCTTAGAAACAGCCCAAGTGCTCATCAACTGGAAACTGGATAAAGAAGATGTGGGTTTTTTCTTTTTTTATAAAATGGAGTACTACTCAGCCATAAAGAACAAGAAGGTAGAGATGTTTATAGCTAAATGGATGCATATTGAGGCCATACTCTTAAGTGAAATAAATAGGACACACATGTGTAAATACCGAATAGTTTCTCTAGTGTGAGAAACTGAAAGTATAAATAAGGACTAAAAGGATTAATAATGAATAATTGATACTTTGAAACAGGAAATGGTCCAAAGGGGTAGGGGTGGTGGGAGGAGACGGGGAAAGGGAAGAATGGAAAGGAAAAATTATGAGAATCAGAAAAAAAATGGAAATGAAGTCTATGTAAATAGGGAAGGGTGGAGGGGGTGAAGGGCGCACAGGTAATGGGGAAAAAAATAAGAACCAAGATACATCATGTACAGGTACAAGCACCCAATGATAAATGGAAACGTACTGTATACCTAAAATGTACCAATAAAAGAATTTAAGCAAAAAAAAAAAAATCCCTATACTCTTCCCTATCATCTCTTTTCTAATCTACTACAAAGACTCTCAAAGTAGTGATCTGCTTCACTGCATTGGGCTTACTAAACATAGTTTTCTTGGTCAACAGATTTTTCTGTGGTTTTTGTGGTGGCTTTTGACACCATGCCGTGATTTACTTCTTCCCAGAACAGTGACCATGACCTCCACTTAGAAATCAATGGTATCAGCTGGGCATGGTGGCACACGGCTGTAATCCCAGCTCTCAGGAAGCTGAGGCAGGAGGAGTTCAAGGCCAGCCTGGACTACACAGTCCAGGGTCTCAAAAAAACAAAGAAATCATTGCTATCACAGCCCACTGCCTCAAGACTTGCAGATATTCATGGGGATGATGTGAGATCGAGGTTACCATCTGATGGCCTTAGTGAAGATGCTAAAAAGCTATGATGAGGACTTTTAGGAAAAGTCAATGCCCTTATTTGCCATCTCATCCACGGCATTTGCAGCATTCAGTATTATGGAGTTGAATGGTTCTAAGCAATTTATGGCAGTAGAACCCACTTAGTCAATGGGGTAAAACTTCTTTATGAAAGATTTGGAAGATGAAGTAATTGTCAAAATCCCAAGTACTAAGCTTTAAGTGACACAATAATTTGAGGAAGGATGTTGGGAACCAACTAATAGGTCACTCAGAATTAATCTGCCTAGAACATCTCTTCTTCGCTGCTGACCCTCCCACAAACACACACACGGGCCACTTCTCCCTATCCTGGAAGAAGAGGGCCCCTCCTGGGTTTAATGGTATTAATCAACATAGAAGTCTTGTGTTTAGCCTCAATGTAGGATTTACAACAAATTAAAGGGGAAAACTACTTATACCTTTGTATTTCTCTGCCTGCCTACAATATGGGAGGAAATACAGATTTCAAATATTGAAGATAGCATGATACCTATTGAATTTAGGACACAGCTAACACACCTATTCTTCCTGTTTTGAATATCTCAAGGTGTAAATGTATTGACAAAAGTTGGTTCTGTTGAGATTGACACAAAATCCAAAATGCCAGTGGCTTAAGCCAGAGAGAAGTTGATCTCTCTCTCTCCCCTTATGAGAAGTCTGGAGACAGGCTTCCAGGCCTGTTGGGTAACTTCCCTGGGGTAGCTTTTAAAGTTGCTTAAAACTGAAATAGTCATCTAACAAAAAGCTTAGTCAATTTTCATCCACTTGACTTTGACTCAACCAGTTCTGCAGAAACTCATTTCTGAAGGTTTAGATGGCTTAGGACACTAGCAAACTTTTCATAGTGAAGGGAGCTTGGAGAGGGAAGAGAAAATGGACTTGTCTTTTTTCGCAACAGTTTGCCTATCCAGAATCTACAAGGTCTTTTTAGGAGTGTCTGTTATGGTTTAGGTAGGAAGTGTCCCCTGAAGAGTCATAAATTATTGAGGGCTTGATCCCCAATGCAGCAACATTTAGAGATGGGTCCTGGAGAGGTGACTGCATTATGAGGGCTCTAATTGCACCCATGGATTAATCCACTGAAGAGTTCATAGCTGAAGGGGCTGCTGGCAGGAGGGGGTGGTCACTGGGGATGTGTCTTTGGAGGGTGCATCTTTTCCTTAGCCCCTTCTCTGTATGTCTCTCTCTGTCTCTTTTTTTTCTCTTTCTCTCTCTTCCTCCTCACTCCTCCTCTGTACTTCCTGGCTGCCATGAAGTGAGCAGCTTTCCTCCACCATGCCCTTCCACCATGATGCTCTGGCAAGGAGCTAAATGACCATGGACTGAAACTCTGAAACCACGAGCCAAAATAAGCTTTTCCTTTCAGTTATTTTCTCAGGAATTTTGTCACAGCAGCAGAAAGCTGATTAACACAGTGTTATCTTCTAACTGTCCATTAATTCCACGCATTTCCCTTATAGCTAAAAACTCTTCCATTTTTACCCTTTAATTGAATCTATTTTATCTTCTAGTGACCTTTACTTGGGGAGAAGGAAGGTGGATGGGACTATAACTGAAAAATTGAGAAAAAAGTTTTATGCTCAATGATTCTATAAGAAAAATATTTCACAGTATCTGTCTAGCAACATTTTTTAATTGTATGTGGCAAAGTGTGAAGTTGTCTTCCATGCAATTAATTCTAATCACTTTTTATAGATAGTAGGGACCTATAATCAAATAAAGCAAACAAAAACAAGAAACCACTTTTTTTTTTATACCAGGGATCAAACTTGGGTCCTTGTGGTTGCGAGGCAGGCGGCAGAACCACTGAGCTAAATCCCCGGCCCATGAAACCACTTTTAAGATAAGCATGAAACCACTTTAAGATAAGTCAATATTAATTGCAAGATTGAAGTTTAAATAAGCAAAAAACTGTCTAAGTCAGCTGTAGTGTAATTTGTCTTCCAAATTCATGTTCAGGGAATATATTTCTAAGTATCTCTCTTAATATTATAGATCCTATTGGCAAGTTAAACACTTGGGCAATATGCTTTCCCAAAAATTTGATGGATTTTGTTATAGCTGTTAGCTTACCAATTGTTAGCTCGTTCCACCAGTGGAAGAAAGACATTCTAACAGTACTTTCTATGCATTTCATTACTGTTTTTTTACAGAATCACTTTCATTACCTTCAAGTGGAGGCTGGCCTGGGGCTGCAGCTGTAGAGCAAGTGGAGCCTCGCACACCACACAGATGGGGGTGTTCATGGGCACCACGTTTCCACATTCTGCACACGAGCCCATCTGTGCAAGGGAAAAGGCCGGGTTTATCTCAGGATGCAAAAATGGAAGGGATGAGTAGGTTTTGGAAGGTCAGGTTTCATTTTCTTGTGTAAAACAAATTTAAAATAATGACCTTTATTATCATTTTACTCCTATTAAGAGTAAAAATGTGTTTATTGTACCAAAGTATTAAAAAAGAAAAACGTCAATAGGAGATTAACTCACAACACAGCGGAGTAAGGAGGTGGATAAGTCCTCTCCCCAAAGAGTAATCATAAAGTTGTAGAAAGCCGTATACAGCCAACCATGGTGGCACCCTGGGAGTCAAAGGTGGACAATAAACTGCAAAGTCCTTGAAGATGGCAGCACTCCAGCTAAGAGCACTAAAGTCTGTGTGGCTCTTGCATAGGGCCTCGTCCCCTGCACCCCCAGCTCCATCTGGGTGGCAGCTCTGGGAAAGGACAGGCTGTGAAGAGTGCAGTTCTGTGGCTGCCGGTGGACAGGGCTTCTGCCATCTGGAGCCCTGTTAAGACTGTCGCCTCAAAAATTAAAAAAAAAAAGATCATGTCCTCAGTGGCAGCCAGCAGCGAGGATCAGGGCTTCCCCCAGCCTGAGATTCCAGTCCTGGGCACAGTGATCAATGGGTCTGGAAATGCCCAAGGGTCTACAGGGCATGCAGGAGGTGACTAACTAGGAGCTGAATATGCCCAGATGTCCTCAGGTAACTGAGGCAGCATAAACCAGCATGGCCCCAGTCACCCCGATGCCCCGGCTGAGCACGTGGAGGGCAGGGCAGCTCGGGAAAAAGCAACAGTTTGGGCAAACTTGGACTCAGTCTGACATGTGAGGTCCCACCCAGCCCACACAGGCCCATCAGCAGGCAGCGGGGTGCGCAGTGCTGGAGCACAATTTCTCCCCAGACTTCAGGTGGACACTAAGATATACAGACCCAAGGGTATCTCTAGGGCTAAATATAAAAACCAGAAAAACCTCCTAACATTGTGGGGGAGACAGACAGTGAATATTTAATTCAAGTAAACAAAAAAACAAAACAACAATCCTAGAGAAGAAAGTCAGAATCCAGTGTGAGAAACTGAATGTGGAAATAAGGACTGAAATGTATAATGGATATTGGGAAGTGGGAAGAAAGTGTTCAAATGGGAAGGGGAACAAGAGAGGAGGGAGGGAGAAAGGAAGGAAGCGACAAGAAAAAAAGTGAAAATAGAAGGAAAAATTCGAAACAAAGCTTTTGTACATAGGGAGGGGAGGGGGCTTGAAGGGGGTAAGAAAAGTCAGAATCCAGAGTTGGGACAGTTTATTACCTAGCTGTCCAGCAATGCAGAAAAATACTTAAGGGACATGCAGAAAAACAGGAAAGTGTGGCCCACGCTAAGGAGAACTGTCAAAAGAAATGGTCTAAGTAACCTCAGATATTAAATTGAGTAGACAAAGATTCCAAAGCAGCAGGCCAGGGATTTAGCTCAGTGGTGCCACCGCCTGCCTCGCAAGTGCAAGGTCCTGAGTTTGATCCCCGGTACTAAAAAAAAAAAAAAAGATTCCAAAGCGGCTATTATAAAAAATATTCAAAGAGCTAAAGGAAATTATGTTTTAAAAATTAAAGAAAGTATGATGACAAGATTTGATAAATGTGGAATCTCAATAAAAAGATAGAAATTATTTTAAAAAGAACTATGGCTGAGATGCTGTATCTCAGTGGTAAAGCACTTGCCTGGCCTGCATGAGGCCCTGGGTTTAATCCCCAGTACAGGGGTGGTGGTACATGCCTGTAATCCCAGGACTCTGGGAGACTGAGCCAGGAGGACTGCAAGTTCAAGCCTAGCCTGGGTAACAGCAATTTGGCAAAACCTGTCTCAAACAAAACAAAACAAACCTAATTCAAAACATTAAAACCTGGTATTGAAAAAGTAAAATGACTGGAAAGAAAAAACCTCCTTAGAGGGTCTCAAGAGTAGATCAGAGACAAGAGGAGAGAATCAGTGACTTGAATAGAATTCAACAGAAATTATCCAATATGACAACAGAAAGAAAAAAGATTGAAGAAAATGAGCAGACCGCCAAACACCTGTGGGATGACACCAAACATGATATACATTTTGTTTTTCTTTTCTTTGTTTTTTTTTTGAGACAGGATCTCACTGTGTAGCCCAGGCTGGCCTCAAACTCATAGCAATCCTCTTCCCTCAGCCTCCTGAATGCTAGGATTACAGGCATGTGCCACCATACCCAGCTAAGCATACATAATAGAGAGAAAGAGGCAGAAAAAGAATTTAAAGAAACAATGCCTGAAAACTTACCACATTGGAAGAAAAACATTAATTTATAGATCAAATAAATTCAATCACTCTCCCCCAAAAATAAACCCAAAGAGAGCCACAGGTTAATACATTATAATCACTATGTTGATTTTTTTTTTTTTGGTACTGGGGATTGAACTCAGGACCCTGTGCTTGCCAGGCAGGTGGCAGTGCCACTGAGCTACATCCCCGGCTCAATTTTATTTATTTATTTATTTATTTGAGCCAGGGACTCACTAAGTACTTCAGGCTGTCCTTGAACTATGTATCTCAGGCTGGCCTCCGTGATTCTCCTGCCTTAGCCTTCTGGGATTGCAGGTATGCACCACCACATCCAGCTGATGAGTGTTGAAGATAATGAGAAAATCTTGAAAACAGCAAGAGAAAAACTACTTATTACATCACTGGGCCGGGGATTTAGCTCAGTGGTGTCATGACTGCCTCACAAGCACAAGGTTCTGAGTTTGATCCCCAGTACCAGAAAACAAACAAAAAAATAAAACAGAAAGAATTCTGTGTCCAGCAAACTACCATTCAAAAATGAAGGGAAAGTAAATATTCTCAGATAAACAAAGCAGAGAAATGGCAGGTAGACATGTCTTATGAGAAGAAAGTGACAACTGATGAGAATCTGAGCTCATAGGAAGAAATAAAGGACTAGATATAATAAATATGAGCATAAACACAAATGGATCCATAGACTTTTTTTTCACATGATATGAGCTTGTATAACTACATTTTTTCAGTTTGTAACATATATACTATATATATTATGTATTACATTATATTACATACATTTATTTACATTCATATTATATCTATGTTATATAAAAGATATGAAAAGAGAGGATAGGGAGATATATTGGGGAAAATTTTTTTATTCTACTGGAATTAAGTTGAATTATTCTACTTTGATAAATTAAGGTTCATATTGTAATCCCTAGAACACCAGATAACTTTAAAAATAGTTTTAAAGAAATCAATGGAGAAATTAAAATGTCACCCTAAAAATTACTTAGCACAAAAGAAAGCAGTGAAAGGGGAAACAGAGAAACCAAACATTTTTTTAAAGACACAAAACAAATAGAAAACAAATAGCAAACTGCCATCTGTTAATTTTACCACGTAAGTAGTGACACTGAGGGACCAGATGGGACACCACACACAAAGAGCAAAGACTGTTGGTGTGGATTAAAAAGCAAGACTCAGCCACATAGCTTGGACTCAAAGACACAAATGGAAGGAGAGAAAAATACAGAAAAAGGCATGCAATGCAAGCAATAACCATAAGAATGCTGAAGTGGCTAGTAGATATTAGGGAGCAATGAACTTTAAGACAAGAAATATTTCTAAAGATAGAGACATTTTATGATGATAAAAGGGCCAATAAATCATGAAGGGATAGTAGTTACTAGTGTAGAAGAACTGTGTTAGATAATTCAGGCTGCTGAAATAAAATGCCAAAAACTGTGTGGCTTATAAATAAAAGAAATTTTTTTCTCATGGGTTTTGAAGGCTGGGAAGTTGGAGGTCAAGGAGCCAGGAAATTTGGTGTCGGGTGAGCACCCCCTCTCAGGCTCTCTACTTCACAGGCAGTGCCTTCTATGCAGCTGTGTCCTCACAGGTGGGAGGACGGACAGTCTCCCTTGGCCCCCAGCCCTCCACATTGGGGATGGAGCCCAGGGCCTTCACACTGAGCAGCATCCCCAGCCTTTTCTCACCCTTGGGCTTTTTTTTTGAGACAGGGTCTCGCTGTGTAATCAGGCTGATCTTGAACTCACTATGTAGTCCAGGCTGGTCTTGAACTCAGGACAATCCTCCTGCCTCAGCCTCCCAAGTGCTGGGATTACAGGCATGAACCATCATGCCCAGACTTTTTTTTTGGACACAGGGTTTGTTATGTTGCCTGGCTGGGCTTAAACTTGTGATTTCCTTCCCTCAGCTTCCCAGCATACTGGGATTACAGGTGTGTGCCACTATGCCAGGCTTCTCTGCTAACTAACTACAAAATTATTAGTATGGTAACATCAATTATTACCTATACTTAATCAGCCAAAGCCTTTAAATTTAAATATACTGATCTATAACTTCTTTGAACAAAATTATATATTTTATGGATATATAGATATAAAGTAGTAAATATTTTTATCCGTATTTAATTCTAGAATCTATTTCCTTACTGTATCCAGGTTATGAGCAAAAATATCAAATTGGTGGAAACATTTACTTATTCATGAATGTCTCATTAAAACAATAAGATTTCAAGGGCCTGGGGTGTAGCTCAGCGGTTCCAGCACCTGCCTCACAAGTGCAAGGTCCCAAGTTCAATCCCTGGTACCAAAAATAAAACAATAAGATTTCAAGGTCTTCTTGAGTCTGAGTCTTTGTAATTTCACACAAAAGAAATGGCATTGTAAGTCGTCCTCCTGCCCTGCCTTTTTTTTTCAGTACTGGTGATTGAACCTAGGGCCTTTGCACTAACCTAAAATCTCTAGCCTTTCTTTACTTTATGTTATTTTTTTGAGACAAGCTCTTGCTGACCAAAACAGAATTGAATTTGAAACAGCCAAAGTTTTTTGTTTTTTTCGTTTTTTGTCTTCAGATAATATCTTTTCACTTGTGAGCAAGAGTCACAAGAAGGCCTGAGGTCAGCCTTCCTCATGGGGCAGCTGGAGCTCTCTCTTGGCCTTCAGAGTAGGTTCCTTCCGAGAACAGTTGGGACAAAAGGCAGGCGCTAGAGGCCACCTTCTATGTTTTCGTGTATCCTCTCATTCCGACTCAGGTGTGGTGGTTGTAGGAGTGAATTCAGCAAGGTGCTTCAGGCAGAGGTGGGTGGTAGAGGCCTGAGCCCCTCCTGGCTCTCAGATTCCCACTCCCATTCCCTTTCTCATCACAGCTGGAGGAGCATTTTCCGTGGTCTTTGGTCTGGCCAGCTGTAGCCACCACACGGGAGGCGTGGGGAAGAACCATGCAGGGCCCTCTACTCCTTCTTAGAGCTGCTTTCTCAGGGATGAAGCTTCAGAGTCAGCAGATGAGGGCAAAGGGCCCTTGCCTTGCTTCTGAAGGAGAGCAGTGTGGTTTTCCAGTTGCAGCCCTGTGCAGCTATTCTTCTGCAAGCCAGAGCTCAAGAGACTGTGTGGCTGGAAGTAATAAGAGCATCCCCCAGAGGACACCTTCTGAAGACTCACAGCAGGACCTCCCACCAGGTGGGGAAAATTCCCGATTGTGCATTCTGGGATCAAACTTGCAATCCTCCTGCCTCAGTCTCCCAGAATGCTGACATTACACATGTGTACCACCATGCCCAGCTAGTTTTTTCATTCTTAAGGAGGAATCTGGATAGTAAGAGATTAATCTGCTTGTAATTCTTTCCGCAAGTATTTGTTTGTGGTTCATGTGCACCAGGCACTGTGTTATTGCCCAGGTAAAGATGAAGAAAACCAACGAAAGATATTCATAAGAATTTTGTGGCTCACCTGCGCTCCTTCAGGGGGTGGAAGACGACAGCCAAATATGGATGGGACAGGAGCACCACACTCGTGACAGAATCTAGCGAAAGGATCCGATGGGCGGGGGGCCAGGCAGTGGGCACACCTGCAACAAAACGGGTTCCTGACTGGCCAGGTGCGGATGCCCCACATTAAGACTGTGAAATCTCAAAGTGTTCAGATGGTTTAAAAAAATGAAACAAAACACAAGCAACCACCCTGCGGCTAGGGAGCAAGTTCAAGGCAGGAAAGGACTTCCCGAGCTGCTTCAGGTGGAACAGACTGTGGAAAAGTGTGTTCGCAGCCCTGGGGAGCAGCTGAGGGGAATTCGTGGCAATGTGTCTTTTACTGTAATAGAATTTTATTTAAATACACACTGTATTTTTTTATATGTCCTCTTACCAAGACAAAATTGAATTTGAAATGTCCAAAGTATGTAAGAAAAATCTCTCAATATTTGGAAATTTAACAAAAGACTTTGGACTAACCCACAAGACAAAAACAAATAACAAGGGTAATTAGAAATGGTTTGAACCAAATGAACATATCAAAATATGGCTGCTGCAGGTGAAGCTATACCCATAGGGAAATGTGTATCTCTAAATATCTAAACAGTATTAGAAAATAAGAAAGGTGAAAGGCTGCAAGTCAATGACTTAATCTCCAAATTAAAAAACTAAAAAAAAGCCCCAGTGGGCATTTGTAAAAGTTGAAAGGCTGATTTTAGAATTTATTTGAAAATGAGAAGGACCTAAAATAACCAAAACAAGTTGTTTTTTGTTTTTACAAGAACAAAGCTGGATGATTTACAATCCTTGATTTTAAAGCTTATTATAAAGCTACAGTAATCAAAACAGTATAGTAGTGAATAAATACAAGGAACACCAATGGAATAGAAGCCAGGATCTAGACTCAAGCACATATTGTCAATGAGTCTCAAATATTCTAAAACTAATCAACAAAGAAAAATAGTCTTTTAAAGAAAATCTACTAGAACAATTTGGTGTCCATATACATAAATATGACCCTTATTCATATGTGAAAATAAACTAAAAGTAAACCACAGATCTAAATATAAGAGATATAATTATAAAACTTAGCTGGATGTGGTGGCGCACACCACAGGATGCTGAGGTAGGAGGATCGCTGTGAGTTCGAGGACAGCCTGGACTACAAAATGAGACCCTGCTCAAAAAAAAAAAAAAAAAAATCCAACTACAAAACTTCTAGGAAAGGACATAAGAGAAAACTTCAGTTCATTTGAAAAACATCTTGGGTTTGGGAAAGAGTTCTTGAATACAAGAAACTAAGAGTGAAGTGTAAAAGAACACAAATAAATTAGGTTTCATCAAAATGAACAGCCAGGGCCAGGGATTTAGCTCGGGGTTTCTCCACCTGCTGCGCAAGCGCAAGGACCCCAGTTCGATCACTGGTACCAAAAAAACCAAACAACAACAACAACAACAAAAAACCCAAAATGAACAGCCAAAGACTGGAGAGAAATATTTGTGAAACATATCCGACATGTACAACTATAATAAAAAGACATATGACCCAAGTTTTTAAAGGGGAAAATTTTTGATCAGACATTTTAACAAAGCAGATGCATGGAAGGCAAATAAGCACATAAAAGATACTTAGCATCCTGGAAAATGGGGAAATATAAATTTAAAAAACCACAACAAAGACCATTATGATCTCACAAGAATGACCAAAATTTTAAAAAGTGTTGATGAGGATGTAGAGAAACAGGAATTCTCAAACACTGCTGACAAGAATGTAAAAATGGTACCACTACTTTGGAAAACAAATTAATGGCTTTTTAACAAGTTAGATATATATCTATCATGTGACCCTGTCACCCTCCTTCAAAGGATTTATTATCCCAAGGGAAATGAAGGCATGGGGGCCATGGTGACTTGAACCTGGACACAACACACAGCTTCAGGGAGTGAGTGGCAAACAAACTGCAACGTATACAATGGAAACCCGGCAAGACTCAGACTAGCCAGGCAATGAAAGCAGAGACATTTGATACAAGCAACAACACAAATGACTCGAGAAATAATTAAGCTGAGTCAAAAACGAGCACAGACTGAATTACTCCATTTATATACAGAATCAAGTGCTCACTTCAGCAGCACATATACTGAAAAACAGATTCAAATGTAAACTACAGTGGAGTGACAAGAGCAGGTCAACAGTCGCCTGGGCCTAGGGAGGGGTGAGAGGGTACAGGGTAGAAACTTCTGGAAGGATGAATCTGTTCATTTGTGGTGATAGATTTATATATGCATGCACTGAACTTTTTTTTTTTTTTAAAGACAGGGTCTCCCTATGTAGTCCAGGCTGGCCTTGAACTTACTATGTAGTCCAGGTTGGCTTCAATCCTCCTGCCTCAGCCTCCTGAGTGCTGGGATCACAGGCCTGCACCACCATGCCTGGCTGTTATGTCCCATTTTTAAGTTCTCTTTGACTGCAATGTCTCTCTGTTGGGTTTAGGCAAAGTAAAGAGGGTGATACATACTTGAGAAAGTCTGTCTGCCTTTGGATTCTCATGATCTCCGTGCTTGTCAAACTCTTCTGGCCTGGTATGTGTGCAAAACCAGGCGACTGAAACTAAGAATACAGATTGATATAAATACAGACATCGGGCCAGGGATTTAGCTCAGTGGTTCTGCCACCTGCTTCTCAAGCACAAGGTTCTGAGTTCAATCCCTGGTACCAATAAATAAATAAATAAATAAATAAATAAATAAATACAGACATAACCTCAGTGTAAGTTGGTAATGGGTGTGGGAGAGTAAAATCTCATTAAAAATTCATTTTAATGTTCATTGCATAATTCCCAGCATTCATCTTTTTCAAACCCATAATGGGGAAGGATCTAAATATGACTCCAGTATCCAATTTAAAGTGCTATTCATAATCAGATATGTATATTTCATTAAAAAGGAAGGTTTACCAAAAAAGACAACTGAACTTACCATCAGACAGATCAGATTTTATTGGGTTTTTTTTCAGATCAGATTTTAGAAGTGAAGAACCTAAGTTAGCATCCATTTTTATTGGATTACATTTCTGAGAAAAAGTCAAAGGACTCATTTAGAAGAACAAGTACAACAACTACCTGCTGCTGTCCAGAGACACTTAATTTACGTGAATCCATTTTTATATTTGAGCTTTCACTTTGTCCCAGGGACTGCGCTAGATTCAGGGAGGGGGACTAAGATAAATATTATGTGGTCTCTGCCCACAAGGAGCTGGACTCGTGTCCTGTGTGCAAAATAACAGAAACAGGGGGCTCAGCAGGGCCCCACACTTGGGTGGAGTCCCAGAGGAGCCTAGGAAAGGGAACAATTGCTCCACTTGCCCTAGGGAGGAGGGCTTTTTGGGTGGTAACAATGGAAGTGTGCCTGGGAGAGTAAAGAAAAGTTAAGCAACTGGCAGGACAGAAATTCCCAAGGGTACTATGGCAGGGCAGGGCAGCGCACAGCCCAAACTGAGACTCAGATGGCTTGATATGGTCCAGAGGTCCCAGTGGCAGGAGAATGGCATGGAAAGACAGGTGAAGGAACATGGAGGGGAAGAGCTAACCCAGAGGGAGGGTCCGGTGGCTGTGACATGTGCGTGGCATGTTGTAGTCATCATCAATGTGACATTCACAATGAACCCTATGAGATAGATCGTATTATTTCCATCTTATTTTTTAAAACATCTTATTTTGATATAATGTCAAACTCACAGGGAAGTTGCAAGGATAGTATAACTATCTCCTGTCCAGCCAACCTGAGCAATTGTTGATGTTTATATTTTTCTACATTTTCCTGCATCTTCTATCTGTGAATCATGTGAGAATAAGCTACAGTCACCTGATGTCTCTTTGCTCCTAGCCACTTAAGAGTGTGCATTCCCCAAGAACAAGGCCACCCTTCTACACAAGAGGGTATCGAAGCCAGGAAAGCTAACTCTCTAACCCACAGCTGGACCTCACTGACTGCACCAAGGATGTACTTTACAGCTGTGTTTTTCCCAGGCCATGCTACTACTACATTTTGCATTTGGTTGTCACGTCCCTTTTGTTACCTTGGTCATGCATTTTGGCACAAACCGCAGAGAGGACTTTTGTGCCCACCTCAATGTGCTCCCCATTTTTGAGCTGAGGGTGCCAAGGCAAAGAAATCCTCGAATGAGTTCCTATAACAGCACATGTAGTGAACTCAGGTTGACCTGTCTGCTGTAGGTTCCTGGTCTACCCCAATGCCTGGGTGCTGAGCTTAGGGTGTTAAGCTTTATTCTGTGGGTGATGGGGAGCCTTTGGAGGTTTTTAAAATTGCTTTTGTGTTACATCTAATAGTCCATACCAGAAGCTGAAAACTGGTGATCTATTGGCTAGGTATAGTGTGCCACTGAGTTTTTTTTGGCTCATATACCATGTACACTGGCTCCCACCATGTTTCAGAGGTTGACTTAGTTTCCCAAATTTTAAATTGGGTTAGTTACTGAGCATAATGGTGCAGGTTTCTGGCTTCTCATGCAAATCCATCCACTGTGGCAACCCTGAGCCTGCAGTCCTTCTTGCTGGTGGGCATCTGGGGCCAAAGAGAGTAAGTGATGTCTTTAGCCAATCTCCACATCATCAAAGGATCCACAACCATGCTTCCTTCTTGATTCTCTGGCTTTTCTTCCTCTACATAACCTCTAAGTGGAGGATTTTGTCTGGTGCCACCTTCTTTTCATTTTGTTTCCTTGATTACTACCTGCCTACCCACGACCCCAGCAAAGTGTCAGTTCTGTGACTATGGAGACACAGCATCCTAGCACTGGAGTGGGGGGTGGGGGTGGGGTGCGGGCACATGGTCAAGAGGCTGCCTTACAGCCTTTCCTGGGAAGCATTATAGGCATGGGAGGTATTCTGGTACCCAAAGAGCTTCCTTATAAGTTACCTGGGACTGGTGGGTGAGCAGCCTAGAACTTGATCCTTCACAGTGAGCTGAGATTTCCAATGGACTCTTTGAGAAACGAAGATCTCTCAGAGCTTTCAGAAGTGTAGATCTTTCGCCTACCTTGAGGTCTACAATTACATTAAAAACATTGCTCTGTGAACGTCTGTAATTACATAAAATCATGTGAATTTGTCTTCAACGTTGGAAACCTTTCAATAGGGGGCCAGTGTCAAAACATTCTTTCCCAAGAAGTAACATTCTATAAATGGCCCCCTCCCCAACTCAGTGAAGTAGACCTGAGAAAGACATAATAAGCCCAGGCTCAGAAATTAATCTTCCCTGCTACATTCTAGAGCATTTCACGCCAATCTGGGAAAACAGTGATCCACCTGAAAGATTAGCAGGAACATTATTTCTCAAAAGAACACACTGAGCTGAAAAATGTCATAGCAACTTCCTCTTTGAGTAACTACTGCTTACTTACTGGGAAATCTAGTTCTCTAAAATCAGAGGGCATCAGAAACTTCGGTGTTTGAAATCACATTGGTAAGAGCAAAATATAGGCAACTTATAGGTGGTACGTGCCTATAATCCCAGCACTCTGAGAGGGCAAGGCAGGACGGTTGCAAGTTCAAACACAACCTAGACAATTTAATAACTTACCAAATCCTTCCTGAAAGAGAAAGAAAGAGAGAGGAAGGAAGGAAGCAAGGAATAAAGAAAGGAAAGGAAAGGAAAGGAAGGAAGGAAGGAAGACAACCAACTCCCTGACTTTCAAAATCTAAGTCTCTCTGACATAGGGAAGTAGCCTCAGTTTCCAACCCTGGTGCCGAGTGTCCATACAAAGGTTTCTGAACAAAACACTGCATATCTATCTCAGCAGTCTCCAAGGTGACAGAATTTTAGTCCACACCTGATGTTGATCCCTTTACACAGAGCCCAGCCTTGCTTTAAGAATATCAAAACTCTGCTTTAATTCATATTTTATCCAAACCCCACCCTTCCTTCAAACTCTACAACTCTTGTCCTTTCCTTTGTTTGGTGAGACATCCCATGGTCACCTGAAAATGACCTCCCTCAACGTCACGAATCAATATGTCTAGTTTGCCAGGCATGGTGGCAAATGTTTGTAATCCCAGAACTCAGGATGTGGGACTGTATGATTCCAAATTCAATTACTCCCCTAGCCTCTATTGTATTTAAAAATTAATGGTTAAAATGTGCTTGCTAGTTCTGGGATAATAGATAAAATCTGTAGCAAAACAAAGTTCCTAAGTAAATTACTCAACCCCTTGTTTGTCTGGAGAACGAATGTTCCTGGGCCCACTGTCGGGAGAACAATCCATCAATGTGTCTGCCAACCATCAGTACGTGACGGTCGTGACCATATGGTCGTGACCATTACTGTGTATGTCTGCTGACCATCAGTAAGTGACAGTCGACTACTAACCTTTGTTCCTTTTTTTTTGTACATCTACGTGTTAAACTCCCCCTCAACCCCCTATAAAACAGCCTCGGACTCTGAGCCGGTTGCCTCTCTAAGCTATTTTGCTTTGGGAGCGCCGTCTGGCCAGACTAATAAAGGTCTGTTTTATTTTCCAACTTGTCCGGTGTGTTCCTTCCTGGGTGTTCGTCGCTGCAGTCAGCTCCTCGGAGCGTTTGGTAAGGCCCTCGGTCTTACAAGGAGGCTGAGGCAGGAGGATTGCCATGAGTTCAAACTCAGCCTGGACTACATCAAGAGACCCTGTCTCAAAAAGTAAAAGAAAAAAAAAAAATCTAACTTTCTTGGACTGTTTGTTTATCCCTCATGGCATTAATCTGTTAGCTAGGACTGCGCCAAAATTCAAATTCTAGCCCACTTTCTGGCTCCAGGGTTTCTTATTCCAACACTTATGCAGATAAGCACACACGCAGTGACCACACACAAAACTTGTTTGGTGGGTCTTATCTTTGTTCTATCACATCATACCTGAAAACTTTCGAAGGTTAACATTCCAACCAGGTTTATTTTCAGCATTCTTACATTTCTTTCTTACTTTTGGTCCAACAAATCCATTTTTTAATTCCTAGGAACAGAAAGATGTGTGTCACTTGAAACTCATTTTGAATGCAAGGACTAAAACTTGCATGACAGGCAACATCACAGTGCATGTTCACTTGAAGGGGTGAACAGTAGTTTTCACAAAGTGCCTTTTTTCATGCTACACTGGAAACACAGCTTTGTCTCTGGGCTGTCTGCTTAGCTGCCCGTCTGCGTGGCAGTCCCTCCCCAAAGTCAAGCAGAGACAGAGGAGGCAGGGACTCCAATGTATGGCAGGGTACTGCAATTGGGGAGGCAGTAATATCAGGGGTCTGTCAGATCCAGGCAAAAGGTGGTGTGGGGTTAGACCAAGACAGGACTTGTTATGCGACCTGTCCACATGGTTCTTAAACACCTTCCTCCCTGGGCTTTCTTCCCATGGACTTTGACCCCTGGCAGATTCGAACCTGAGTGCCTGCTGATGTGTGGGTGTGGCCTCTGTGGCTTGCTCCGCCTCTACAACACTCCAGGCCCACTTCACCGCTGCACCCACTGCCTTGGTCCCTCAGCCTCCTCTCTGGGACCAGGACCACTGGGGGGCTTAAAGGACACCCCAAGGACTTCCTCTGTTGCTCCCCCATGACTGAGGCCTCTTGGCTGGTGACTACCCACAAGCCAGCCCTCCCTGGGCCCTGCTACCTGGCTCTGTCTCACTGTTGCCAATGACCCAGTGACTGAAGTGCCAATTGTCCCTCTCAGGTCAAATGGACTCTCCAAAGAGTCCAGGATTTGCGAATGTTTGGGCATAAAGAGTTCAACATAATAGAAGTCAAGGCCAAGTGGGGCTTCTGCTCGCCTGAGGAATCCATTCCCCAAGTATAAACCCACCACCTTTTCCCGCCTGGTCCTGAGCAAATTCTTCTTGATGCCCGGAAGGACTGGCAGGGAGCCGGTCAACACATGTGAAGAGCAATTTTCAAAGGGGAATTACGGGTGCAGTAGCAGAGTGCAGCACACAGTTTAATTTAGCTGCAGTTTAAACCGTGGGGTGCAGGGTCACAGATGAAGCATGAAAAGCTGACTGAGGATGGGAATGGATCCCTTGGGAGGCAGGCTAGAGGTTTCTGCTTTCTTTGGTAGGTAAGGAAGAGTCCCGGAAGCACAGGGCATGGAAATGATACTGGGTAGGGATTCTAGGCTCCAGGAATTCAGACGATGCAGCAGGGGTGACTAAAGGCTAGGGGATCGTGAGGATACCGCACAATGGTTCACATTGACATTAGTTCTAAGGACCTGACTGCGAGGAGCGGTGACGTGAGGACAGGGAAGACCTTCCCACTGAGAGGGAAGGGTCCAATTTTCATGACTTGCCTGCTTTGAAGAGCCTTTGAGAACATTTTCAACTCTGTCTCCAGAAGAGGCTGGGCTTGGTGGTTCATAGTCTACTTGGAACACCTTTGTGACAATTCCACTCTGTCTGTTGTCTCTGAAAGTTATTTTAGAAGGAGGAGGAGGAGAAGGAGAGGGGAGGGGAAAGAAGGAAGGAAAGAAGTGAAGGAAGGGAGGAAGAAAAGAAAAATCTGTGTTATACAATGCTTCAGAGATAAAGATGGCTGAAAATGGAATACTATGCCTCATTAGGTCATATTTGCTCTTGAAACTAAACATATTTGAACAAAAGAAAAAAAAGAGGCTAGCAATTAAGATGATTCTACTTAGGGCTGGGGATTTAGCTCAGTGGTTCGGCTGCCTGCCTTGCAAGCATAAGGTCCTGAGTTCTGTCCCAGGTACCAAAAAAAAAAAATGATTCTATTTAAAATTCCTTAGCCTAGCCACTAAATTTACTATATTTTAAAATAAATTGGTGCTATCAAGACATGATTTTTTATTGCTATGTAACGAATGACCCCAAAATGTAGGGCCTTAAAGCACCAAGCTGAGAGCCTGGCTGAATAATCTCAGTCAATCTCTCTTTCTCTCTTCCTCCCCTGGCCCTGAGTATGTCTCGCTGGTCACTTCCAGCCAGTGGTTCTGCTGGATCTGCCCAGCACCTAACACTTTTTAATTTCAGTTATCTTCTCTCTCCAGTGCCTTTGCTTTGTTCTTAACATTTTATCTGTTTCACTCGCAATTTCTCAGATTTCTTACGAGCCCATTACTTATGCCTTAAGATGTCTGAAGCTTTAATAAGTGTCCCAAATGGCTTAAAATTCTTAATGTAAATTCTTAGGAATGCATACACATTGATTGCAAAACAACTGTGAAATGTTTAACATTAAACATACAAGTCTTAAGCTATGTTTTAGAATATGGAGGAAAAAATTCTCAGAAATACCCAACTCATCTACACAACCACTACTTACCTATGAGTGATGACACTGATGATATAAAATGCTAGGCTTCCCTGTGCTCAGTGGACAGGTGCATTTTTGGTGGCTGGAGTGACACCCCCCCCCCCAGGTGGCTGAATACTGGGAAGCACTTCGTAAAGAAAATACAACTAAATTCACGGATTCGTCACTCTGGATACACACATAGATGATCTTCTTCATGAATTGCTTGCTCAACTCATTCACTGCAGGAGCGGCCTAATGTCCTGCTCACCTGTGGTCCCAAGGGCCACCTGTCCTGGTCAGCATGCTTCGCTGACATCACCGACACCTCCCAAGGATCATTTGGACACCAGGTGGCAGAGAGCTCCCTGAATGTGCGCTTCCAGCCCCACTCTGAGCTGGTGACAAGTACAAGCTGCTCCTTCCTCACTGCCTCTACTCCTTCAAAGCTGGGTTCTCTCCCCCATCACATCTGGCCTATCCTTGGGGACCCAGCTAAGGCCTCACTCATGGGCTGTGTCCCAGCCAAGAACACCCCAGGGACCACTACTGCTAAGTAGCAGGATTTCATCCAGTTACAATCATGAAAGGATTCGGCTTGGAACTGTAGTTACAAATCCTATTCAGAGCCCACATTTCATTTGAAATACACACAAACTTTTGTTAGGGCTGGAATCAGAGGCCTTAAATGTGTATCTTAGAGAGGACCAACATAAAGTACATTTAAAACAAGTTTGTACAGTTCTAGCCTCACAAAGCTTACTATCTCCACAATAAAATGCCAGAATTACAGAATGACTCCATGGAAGTTATAAAGCTAGATCTATGGGAATCCCACAACTTGGTCTAGATCAGGTTTTCTCAACCTGCTGAAAAGTACTGAATTTGGGGCTAGATATTTGGTGTCACAGCAGCTGTCCTGTGTTTTGTAAAACAGCAGCACACCTGGCCTCTACCAGCTAGATGTCACTAGCACACTACCGCCCCTAGTTGTGACAACCAAAATGTTTCCAGAAGTTACCAAACATCCCCTGGCCGGGGGTGGTGGTGGGGGGGAGATTCCCCTCATTTGGACCACTTCTGTAGGAACAGGCAGGGATGAATGGAAACCATTTACTCACCCACACAGAAACGTGGCCAGTAGAACCCTTGCCCTTTGAGTTGGGTCACACGCAGCTATCTTTTAGCCCTGTCCTAAGATTTCGAATAATAACAAACAGCAACAGGGGGATTTAGCTCAGTGGTTTCGCCGCCTGCTGCGCAAGCGGAAGGATCTGAGTTCGATCCCCGACACCAAAAAAACAAAAAAACAAACAGCAACAGTAACAGCCCCAATAAGGGTGAGCCCGGATGGCCTATTAAACGTCATCATAGGGCCGGGGATTTGGCTCAGTGGTTTCCGCCGCCTGCTGCGCAAGCGCAAGGACCCAAGTTCGATCCCCAGTACTGAGAAAAAAAAAAAAAAGTCATCACAGATCTCCATGACAGCTGCCAAATTCTAATAACCTCATTCAACAAGTGGGGAAAGTGGGAGTTGAAGATCATGTAGTTCACTCGAGGTTGCAGAGTGGACTATGGAGCTAGGATTAAAATCCAGATCTGCAGGTCTCTGGTCCTGTCCTCCTTCTACACTGCCAGCCACCCCAACCCTCCAAACAGTTTTCTTCTCGCTTTTGTGGCTTCCCCTGGGGCGTCTCCCCCATAGCACAGCAGGTACTTCGCTGCCTCCTTGGATGTGCGTTTACACAACAAACTTGAACTGGGACCCCTAGTAGGGAGTTCTTATTTTCAGGCACACTGCATATCCCAAGGGACTACAGACAGGTGCCTGATAGTTTTCCTTTACTGTTGCAAAACTGGTTCTGCTGAAGATAATAATTCTCCTCAGAGGACTCTGAGTCCCCCAGCTAACCATCTTCAGTTCAAAGCACTTCTGACCTCTGGCTGGCTTAATTTCTTATGACCCCTATTTAAGGTCAGAGAGAGGGCAGCCTGCACATTCATTCCTGACACACTGCAAAATGCTATTAAAAAAATAAACAATTTTATTGAAGTAAAATTTACATACCACACAATTTACAAACTTAAAGTGCAGGATTCAATAGATTTTCACACCTGGAAAGAGTTGGAGAACTATAACCACAGTCAAACTTGGGTCATTTTTATTACTGAAAATTGAAACACTACCTACCAGCTGACATCTCTCGATCCTGCCCTCTGAACTCTAGGCAACCACTGAGCTACTACTCCCTATTTTCATAGATTTTCTTTTTCTGCGAATTTTTTTTTCCAAAATAGACCACACTCATAACAACAATAAAGACCTTGACACATCCAAAGAAATGTAAATCCTGGAGAGTAAGCTCTCACATCATATTGGAGAACAAAAGAAACATACTTAGAATATGATAACTTTTTTCTTTCTTTCCCCTTTCCTATTAAATTTTTCATATAAAGGAAACCATACTGTGTTTAAACTGTGTGTCTGGTTTACTTCACTTAAACTTATGGTCTCAAGGTGCACCCTTTTTCCTACAAATGCCTCGTTTGTCTTTCTTAACAGTACAGTGGTACTCCATTGTGTGTAAATATCACATTTTCTTTAGCCATTCATCTGTTGATGGATATAGAGGCTGCTTCCAAGATTTAGTAAGATGCATAATGGTATTATACTGAAAAAGGACATTGCTGATCACAAAGGAGGCTTCTAAAGCAAGGCAAAGGACACCTGTAACCCCAACACTCTGGGAGGCTGAGGCAGGAGGCTTTCCAGTTCAAACTAGCCTGGGCAACTTAGTGACTTAGTGAGACCCTGTCTCAAAATTTAAAGAGATGAAATAAAATAAAGGGCTGGTGATGTAGCTCAGTGTAAAGGCCCTGGGTTCAATCCCCAGTACAAAAAAAAAGCAAGACAGAAATCAGAGAGTATATAGACCTTGGACCAGATCATGGATATGAGCCATCCACAACTGACAACTTTGTCCCCTTCCTGAGATGCTCCCAAGTTCCTGGCCACTTGTCACCTGTGCCCCTTTCTGACCATTCTCTGATGTGAAATTCATATGTCCATGTCCATACACAGATGCACACATGTAACTACATGAAATCACACATATGACAATGCTTTTATTCCTTTCTTTCCATCCTAGAACTTGACAGTTTAATAAAAATATATTTCCAAAAAGCTGTCAGCCAAAATTCTATAAATGGAAACATTTTCCTATCATTTCATGTTGGTTGTGGTCAAAACTGGCTGCATATTGGCATCACCAAGTCCCACCCAAGAGACTGTTGCTTCATTGGTCTGGGAGTGGCCAGGATGAGCACCAAGCACAGCTCCCTGTGTGGCTCTAATGTGCACCTGGGCTTGGGAGGTGCAATTAGGGGCCAACATACCATGCCCTCCTGCACCCAGGCCCTGAGAATCCCTTCCCACTCTTAATTGTGCATGTGGCCGTGTGACATGCTATGGCAAGGAAGCAAATATAACGCAAGCAGACACTGGAGAAACATCTGTGGGCTTGGCCTTTCTCCTGCTGCTTTTGGAGCTGAGGTAGGATGGCCCACTAGAGACGGCATGTGCAGCCAGCACCTAACACCAGCCATGCAAGTCAAGCTTTCCTAGACCATCCAATGCACAATGAGCCAAAATGTGACCACAGCCACATCAACGATCCTGGGCAAGACCAGCAGAAGAGCTACCCTGCTGAATGCAACCTCCTGACACTGACACCCACAACATAATGAGCAAACGTAATGGCTGTCCCTGGGAGACACAAGTTTTTGAGTCATTTGTTACGCAGCACTAGCTAACTGGTTCAGCTGCCAAGGTTGAGCAGCACTCGGTCTATGATAATTTCAGTATCCTTTATTTACTATTTATTTAATTATTTAGTATTACAAAAGGGATACTCCCCATTAAAGTTTGGAAGCTGTTAAAATTAACAAGAAGCAAATAACAAACATACATGGTATTATCACAGAGACAATGACGGCTAAAGTTTGGCATGTTCTCTTCCAGTCTTTACACTATGCATTGTAAAACATGGTTAGAGGGCCGAGGATTTAGCTCAGTGGTTACGGTGCCTGCCTTGTAAGTGCAAGGTCCCGAGTTTGATCCCCGGTACCAAAAAAACCCAACCCCCCCCCAAAAACTATGGTTACAGTACTATAGTGATATACACTTGTATCCTCAATTTTTCACTTATCATAAACATTTTCTTACATCATTCAAAATTTCATGACCATAATTTCTGCTCTTAGTAGGTTAATGACCTTCAATCATTAACAGTCTCATCTAAAGTCCTTTGTAACCTTATTGGAGAAACTACTTTGCCAGGCATGGTGGGACAGGCCTGTAATCCCAGCACTCTGAAAGGGGGAGCCAGGAGGATTGCAATTTTAAGTCCAGCCTGGGCAACTTAGGCCCTGTTCCAAAAAAAGAATAGTACACGTGAAAGCCCTGGGCTCAATCTCCAGTACCACATAATAATAGTAATAATGATGATGATGATAGAAATTCCTATATTTAGTAAAAATAATTACAATATGTATATAAAGGGTTTTAAAAATTATTATTTTTAGATGCCAAATATAAAAATCATCTTTGGTACACAAGTTGCCAATCTCTCCAAAAAGCCATGCAGCAGTTCAGCCAGCAGGGGGAGCCTGGGGTGTCTTTTGAACGTACCTGAGCCAGCCAGGTACTGTATTTGGTTTGGGGCTTAAACATGTTCTTCAAAAGTGGTCAAACCTGTTTTGCTGAACAAAGCGATTCTTGTATCACAGCCACAAGACTTACTTAACATTTGAGGTTTGGGTATTTTTTTTTTGCTCCCTCACAACAGATAATGGTTTTCTGGTTAAGTGGTTTTGCTATATTAGTAAATGTGAGTCCCTGAGTAGAGAAGACAGGATATAGTTTTAAAATTTGCTAATGTCCACCAAGTTGAAATGACAGTAGCTCTGAAGGTCAGTGAAATCAGTACAAAAAGGTTTAGAGACTGACGGTGGTGGCTGTGGGACACAGGAACTTGGGGAATACCAGAATCCCTCACTCAACATGGTGCCCTTATCGGACCCAGTGAAGCTCTTCAAAGGTCCCAATCCAGAAGGTCTCTTCCTTCCCCAAAACCCAATATGGAATGTGAAATAAAAACATTATTAATATAACACTTCATACAGCGGTACACTTAGGATTTGAGTATTTTACAGTATACCTCAACAAAAGGCAAATAAAACACAAAAGTTACATACATATGATGAAATTAAGATAACTTTTATCATTAGTGCCCTTCTAATGCAGCACTGATTCTCACAGAAAGAAACAAAATTAGAACACAATGTTACTATATTATAAACCAGTTTTACACTGAGTTCTTAACTTACTTAGACACTGCAATAGCTTTAACTTGTATTTTTCCATCAGGCAGAGTAATAGGTTTTGTATACTTAAATGTATTATTTTCACCATAACCAATTTTCTTCAGAAATTCAGGTTTACTGCCATCCAGGGTGTAATATATGTTGACATCCGGGGTGTCTGAAAAATCCAAAAGAAAAAACTAAAGTAGCAAGCCATTAAGTAAGCCTATAGACTATTTATTCCAGGAGATTTTATATACGTTGTAGAAGCAACAACTAACAAAAATCCTGTTCTTTCTCTAAATTAGCACAGTGTTACAGGAAAGAGCTCACTTCATCTGCATACACGAGGTGGGTTCTATTTCATACCTAATTTATAGGTGAGGTAAGTGAATCCCTGAGAGATTAACAGGCTTGCTAAATAACAGAGTTGTGGTTTGACTTCTACTAGGTTGGATCTTTTGTCCAAGCTCCTAAACCTCTGAGCTCTTTGTTTCATCCATAGGCACTGGTATAAATCAAATAGGAGTCAATTTTGAACAACAGAAAACAGAAGCTAGCCGGGGATTTAGCTCAGTGGTTCCACCACCTGCCTCGCAAGCACAAGGACCCGAGTTCGATCCCCGGTACCAAAAAGAAAAGAAAACAGAAGTTAATTTTTAAATCATCTCTTTGTTTTATTTTGGGGTGCTAGGGATTGAACCCAGGGCTTCACGCATGCTTGGCAAGGACTTTTTTTTAATTTTGTTTTTTTTGAAAAAGGGTCTCGCTATGCAGTTCAGGTTGGCCTTGAACTTACTATGTAGCCCAGGCTGGGCATATTCTGCCTCAGCCACCTGGCTTTTAGGCAAGCACTCTTATCACCAAGCTACAACCTTAGCCCTGGGCATTTCGTTAAAAAATGCTGTTATATTTTATGCGGACTTGATAAATGATTCCTGTACTAGAAAAATTTTTATTTTATTTATTTATTTTTTGAGACAGGGTCTTGCTGTGTAGTTCAGGGTGGTCTTGAACTCACTATGTAACCCAGGCTGGCCTTGAACTCACAGTGATCTTCCTGCCTCAGCATCTTAAGTGGCATGCCCCACCAAGCCCAGCTAGAAAAAATTTTCAATGCAATAAATTCATATGATTCAAAATTCAAAAGGTTAAAAAGGCCTATACAGGCTGTACACAGGATTTAGCTCAGTGGCACTGATACCAAAAAAACAAACAAACAAAAAAGGCTATGCAATAAAAGCTCTCCCTGCCAGCCTCCACACTAGCTATCAAGAGGCAACCAACAGTATCTTCAGCACCCTTCAATATTTTATATTCATGTAAACATGGAAGCACATATTCTTATTTACCCTTTTTATACCAGTGCTGGCCCTGTTCCACACATTCCTGTTTTCATTCAACAGTATGTCTTGGATACTGTCCTATTCTGATAACATAAAAAGCTTCCACATTCTTTGTTACAAGTGCATTGCATTCTCTTATTTAAACAAATAGTAATTTAACCAATTCACTACAACAGATATTTAGGCCATTTTCTTTTTCCTTCCCTGCCTCTCTCCATTCCTCTATTCTTCTTCCCTCCCTCCCACTCTTCCTTTTTGCAATTATAAGCATTATAATTAATAATCTTGTAAGTATGTTATAAAGCAAATATGTAGAAATAGTACTGCTGAGTTAAAACATATGTCCATTTGTTTTTTGTTTTTTGTTTGTTTGACAAGGTATTGCTATATTGCTCAGGCTGGCCTCAAACTCAAATTCTCCTGCCTCAGCCTCCCGAACAGCTGGGACTGTAAGGACACATCATCAGCCTAGATTTCCATTTATAATTTTAATTAATATCTCCAAGCTGCCCTCCATGGGTGATTAAGCAATTTATACTGTTACTAGCAATGCGTAAAGTGCTTGTTTAATTACAACCTCCAACAGACAATGTGGAACCAATATTTCTTTAAATTTTGTTAATTTTCAAAGTTTAAAAAGTAGTACCTTGTAGTTTCAACCCACCTTTGTTGCTTTTTTTTTTAATATGGTGCTGGGGATCAAACTCAGATCCCTGTGCATACTAGGCATGTGCTCTACCACTGAGCTACATCCCCAGCCACTTTTCTTGTATTTTGATAAGATTTAAATTCATTTAACAAATATTTCCTGAGTACCTATCATGTGCCAGACTCTGTTCTGGGGACCGGAGACACACAAATGACCCAGGTCCCTGCTTCCATTTCAGGAAGGTCATAAAAACAGTAAATGAATAAACAGGTAGATACAGTTTGTCAGATGGTGGTTAAGTGCCCTGGAATGAATTAAGCAGGGCATAAGACTACCCAGTCAGCAAGTGAAAGAACAGCTAGAAGCTATCTCTTCAATTATATGACAGACATTTCTATTTCCTTTCTTATAAAATGTCTTTTCACAGCCTTTGTCCATTTTTCTATAGGGTTAGTTTCCTTTTTGGTATTGAATTGTGGAACCTCTTTATTTATTTGACATTTACTTGTTAAAGAACTTGGATACTCTGTCATTCATATCATCACTTGTCAGTAGTCACCTAACTTCTCTTCAGAGCTATGGGTACCTGTGTTAAAATTTTTATTTTGACGTATGATTTTTTTTTTTTTTTTGTACTGGTTATCGAACATGGGTCCTTGCGCTTGTGCAGCAGGCAGTGAAACCACTGAGCTAAATCCCCGGCCCTGACATATGATTTTTAAAAACCATATTAGCTTTTAAGACAAAGGAGGACATAGTATAGTGCAGTGTTGGCGAACCTGTGGCATGCATGCTGCAGGCGTAACACAGAGCCCTCTCTGTCAGCATGAGAGCTAAGTCACCCCAACATTGCCCCATCAGTGGGGCACTGGTTAACAGTGCACAAAAGCATGCTAAATCCACCCTTTCACCTTACAATAAAAATCTGTTTGTATCATCAAAAGCTCTGTTATTGTGTTTTTCTTTTAAGACAAAAGATGTTAATGTAGGAGTTGTTTTTTCTAAATTAAAACCTCAGTATTCAGGTTTAATTGCAGTGTTGGCACTTTGCGATAAATAGGGTTTGGGGTAGCAGGTTGGGCACTCAGTGGCTAAAAGGTTTGTCGTCACTGGTGTAGCGTAACATACTCTTCCCTGGAAATTCTTGGTCTAGGAAGTACAGGGTCATACTACAAATGCAGATAAGTCGTCTGCATACATTTCAGTTATTAACATATAAAATTGGAATCTGTAAGTCTTTTCATACAAATATTTGTCCATGTTTTATTTATGAACGTTTACTATGCTAATTACATATGTATATATACATGTATGTACATATAAACTCATACAAATACATTTAAGAGTTTAAAGAATATTACCAGGAAATATATTCAGTACTTTATTTTTGCAATAATAGTTAAGATTTGTTTTACTAAACGTTATACCCTGAGCACTTCACATATATACCAACTCATTTAATCTTCACAATGGCTCTAAGTGGTAAATATGATCGTTCTCATCTCACTGTGAGAAAACTGAGTTTCAGAAAGACTATGTCATGTGCCAGAGGTCACTAGAAGTTGTCAAAGCTTGGATTCAGACTCTAGCCTGCTACATGTTAGCATATTAGCCTATATTAATAGGACAAATTTATTATTCCAGAAAATACTGATCATCTTGAGAAAGAGTAGGGAAGGAAATAGACATCTTACCTTGGCGGAGTAAAGACAGTGCTTCAGCTATGCACCCGCACAGATGAAAGTTTAGTCAAAGCTAACCATTTTTATCTGAAGATATGCCATTCTATAAGCCATCAAAGAGCAACACTGTTTCAAATTGTGGAAGTTTTACAACTGCCTAAATCCTGATTATTGAAAACATGCAAAGAGATCAAGCAGCAACCACATGAACACAGAGTGTTACAAGGTTATTTTTAAAACAATTTCAAATACCTGAGATTCCTACCTGATTTCATTTCCAAAAGAGTATTATTATCAATTTCATGGTTCGCTTTTCCAGGCTGAGGTATTCGCAGTGGTATGATCTGAGGGACACACACTGAACCAGCCGTCATGTTCGCTCCTGAAATCAAAAGACTATATAAAAATAAATGCCATCATATAAAAACTGAAGAGCTGAAGCTCATTTAAATGCAGCAAAAGGGCTGGGGATTTAGCTCAGTGGTTCCAGTGCCTGCCTTGCAAGTGCAAAGTCCTGAGTTCAATCCCCGGTACAAAAAAAAAAAAAAAAGGATGTATTAAATGCAGAACTAGTAAAATCTAAAGACAACATTGCTACTATGCTACCTGCAAATATCAGCATTTTTTTTTTTGAGACAGGGTCTTGCTCCGTAATTCAGGCTATCCCTATGTAGCCCAGGCTGGCCTTGAACTCGAGGTAATCCTCCTGCCTCACCTTCCCGAGTGCTGGGATTACAGGTGTGTGCCACCACACCTGGCTTATCAGCCTATTTTTAATTGAAATAATTATTATATTTCAGCTGCATTTTTGCTGATGAGGTCTTATGAGGGGATTTATCTAAACATCTCACTTTTTAAGCAAGAAGCAGGAATGATGGACCAAGGAGTTATTTTAAGTGACTAACACAGCCAGGCATGGTGATGCATGACTGTCATCCTTGCAATTGGGAGGCTGAAGCAGGAGGATCGCTGTGTGTTCGAGACTAGGCTGGGCTACATAGTGAGTTCAAGGCCAGCCTGGACTGCATAGTGAGACCCTGTCTCAAAAAACAAAAATAAATAAATAAATGACTAACACAGAACAGAGACCATCACTTCCTGACCTCAGTTTCCCTTAGAAAATTGAAACCCTTTCTTGCCTCTGATTAATGTTCATCTCTTTTGACCTCAGGACAAGTAATCACACAGGATGAACAGAAGCAACTTTGTATGCAGCATGAAATGTTACTTTATTTTAAGATTTATTAACATTAATTAATTTTGGGGGGGGTTTTTTGAGACAGGGTCTTGCTTTGTAGTGGAGGCTCCTCTTGAACTCACTATGTAGCCCAGGCTGTCTTTAAACTCATGACAATCCACCTGCCTCAGCCTCTCAAGTGCTGGGATTACAGGTGTGTGTCACCATGTCTGGCTCCCAGACCCTTTATTAACATTTTTTTATTTTTTATTTTGAGAGAGGCTCTCACTAAGTTGCTAAATTGCCCAGGCTGGGCTGGAACTTTTCCTTCTTCCTTTCTTTCTTTTCTTTTTTGGTACCAGGGATCGAACTTGGGACCTTGTGCTTGCATGGCAGGCACCAGAACCACTGAGCTAAATCCCTGGCCCTTCTTTCTTTCTTTTGAGGCAGGGTCTCTCCCTTTGTAGTTCAGGCTGGCCCTGAACTCACTATGTAGCCTAGGCTGGCCTCGAACTCAGTGATCTTCTTGCCTCAGCCTCCCGAGTGCTGGGATTACACGTGTGTGCCACCACACCTGCCTATTTATTTCTTTTGAGACAGGACCTTGCTAAGTAGTCCAGGCTTGCCTTGAACTCATGATGATCTTCCTGTTTCAGCCTCCTGAGTACTGGGATTACAGATGTCTAGCCACCCATCTAGGCTAGAATTTTTGAGCCTCCTGCCTCAACCTCCTAGAGTGTTGGAATTACGGGCTTGCACCACCCTAACTGGCTATAGTCTACTTTGTGGACATTTTATTATTTACAATTTCCACTTACCTGTATAAACTTATTTATGAATTTGTTTGGGCATTTAGGCTATTTCTAGCGTCTTTTTGGTACTGGTTGTGGCAATGCTAATGCTGCTGCTCTGCACATTCTGGGGCGGGGGGAGTTGAGCTTCCCCAGATGAAGGGAAGAATACAAAGTGCAGATATTGACCGTGCAGCACCAGGGCCCAAGCGATTGTAGCCAGTCGTGGGAGGACTTGTCATACTCACATTTCCATTCAAGTGGGAGGAGTTACAATAGAAATACTTGAAAATTATAAATAAACATAGAGAACAATTCGCGCGTGGGAATTCGTAGCTGCCCTTGAGAGGTCGGGGTGGCCAGTTGTCCTCAAGCAAAGGGGAGAAAAAAGCCGACTGGAGAGGCACACTGCAAATGCAGCCAACAACACCCCTCCCCCACCTCCCAGCTCTCTCCACCCAGACGCAGAATCCTGTCCGGTCCTCCTTCTCTCCTCCCCCGCCCATCAGAGACAATAGAGGACACCACCATCCTTTGGTTGGCGCGATGGAGGCCCTTCTCCTTCTCCCACAGAGGAGATCGACATCTGGACCCTCAAAGCATCCCCGCCATGGCCCCCGATCCCGCCACCAGCCCCTCACCTCTAGCTTTCTCTTTCGCCGCCACCAGGGTTACCAGAGACGTTGCGAGGCGCACCACGCCCGCTGGGCAGATGATTGGTGGAAAATCAGCTTCCTAGCAACTAGCCCCGCCCTCTCCGCCGAGCCGGGTGACTGGTACCCTCCCGGAGTTACTTCCAGTTGGCTTTGCTGTGGGGAACCAAGAATATGCCTTCACAGAGGTTGGAAAGCGCTGAAAGGTGCCGTCTGTATTCAGGATGACGGAACAGGGTTCTTTGTCCGACAGGCATTGCTATTCCGACCACGAATAAGAAGCTGTAGCGGCGCCAGAAAGTGGCGCGGGGCAGGCATAGCTTGGCCGCCTAAGGCAGACAGGCAAGGAAGGACCGGCTGCGACTCGAGAAGGAAGCCCCTATGTCCCTGACCCGGCGCTCTCTCCCAGGGCTCCTGTTGTTCTGTGGCTGGCTTCCCGGCGAGTCTCTCCTTCCGGGGCCAGGGACTGCGCCGTCATGGCTGAGGTGAAGGTGAAGGTGCAGCCGCCCGACGCGGTTCCGGTCGAAATAGAAAATAGGTGAGCTATGGAGGCTCTGGTCGAGATTCAGGACCCCTGCAGGCGCCCTGTCATTTGGGCTGCGGACCATTTCTTTAGGGGTTCTTAGAAGAGGCTGGATGAGCACGCGGGACAGTGATTCTGGTCACGCTTCCCCACTCCTCAGAGAGCGGAACTCTAAGTAATGTTCAAAACGGGTTTGACAGCTCGCAGTTTTACCCCGGAACCTAGAAGTTGTGATGTTGCACTTCCCTCGGTATTAAGGCAGTCAGTTGCCCGACGGAAGACTTACGTTTTCCCTGTAGAACTTGTGGACACACGTAGTAGTCCAGGATTTTCTGTAACTCCCACAACAGAACGTTTGGATGAAGGTAGGGTGCAGTTTGTGATTACAAAGCAACAGTACGCCAAATGGTTTAGGTGGACTGTTGAAGTCAGGATTCTAGGGGCACCTAAAGCCTCTCTCAATTTTATAATGCACCGCTATTTCTAGGTTATAATAGTCTTAAAATAGTCCAAATTTCTCATGCTGACATGAATAACATATTTATTAATCATAAGACAAGATTTGGACTTGTTTGGTAGGCATAATCCCCCAGACAGGCCCCAGTTATGGTGAGTTATCACAATAAATTTGGCCTCCCACCAGAAATGTCCACATTTACCTTCTGCTTACAGACTTATGGCTTAACTTTGTTTTACATATTCCAGCTGATAAAATTGAAGTCTTTTCTGTTTTTATGAGACTTTGCTCTAATTTCAAGTTCATATTTGTGAGGAATAGAAAAATTCTCTTTAAACAACACTAAGAAAAGCATATTCCTCAGTTTTTAATGTGTTTTGGTTCAGAACTGTCATAGAAAGCCAGATTGTCTGCCAAATGTGGAAAAATGCACAATTTCAAACTCTCTGCTTGTATTTTTCCTTTACTACCCCTTGAAACAAGAAAGCATGAATATTATTAAAACCTTTGTTTCTAGGATCATAGAACTATGTCACCAGTTTCCTCATGGAATCACAGACCAAGTAATTCAGAATGAAATGCCTCATATAGAAGCCCAACAGCGGGCAGTGGCCATCAATAGACTCTTGTCCATGGTAAGGAAAATCCAACTGGTTTAACATGCAGTAATTACTTATTATAATTGTCATTGCCTCCCATTATGTAGTTGTGATGGTTAATTTAATTTGTTTTTATTTAATTAATTAATTAATTAATTAATGTTTGGCACTGGGAATCAAACTCAGGACCTTGCACTTGCAAGGCAGGCATAGTGCCACTGAGCTAAATCCCTGGCTCCTAATTTTATTTGTTAACTTGACTGGAGCTGGGATTCCCAGATGTCTGGCTAAACATTTCTAGGAATGTTCTGGAAGAGATTAGCATTTGAATTGGTGAACTAACTGAGGCAGATGGTCCTCCTTGATGTAAGTGGGCATCATCCAGTTCTCTGAGGGCCTCAATAGAACAAAAAGGCAGAGGAAGGGTCAGCCTACTCTCTACTTGTTTGAGCTGGGACATAAGTCTTCTGCCATCACTACTCATGGTACTTACGGTCTTTAGATTCTGATTGGAATCTACACCACTGGCTCTTTGCTTCTCAGGGATTTGAACTATACCACTGACTTTCTCAAGTCTCCGGCTTGCAGAAAGCAGATCATAGGACTTCTCAGCCTTCATAATTACATGAACTGCAAATGTAAAATAAGTCTCTTTCTAGTGAGAGATGTGTGTGTGCGCGCGCGCATGTGTGCACCTGTGTATTCTTTTTCTCTGAAGAACCCTAATGCACTAGCCATAAAACTAGGAAGTGTTTACACTGTAGTTGTGTCTAGTAAGATGTCACCAAGAATCAGCTTAGACTTCCTGAATTAAAAAAAGAAATACTTAGGGGCTGGGGATTTAGCTCAGTGGCATTGTGCCTGCCTTGCAAGCGCAAGGTCCTCAGTTTGATTCCTGGTACCAAAAAAAACAAAAAGAAAGAAATAATTATTACTGTTGTTTTTTATTAACCTAATTGTTGGGTAGGAGCACCCAGGGATAGTCTGTTCTTACCTTCTTTTTGCTTCCTGCTACTGGTATTGGAGCATTCTGTGTAATATAGCTCCCCTCTGATTTATCTGAGTCATCACAGAGTCTGTTTATTAGGGTATCCTTCTCCACAGTGTCACTGAGTTTTCATTTCAGAAGCAGCAGTTCTGAGCCTCTGGGTGGAAGTGCAGCTCTCAGCCCCTACACACATCCAGTAGGAGTTTTCAGAGAAGCCCTTCTCCTTACTCTTACCTGTTCTGTCCTCCTTAAGAACCTGGGGCCCTAATGCCATTTTCCTCCAACTTTACAAAACACCCCACCTACTAGTACTGTACTTCATGCAGTAAATCTTCTTTCTTCTTTGTTTCTCTCATTGTCAAAATTCCCATTTCTTGAGAGCATTTCCATTTGTAGGCCACGTGGTATCTGTCACATATTCTCTGCCTTTGTGTCCAGGAAGCCACCCAGAGACCCCAGGTGGGCCATAGGTATCTCGTACCTTACTACTCCTATCTCTTTAAATGCCCAACAGATAGAGTGGAAGTTGGTTATGTGCTTCCCTTTTAGAATTTGGTTTCTGAAGGCTGGAGTTGTGGCTCAGCATAGGTGAGGCCCTGGGTTTGATTCCCAGAATGGCAAAAAACCAAAAATTATGTGTTTCCTCCCAAATGACCTATCATATAGCACCTGGTACAGTACAGGTGTTCAGTACGTGTTTGTAGGCAGAGTAAATGACCAAGCAGAACCTCTGAATTAAGCTTTGTGGTCCCACATTGCCATTGGTAGAGGTGACAGAGGGAGAGAGTTGCAGTTTATCCAGTATGTAAATCACTCTTCAAGTCTTTAGTCTTCCTGGTCTAACACATGGGGACAGGGACCTCTCAGCCATTTGGGTTCTCCTAAGGTGAGAGCCACTGAAACTCAGAAGCATGGCAGAGCATACTTCATCTTGCTTTTGGCTCATTGTATAAAAATAATATTACTCCAGGGCTTTTATCCATTGGTTGACCTCTGTGCCTAATTTTCATGTAATAAAATAAAAATTATATGCATCAGTAAATGTAACTACTTATAATTTTATTATTGTGTTATTGAATATTTATGCATGTTTAGTTGTTTAGCCTTATCTGACATTTTTATTTAAACAGACTATATATATTACATACATGTTTTTATTTTACTTTAGTTTTTGGTCATTTGAGACAAGGTCTTGTTAGGTAGCCCAGGCTGGCCTCAAACTCATGATCCTCCTGCTTCAGCCTCCTGACTTCTGGGATTATAGATGTATGACACTATACACAGCTTAAACAAATTATGTTTTAATTTTTATTATGTTTATTTCCTTACATATTGTCTTAGTTATTTTTCTCTTATTGCTGAGACAAAATACCTAATACCCAAAGTTAAAAGAGGAAAGGTTAACTTTTGCTCACTGTTTGTAGAGGTTTCAGTCCATAGTCAGCTGGCTCCAAGGCAGGGTGGCACAGCAGAGGGGCATCACAGAGGAGAAACAGTTCATGACAGGCAGAAGGCAGCAATTAGCAAGTGACAAGCAAAAAGCAGCAACCCTCTTTTTGCTCCTTATGTCCTATTTTAAGGTGGGTAGCCCTCACATCCAGGGTGGGGTAGTCTTAATCCTAGCATTGCACCATGAATCAACCCCAGCATCACATCCTGGATCCCAGACTCACACACCCTAAATCCAGCCACCAAAAAGCCCCGCCTATGACCACATGAGGTTTTAGGGGGACATGTGGATACAAGCTATAACACATATGTCATTTGGATCGGAATGTAGATTTTTGTTATTTTAAAACTCCTTTAAACTTTTTTCATGTATTGATCGTATAACCAAACCAGGATCTAGCATGTAAGAAGTTGTTAGTATTGATACTTTGAAATATTTTGAGATAAGTAGTTAAGTTTTGCAAAGTACATTGTATGTGATATATAGGCAAAAACTTCAGTTTCGGGTCATGAAACTAACAAATGTGGGAGGTAGACTATTTTAGTCTCCATAATAAAAATATTAATGCATTAATATCTGATGTTGCAATTAATATATCTCCAAAATAATTGACTTCTATATTCTATTATTAAAATCCTTAGGGTCAGTTGGATCTCTTAAGGAGTAATACAGGCCTTTTATACAGAATAAAGGACTCTCAGAATGCTGGGTAAGCATCTGCTTTTTTTAATTTTAAGAAAATTTTAATTATCACAAAAGTAATGTATGTGTTAGAAAAAAGCTGGTAGGAAACTGTGTAATGTAAATGTGTCCTGTATATCCTCCCTGCTTCCTGTCACATATTCCATTTCCCAGCATACCCTCTCTTAGTAATGTAGTGTATGTCCTTTTATCTAGATACATAGACATATAAATACTCATGGATGATTACATATGTATATATAAATCTCTTTTCCTTTCTTTTTGTTTAAACAAAAATGGGATCATGCTATCCATACTGTTTGTAACTTGCTTTTTTTCACTTATTGTATCTTGGACATCTTTTCATGTTGGTACATACAGCTCTGTCTTTTTTTTTTTTTTTTTTGGTACCGGGGATCGAACTCGGATCCTCCCGCTTGCAAAGCAGGCGGCGGAACCACTGAGCTAAATCCCCGGCCCCTAGCTCTGTCTTATTTTTAAGGTAAGCCTGTTTAGTAAATAAGTCAGTGTGATGGCCTTGTCTGCTAATTTATTTAAATAGTCATGTAGATTATTAGATTAATCTATACCCTTTTCCTTCTTAACTCTTTTATTCCCCTGCAGTAAAATGAAAGGATCAGATAACCAGGAAAAACTAGTATATCAGATCATAGAGGATGCGGGAAATAAAGGTAAGCCTGTGAAGGATGAAGCGGATGAAGTTTAGCGTGTAGAGTGTCCTGCTGTCATTCATGTGAAAAGGAGGGAGGGAGGGAACAGAGTGAATACCTCTAAAATGGGTAGGCTTGAAGGATACTCAAGGGTGTCACCATTTTGTGGTCAGAGATGGGAAGAAACCTCTGAATTCTGAGCCACATGAATGAATTATCTTTTCAAAACTTAGATTCTTTTTTAATTGTCATTTTTTAGCTATATGACTGTCTCCATCCATTTTCTGTTGCTATCTAGTTAAATACTACAGATAAGGTAATTTTATAAAGAAAAGAAATTTACTTGTTACTGTTCTGGAGGCTGAGAGGTCCAGAGTCCCAGGACCACATCTAGTTAGAGCCTTCTTACCTTACCGGTGGGACTGCTGTGTAGAGTCCCAGGGCAGCACAGGGCATCACACGGTGAGACAGCAAGCTCGCCATCAAGAGCTCATTTGGTGAACACAACTCTTGACTTGGTAATGTGGTAGCACATGGGTGGGTAACCCAGTCACCTCCCATAGGTCTCCCCTCTCAAGTGCCACTAACATAAGGCTTTGGGGATTAGGTTTCCAACACACGAAATTTGAGGGATACATTTGAGCCATAGCAGTGATTTGGATGAGTTACTTAAATTTTGTGAACCTCCATTTCTTCATCTTGGTGTGGATAATAATAACTCCGATTCCTGCAAGAACCAGGATGACCTATAATGCAGCATGGCAGTATCTTGACCCATGTTCCTCAGCAGCTCTATCTCCCTAACCCTCTTGATGAACCGTGCCAAGACTGCAAATATTACTAGTTGTGGCACACATCTGTAATCTCAGCACTCTGGGAGGTTGAAGGATATGGATCACAAGTTTGAGTCCAGTCTGGGCAATTTAGGGATTTAGTGAGACCATCTCAGAGTAGGAAAAGGGGTGAGGATGTAGCTCAGGGTGAAGGCCCTTGGTTCAATTACCAGTACTGGGGAAAAAAAAACAAAAACCTTTTTGTCAAAGGATTTGCCGTCAGCTTTATTTTGGTAGTTTGGGAATGAGGCATAGCTGTAGGAATAAAAATAGGAAAAAGGGGAAGAAGGAACCTAGACAGTGGGGAATTTTGGTGTTTCCTCCGCCTCTCCTACATTATCAGGTGGAAGAGCCACCTTTGAGAAAGGGCACCTGGCCATCCCCGCAGCAAGGCAGGGAAAGCCAGAGTTTTCGGCGCTGCTCAGTCTTTGCTGATGGGAATAAGGCAGCATTTTTTTTTCACAGTAACACATTTCAGATTTAAGCCCCTTAATAGCACTAATATTTATTGAGCCTTACCATGTGTTAGGAACTATTTTAGAACTTTAGAATATTATGTACTTCAGTTCATGAACTTGACTCCATGATTCTGGTCACAAACTGAGTTGGACAAGAACCAAGTCAAATTCAATGGGGGAAGAGCCCAAAGATTAGGTTGTTAAAAAAAAGAAAATAGGAGCCATGGTTTTTGTAGACCTGTGCTTTGTCAGTGTGTAAGACATGAGTCTGAAGTAGCCAGCAGTTTGGTTCTTGAAAGATCTCTGAATCAGGTGCAGTTGCTTGGGTGAGTGGGTCAGGACCCTGTCATGAGACTGGTGGAAGGAAAAAATCCAGTCACTGTATTTTCTCTAGCAACAAATGAGATGTGGCGATTAGGGGACAATGAAGCATACCAAATAGGTGATGTCAGTCAAAAGATGACACGGCACTGAATACCAGTGTTTTGGTCATGTCTTAGAGATATAGTATATCAGCATGTGAGAAACGGGTCTTGAATTTTTGTGGAAGGGAAAGTAGACTATGATGAATACATGAATAAGAATAATGTGAGGTGACAAGCCACAACTATCATAGCTAATAACATTATCTTTTTGAGTGACCAGAAAAAAGAAAAGGAATGAATGGATATTCTTTGGCCATTGTTTGATACAATCTCATTTCCAATCTTTATAGTTTTAAGGACAAGAATTAAAATGATAATTTATTAAAAGAAAAGAAAAATCTATAAACACTATAGTTTAACTTACTTTACTTTGTTATAGGAATATGGAGCAGAGATATTCGATATAAAAGTAACTTGCCATTAACAGAAATCAACAAAATTCTAAAGAATTTGGAAAGTAAAAAACTTATCAAAGCTGTTAAGTCCGTAGCGGTGAGTAGCTTTCTGTTTCTTCCCCCCAAATATTCACTTGTTTTTCCAAGTGTATTTCAAATTTTATTCTTTGACTTATGTTGTGATTTAAACATAATTCCAGCACTTGGGAGACTGAGGCTGGAGAATCTCGAGTTTTAGGCCAGCCTAAGTGGCTATATACTGAGTTCAAGCCTGAACTACATAGTGAGGTCTTGTCTCAAGAAAGGAAAGAAGTAGCCAGGCGTGGTAGCGCACAATGTAATCCTAGCACGCGGGAGGTTAAGGCAGGAGGATTGCCATGAGTTCAAGGCAAGTCTGGGCTACATAGTGAGTTCAAAGCCAGTTCAAACTACATAGAGAGACCCTGTCTCGAAAGAAAAAAAAGGAAGGAGAAAGGGAGGGAACAAGAAAGAAAAAAAGAAGGAATGATTTGTATAACTAAAGGCAAAAGGAAATGTCCATAGCATTGCAGTTGAGTTGATGAAGGTCTTTCCATGAGGAGTCTGGTTAATCATTGTGATATTGCTATATTGTACATAATGCACTGAAATTAAACATTTATGTAAATGATGGCAGGTGTGGGCTGCAGTGCAATTGAGAAACAGGTTAAAGGTCCCCTTCAAGACTGCCCTCCCTTTCACCACCAGTCACAACTTCAGTCCACCCACACTTTGACCATCTGGCTGTGAATTTGGGTATTCCAGTGACCCCTTTGGGCTTGATAATTTGCTAGAGCAACTCACGGAATTCAAGAGAGAACCATACTTCTCATGATGCTACTATTATAAAGGACACAAAGAAGCAGCGAACTGAAGATGGGAGGGTTCCAATATGAGGCTTCTGTATCTTGAGGATATATTGATATATAATTACCAACCATGGTAGCTGTCTTAGTTACTTTCTCATTCCTGAGATAAAATACCCAACACCCACAACTTAAAGGAAGAGAGGTTTATTTTGGCTCATGTTTTCAGTCATCAGCCAAATTTATGGTTGGTTGGCTCTAAGGAAGGAAGGGATTGGTGGAAGGGCTGCAAAGGAAAGCTATTCATATCATGGTGGCCAGGAGGCAGAGAGCAAAAGGGGGAGCTGGGAAGGGAGATGCACCCTTCCAGGTCACACCCCTGATGACGCCTCTTCCAAACAGACCCCACCTCCTAACGGAAAGTCAGCTGTAAACCCCCATGAGTCAGTCACCTTCCAAAAGCCCTGCCTGTGAGCACATGAGGCCTTTGGGGGACTGTAATAGAAGCTCCCCCAAGCTGTGATAGAGTTTTTGTTGGGGTTTCATTACATAGACATGGTTGATTGTATTCTTGGCCACATGACTGAATTCAAACTTTAAATCTCTTCCCCTCAAGAGGTTAGACTAATATCACATGAGTAATATCACATGATTCAAAGCTCCAACCCACTAATTGCATGGACAGCTGCCATCCCGAAGCTACTTAGAGGTCCATCAGGATCCACCTTATTAACATAAACCCAGATGTGGTCCAAGGGACCTACCATGAATAACAAGGGTCCTCTTTTTGGGAAGTTCCAAAAATGTAGAGATTGCTTTCAGGAATGGGGAGAAAGGCTAACGAATTCCTTATGAAAAAACAGTGAGATTCAGGTTTCTCACTGTTGGGGTACAAAATTATGGATAAACAAGGGAGGAGGTTAGGATGATCATATGGAATGGATTACAGTTGAGAACATCAGTATGAAATCATAGTTGGTTTAGTGCAGGTAGTTCCTGTAGAAATATTTATGATATATACGTATATATACAGGAGTTGGTATGTACACAAATGTCTTTATCCTGTCAGCTGAGATGGCCTGGAAGCAGCAGGACCCAGGAGCCGTAAACATACCTAGCACTCAAGTCTTGCTTTCTAGTGCCATTCTCCAATAGAGCGAGCCAGAGCTCCTTGGAGTAATGGCTGATTCCAGGACTTAGGAAATACAAAACCTGCTCCTGACATATGGTCACACAAGAAAGTTGTACACATGCACGCACACACACATGGATGCACAATGTTGGAGGCATGTCCAAGGCATACAAGAACCAACTGAAAAACTTCCAATGCCCAAAACTGAAACAGTTGGAATAACAAAGTAGTATTGGATTGGAATTCATACTATAAAATAAATATCATGAGTCCATACAGATATTAAATGAGAAATTGTCACAACTAAAAGGACCATAAGACGAGATGGCAACTGCTTGTAATGTAGTATCCTGGGTGGGGTCCTGGAGCAGAATAAGGTTGTCAGGGAAAAACTCATGAAATCTAGATATAGCATGGGCTTCAGCTGATAATGCTGGGTCAAAGTGGGTACAGTGGGAGAGCCTGTAGTCCTTACACCCAGGTTATCTTGAGTCCAGGGGTTAGAGACCAGCTTGGAAAATACAGTAAGATGCCACCTTAAAAAGAAAAGAAGCCAAGCATGGTGGTGCATGCTGGTAATCCCAGGACTCAGGAGAGCTAAGGCAGGATGATTGCCATGAGTTCGAGGCCAGCCTAGGCTACATAGTGAGTTCAAGGCCAGCCTGAATTACAGAGCAAGACCCTGTCTCAAAAAAAAAAAAAAAGATTTATGTATCACTAATTGTAACAGGTATACCATACTAATTCAAGATGTTAATAATAGAGGAAACAGAAAGTCTATAGGAACTCTCTATCTTTGCAATAATTCATTCATCTAAAACTGTTGTAAAATATAAAGTTTATTTTTAAAAAAAACCTTTTTTTGGAAACTGCCATAAACACACTAACTGTACATATTCTTTCCTAGGCCTCCAAAAAGAAAGTATATATGCTGTATAACCTGCAGCCAGACCGGTCTGTGACTGGTGGGGCCTGGTACAGTGACCAGGATTTTGAATCTGAATTTGTAGAGGTGCTTAACCAACAGTGCTTTAAATTCCTACAATCCAAGGTGAGGCATAACTGAGGAAATGTCACAAGTCCTTTTTAAAAAGTTTCTTCATAGAAGATATTTAGTCTTATATATCATATTTTGTAAGATTGAATCTAAAATGCGGAAATTGGTCATTTTTACTGAACACAGTAGTTCTGCTGCTGATTTGGCTCTATATAAATTGCATTCAGAAAGCACTCATCAGTATTCTTGCTTAGATCTCCTATATTTCAACCCCTACAGGCAGAAACAGCTCGAGAAAGCAAACAGAATCCAGTGATTCAGAGAAATAGTTCATTTGCCTCATCACATGAAGTGTGGAAATATATCTGTGAATTGGGGATCAGTAAGGTCAGAGCTTGCCTTCATACCTTTTCAGATAAAACTTACTCTTCAGCATGAGGATGTAGTTCACAATGTGTTCCTGTCATGTTTGACCCAGACCCTTCTCCTGTGATGGCCATGAGCACTCCTCAGAACCTGCTCAGGGGACAACACTATCCATTGGGCACTGTCTAGTCTGTTCTCAAGCTGGGGACACAGGCAGTGGAGTGCAGGCTTGGCTGCACAGTTTACCACCCAGAGTCAGGACACCTCCTCGGGGAATTTAGCAAGTGTGCAAAACAGCAGGCACCTTGTCAGTTGTCATCACCTGCATTTTCTTCCTTAGGAGACGTAAGTGATGTCATCGGCATGACCCTTTGAGGGTCTGCACAAAGGACAGTGATGTTTGTCATACTCAGCAGGACTCAGGTGGCCCTTGGACAGGTCATCTTCACTGCCTGGGCCCCAGATTTCTCTCTTACAATGAACTAGGAACTTTGACGATTTGGATTTTGTTGTTGGTTTATTGCTTTTTTTTGGTTGAGCTTTGGTTTTGTGTGTGTGTGTGTGTGTGTGTGTGTGTGTGTGTTACTAGGGACTGAATCCAAAATCTTGATACTGAGCTACATTCTCAGCCCTTTTGTTTTTTTGGTAAATAGGTTCTCACTAAGTGGCTGCCTCAGCCTCCAGAGTGCTGGGATTGCAGATGTGCAACATCATGCCTGGCAAGAACCTATTTGTTGTCTAGACTATCTTTCTGCTCAGGCATTTTAAGACTTTGCATCAAATTCTTATCAAAGATGTGTTACTTTAGGGGTGGGTGTGGTGGCTACTCAGTTACCCAAGCTACTCAGGATTCTGGGGCAGCAGAATTACAAATTCAAGACCAGCTGGGCAACTTTGCATGAGCTGCACTCAAACTAAAAAGGGTTGGTGATGTAGCTCAGTGGTAGGACACTTATCTAGCATGTGTGAGGTCCTGGATTCAATACTCACCTCTGCAAAAAACAGAAAAAGCTACTTTAGGATGGTGAAGACATCAGATAAGGCTCAGAGGTTAGACTTCTGTCCCTAGCATTTTGGTGGTTTGTGCTGATTTGGACCATTGTTACCCTCTGTGTACTTTCTATTACTCCTCTCCAGCACCATGTTTCCTCATGTCTCCAAGGAGTTGTGTTTATAACACCCCCCCAAAGGGTATCCCCTCATGCATTTTGTGTCCTTTCTAATGTATCGCTTTTTAGGTAGAGTTGTCCATGGAGGACATAGAAACCATCTTGAATACCCTCATTTATGATGGGAAAGTAGAGATGACAATCATTGCTGCAAAGGAAGGCACAGTTGGCAGTGTAGACGGACACATGAAACTATACAGGGCAGTCAGTCCAATCATCGCACCCACAGGCTTGGTCCGGTCACCCTGCGGACTCTGCCCGGTAAGTTCAGTGACTTCACTTTACCCTTGGGTACCACCAGGCACAGATGCCACCTAAAGAAACAGAGCAAGCATGCCCCAGTTTTCCAGACTTGCGGGGTTGACCAAGAGCTGCTAAAACTTCCACATAAACTTGATGAACAGATCTTTAGAAAAAAAAAATCATTGCCTTACATCTTTAATGGGATAATCAGGTTAAGGATAGTTGTATTTTCTGCTCTTCATCCTGAAATGCACTTTTTTTTTTTTTTTGTACCAGGGATTGAACTTGGGACCTTGTGCTTTCAAGGCAGGCAGTGGAACCACTGAGCTAAATCCCTGGCCCTGAAATGTACTTTTTGATCAGGGCTAATCATTTAATCTAAGTAGGGAAGGAATTGAGATTTTTGGAGAACTTATCATGTGTCAGGCTAATCAAAGATTTTCATATGTGGTCTCATTAAGTCCTCATGTCTTTGAAGCTAGTGGTGTTACTTTCCCTAATGCAGGGACTTGGGGCAAGGGATATAGCTCGGTGGCATGCCACATGCTTACTTTCAAACTAAGAGTAAGGACTTTTTTTTTTTTTTATATCGGTCATGGAAGTAATGTCTTTTCTCAGTATGCCTTGGCATTTTCTTTCATACATGTCCAGGGAGTTGATTAGCACCAAGTGTGAGTTGTAGGGCTGGAGATTTAGCTCAGTGGTTCCGTCGCCTGCCTCAAAAGCACAAGTCCCAAGTTCTGTCCTCGGTACCAAAAAACAAACAAACCAACCAAGTGTGAGCTGTAGGTACTGAAGTCACTGCAGAGAATTAGAAACTCTTAGGCTGCTCATTTGGGCTGGATATTGCTATACTGACCCCTGCTTGTATGCCTAAGTGCTCTATGTCCTGGTTTTAACTTCTGGGTAAAAGGCTTAACATTGTGGGAATTGTGACCAGAATCGTGGATGGGGATGAAGGTAGCTAAACATGAGCATTCAGCTAGTTATCATTAAGTCATTCGAATGTATAGGTCTCCCTCTTGCATTGCTCTGCTACGTGCTGTGGCCATGTTCATCTTAATGCTCTGTAAACTAACTACGTGATTGCAGAGCAGGCCCAATTACAGTATGTGAGTATTAAACATAGCCCTAATCCCTTTCAGTTTGCAAATAGATGTTTGGGTCTTGAATAGCTGGGTCAGGTTGGACATAAACTTTTATTTATTTATTTTTAACTTTTTTTTTTTTAAAGGTCTTTGATGACTGCCATGAAGGCGGTGAGATTTCACCCTCTAATTGTATTTACATGACAGAGTGGCTTGAATTTTAATAAAGAGCTGTGAACTTTACTGACATTTTGCAAATGAGGATACTTCATGAACAAGTAATTGAATTCATAATGGAACTTCAAATTTCCTTGAAAACATACTTCACAATAATGGATACAGACTTGCTGTTGTGAAGGTTTTTTCTCCTTTACTTTATGAAGACTAAATTTGTATTGGTGGAATAGCCACCAGAAAATGGGACAGACCAGGCTTGTGGAGAAGCCCACTCTGAAGCACTGGAGGGTCTCATCCTTTGATGTCTCAAGATTTTGGAGGACTCAAAGAAAAGGAAGCCAAATGTTTACCAAGCACTATGGTAATGGCTAGAGCACAAAAATGTTCATTTTAAGGTTAATTTGTTAAAAGTTTTGATTGGAAACATTCATCTGATTCACTCTCACCATTTGTGTTTTCTTTTCTCAGTGGTTTATGATGGCAGGAATATAGCAGAGCTGGGAATGTACACAGACTTGGTACATGCACTGGGGAGTGGAACATCCTTTTCTACATGCTGTTAGTCCCTTTTTATGCAGTATTTCTTTCAGGACTATGCTGCCATACTCACCTTGATCCCAAATGGTGACTGTTTATATTTTCAGTGCAGGGTATATTTTCAGTGCACAAATATTAATGATCGTTTTCATCCTCAAGGGAGTATTTTCACTCTTCCTCTATTGTTAAAGGCTTGTTTCATTCTGTGTCTCAATTATATTCTCCCTAGAATTTCTCTTAGATTATTTAGTGTGCAGTGTTTGTCCCATCCCACCACCCCACCCCGAGCAGACATACACCACCACTCCAAATATGAGTGTTGGAACCTGATCTCCAAGGTGGTGGGTTGTTTGTTTATTTATTTATTTATTTTGGTACCGGGGATCGAACTTGGGTCCTTGAGCTTACGCAGCAGGTGGCAAAACCACTGAGCTAAATCCCCGGCCCGAGATTTTTTTTTTGTGGGGTACTGGGGATCGAACTCGGGTCCTTGAGCTTGCAAGGCAGGCAGTGTGTTTATTTTTTGAAACAAGGTCTCGCTATGTAGCCCAGGCTGGCCTTGAACTCCCAGTGATCCTCCTGCCTCAGCCTCCTGAGTGCTGGGATTATAGGTGTGTGCCACCACCAAGGTGATGGTATTGGACATGGGTCCTTTAGGAGGTGATGGGTCATGAGGGTAGAGTCCTCATGAACTGGACGAGTGCCCTTATAAAAGAGACCCAAAGCAGGCATCTTGGTTACATCTGTAATCCCAGCTACTCGGGAGGCTGAGGCAGGAAGATTGTGACTTCAAGGCCAGCCTGGGCAACTTAAGTGTCATAATAAAAAGTGCTGGGGATATAGCTCAGTGATAGAGCACCTCTGGGTGCAGTCCCCAGTGTGGAAATACAGAGAAAATAGGGAGCCATCTGTGACCCAGGAAGTGGCCCCCACCAGACACCAGGTCTGCCAGGGCCTTCATGTTGGACTTCTTGGTCTTCTGAAATGTGAGAAGTAAAATTTTACTGTTGAGAGCCACTTGGCTATGATACTCTGTTATAGCAGACAGGATGGACTATGACAGTGTCTTGTTTAAAATTAAAACAAAAATAGATCAATGCCCTCTGTTTGAGGGGTGGAGTGGGGAGCATTCTCTTACTGTTTTGGATTTCTTTTTCTTATTCTGTTCTAAAATTCATGGTGTGACATGTCAAAGAAGAAAGCCATCGCTGTGCGACAGTCCTTGTTCTAATAGCACATTAGGCTGTTTAATGTACTGTTGCATGGAAAATAGCTGTATGGCTCTTTAGGACCTCAGCTGTTGTTTCTGCATCCATCCCACACTCAGGAGGCTGAGACAGGAGGATCGCCCGGAGTTTGAGGCCACCCTGGACTACATAGCAAGACCCTGTTTCAAAAAACAAGAAAAGTTTTTGTATCCAGCCAAAAGTATGGAACCAACCCAAAAGAATTCACACTTAGTTCCCACTAGGAGGTGAATTCTAACACTAGTTTGGAGGTGCTCTGAATGAACAAACAACATCAGAAGAGTTAGAGATAAAATATTTTGGGATCAGTAAAATAAAATGGAGCTCACTGGCCCATTTTTATCAGAGAAATTCTTTGTTCATTTCTCTAGATGACACTAGTCACAGAGATCATTTAAATATTGGCTGTATATAAGATACAGAAGGATCCAGGAACCAGAAACTACAGGGGCTCACATGGTAATAGCAATGTCCTTTGGGGCCTAGCAAAGAGGCACTGGCTTTATTTAATAAGAAAATTTAATTTGGAGAAGAGTTCTAAGAGGAGAAGGAAATGATTTATGTTTGCATTGTGTCTTGGTGGCCAGTGATTGATTTTTAAAATATAAAATAGTGAAAACAAGAGTATTATTGCCTCACTAGAATAAAGAGACCCTTTGAACTTTTTTCCATAGTATATTTTTTATTCTGAACATCAACTAAAGGAGAAAGCACCTCTGATGTAGTTAAATGCATTATGTATCCTACAGATAAACTGACCAAACAAATTGTGAGTCTCTAGACTCAGGAGAACTCCAAATAGTGAACTAGCAAGTGAATCCCTAACCCTTACAGCAGATTTTCATTCAGTGTTAGATGTTTTGTTCTCCTGAGGGTAGATGCATATTCCCCAGTCTGCTGAGGCCCTTTTGGATGTAATAATAACCCATGGAGAATAACAGAAATCACGAGAGTCCATGATTCTGTGGTTTTTAATGAATACATGGATTCTCACAGGAAACTGATTTAGTTTGGCAATATAATTTTTACAGGCCCAGGATTTTGATGATGATTAAGCAATTTCGTCAAAAAATTTCAAATTGAAAAAAAAAAATTTCAAATTGAGTCACTCCTGCTTTGAATTCTTACTTATAATTAGACAGTGGGTGAGGGGAGGAAGTAACATTGTGTGCTGTGGGCCAGTGCTGCCCAGTAGTTTTCTGCCACAGTGGAAGTGCACTATCTCAGCTGTCCAGGGAGGGAGCCATGAACCAGCAGTGCCTGTTGAGCACCTGAAACACGGCTTGGGTGACTGAACTGAATCTTGCATTTTTTAGCTACCTCTACCTGTGGTTACTGTACTAGGTAGCACAGCTCAACAATCATGCAGGCTTATGTAATTATTGTAGGAATGAAGAATATCAGAATTAGTCTTTTCTCAATTGTATATATTTGGATTTTTTTCCTATGAAAGAAGACAGTAAAGTATTATAAACAGTTGTTTGTGTACATTTATAGTTTTTTAAAGAAATAAAGCAAAGCAATAATACAATTATTAATTTTCAATGATTCAAGTAGAATTAAATTCTGATTATAAGTTTGGTCAAATCAGTGCTAACCAGTCTCTAAGAACATTATTCTACTAATGTATCTAATTTGCTTTTTACTAACTTGTCAAATAAGTTTTGTTCACTTTTAATTATAAAACTATTATATACATGTTCAGTGTAACAAATTCAGATAATCTCCATGTGGATAAAATAAAATGAGGGCATCTATCACACTATACCTACTAAAATTTTCATTCCCCAAGATAATTGCTGTTAAATGTTAGAATGTCTTTTCCAGACTTTGTCTTATCATGTCTAGAAACCAAAAGACTTTGTCTTAAAGTGGCTCTGAATCCCCTGTAAGCATAAACAGTATAGGAAATCACATTTCTGCTTCAGACCCAAATTCTCCAACATCGAGTGTGAATTCACTGGAAATCGAGGTGATATAAAGTAGCCAAAAAAATGTTGTGAATTAAAAAGTTGGTTTTGCTGCCTGCCTCACAAGCGCAAGTTCCTGAGTTTGAGCCCCAGTACCAAAAAAAAAAAGGTGGTTTTGTTTTGAGGTATATGATCAGAAAAAAAAAATCTTGGAATGGTTCAGAGAACTCTTTAGGAAGTTAAGAGGGTGAACTCTGCAGAACAAAACATGACATGGTGCATGCCTGTAATCTCTGCCCTTGGGAGGCTGAAACAGGAGGATTGCCATGAGTTTGAGGCCAGCTTAACCTACAAATCCTTTTCTTTTTTTTTTTTTTTGGTATGGGGCATTGAACTCAGGACCTTGCTCTTGCAAGGCAAGTGTGGTGCCACTGAGCTAAATCCCCAGCCCTAGCTTAAGCTACATAGTTCAAGACCAGCCTGAACTACACAGCAAGACCTTGTCTCAAAAAAAACCCCAACTCTACCCCCCCCCAAAAAACTATGAAGGGTGGAAAGGTATTCTGTTCCTAGTTTTTTTGTTTGTTTTGCTTTTCGGTTTGTTTTATGGTACTGGGGACTGAACTTGGTCGGGGCCTTCACACTGAGCTACATCCCCAGCCCTTTTAAAAATTTTTTATCTTGGCCCGGGGATGTAGCTCAGTGGTTCTCCCGCCTGCCTCACAAGTACAAGTACCCAAGTTCGAGCCTCGGTACCAAAAAATAATTTTTTTTTATCTTGAGGCAGGGTCTTGCTAAATCACTAAATCACACAATCTGGGCTTGAACTTCTGATCCTCCTGCCTCAGCCTCCCAGAGTGCTAGGATTACAGGTGTGTGCCACTATGCAAGAAAGGTTATTTTTTGTTTGTTGGTTTGAGGAGAAAGGCTATTTTTAAAAATACTTAAGAGTAACCATTTCCAAATTGCTGCCATGTATTTAATGCTTTGACATGTTCATTTTGGTATTGTTAGGCTTTTCTTGGTCTTTATACAGAATTATCCAAAAGCACCTGGGTCAGCTAATGCCTGTGGCCATGGTCACAAATGGATGACTTGGATCTTGCCATGTGTGCAAAATTTTTAACTTTTACAGTGTGCTTTCCAACTATTATAATCCATATAGATATGAACTGGGCATAGTTTCTGGACACAAGGATTATAGATACATGTGTATATTCCCCAAGTTAAAAAACCACAGGATGAAGATTTTCCTGGAAAAATCAGAAAATTGGCCAGACCTTGTCACATTTATACTCAGCAACAACTCAAGCAGGGCATGAGCTCTCTGCATGGCCCAGGTCCCATTACTCTTGTCCTGTACCTATCAGTCACTCAGTGGATATTATACAAGGCTGTGCTTCTGCTCCCCGCCTGACTCAGGCACTGCCTGCCTCAGCCTCCTTGTGTGTTGGTCTCTCTCAACCTGTCTGAAGGACCAGGGGGCAGAGGGCAGTGTCACTGGTGAAGGATTTAATATCCTGGGTCCACTGAAACAACAGTAGTGTTCTGAGCTCTAAGCCAATTCTCTGGACCTGTAGTCACATTTCCTTTCCCTAAAGCAGAAAAGTTCTATTTCTATAAGGAAAAGATTACAGCTCTCTAACATTATTTAGTTTAAATCTGGACTGAGATCAGGGAACCTGGGTTCTATTTCTGACTTACTCTCTTCAGATAAGTAAGGACAATTTAACTGTCCTTAGGTCCCTTATCCATGGAAGAAAGACTGCTGTGGTTCATAGCAGTTTGGGAAGATTTACATTCTGCAGAAAATGGAAATGCTGTTTGTTACTTAGTGTGACTGGAAACTTGCATCCTCAGGCACCTCTGAAACCTAACAGTGTTTTATGCCTGGTAACTTAAAGTATCACCACTCGCCCCCTCCACTGGGATGCAGGGTAGCAGGAGCCTTCCTGACTACACAGGCACTTGCAGCATCGACTTAACCACACTGAGCAATTCATGGAACTCTGTGTTCTGAAAGTGACCGCGGTCAGTGAATTTGTATAGCTTGGCCCCCAGCCTATCTGCCACTTCTTGTTGTTCCTTCCAGGGAAGGAAAGGGTCGTCCATGGAGCCGAACTGCACAATGTGAGGGCAGTTGGCCTTGATCTTCTCCCACTGCCAGGGGCGGTTGAAGTATCCTAGGGGGGTAAAAAGAACCTCTCAATGCCCATGGGGAGCCCCTGCCACTCTAGACACCCTACGATACCCAGTGGGGACCCTTGTAGACACAGGACCAGTGCCCTCTTGTGAGTAAGAAGCACCTTTTGTTTGTTTGTGGACACTGATAACAAAGCTCTTGTGGAGAGGGAGTAAATGGCCCAAATAAGACTAGGCTCTAGGGTTCGATTCTAGACTTAGGGCTGAAAAGAGGCCACCATTCATACCTAATATATCCAGAGCTAGGTGGAAAGTATTTCTCCTATGCTATTAATTATTTTCTTCTGCTATCTGAAAGATGGGCCTGTTTTATAACCTGAACAGCCCTCTGTCAGGGGAAGGGCTTTCCTGGGATGTCTGGCTTCAGACTTACCACTTGCGTGCTCATTTTCATCCCCCAAGTCTGTTGTGTATGCAGACACTAACACAATAGCATAGACACGATGTGTCTCTGCATACCTGGAGAGTGAAAAGTGGTGTTAGCCAAGATATGTTCGATCTGATCACCCCAAGTCAACAAACCACACAACTCACTGGATAGAGCTTACCAGAAACATGTGCTATAATCTATTGAGGTTGATGGAAAAATGGCAAGAAGACTGCAGAACTGTAGCCCCAACCACAGCTGTGTGATGAACTCCTGCAGTGTGGGGGTGGGGAGTGCTAGGGATTCAACCCACAGCTTTTGCACTGAGCTGCATCCCCAGTCCCTTTTTAAATTTTTTATTTTGAGACAAGGTTTCACTAAACTGCTAAGGTGCTCAGACTGGGCTTGACCTTGTGAACCTCCTGCTTCAGCCTCCCACAGTATTAGGATTACAGGTGTGGGCCAGCTAAACTCCTACTCATTTTTCAAGGTAACCCAGACCTCTTCTGCATTCCTTTCCAAAAGAAGAAAAATAGGCCCAGGGATTTAGCTCAGTGGTTTCACCGCCTGCTGTGCAAGTGCAAGGACCCAAGTTAGATCCTTGGTACCAAAAAAAAAAAAAAAAAAAAAGAAAAATATATGTAACCATTTTTTCTATGTGCATCCTTCCACCTTTAATGTGCATTGGTGTTACTTAGTTGACATGCAGATTCCCAGGCTAAGCTCCACAGCATCAGATTCAGAGGGGTTGGGGCCCAGGAATCTGCATTTTAAGGCATGCCATCTTCCCTAACCCAGGTGACTAATGCAAGTGGTCTGGGAACCATTTTTTAAAAAATATATTTTAGGGGCTGGGGATTTAGCTCAGTGGTTTTGCCACCTGCTGCGCAAGTGTAAGGACTTGAGTTTGATCCCCAGTACCAAAAAAAAATATATATTTTTTTTTTTTTATTTTATCCCTTCGCCCCTCAAGCCCCCTCCCCTCCCTATGTACAGAACCTTTGTTTCCATTTTTTCCTTCTATTTTCACTTTTTTCTTGTCCTTTCCTTCCTTTCTCCCTCCCTCCTCCCTTGTTCCTCTTCCCATTTGAACATTCTCTGAAGGCCATATTTGAAGAAACAGTGAAATGCCAGAAATGAACCTGTACTACTTGTGTTATGCGACGTCTGTGTCTCCCCTGATCCGTCAGCTCCTTACAGGCAGGTGTGATTGATCTTAGTCCCTGGTCCCCAGTATGCTGCCCAGCAAGTGGTACCCAGCCAACTATCTGAAGATATTACCTCCCTCAGCAAAGACCAGGCTAAGGAAAGATGTGGAACTGGGATATTTTCACGAGGCTTCTGTGCCAGGAAACACTTTGGGTTGGCATTTTGTTCTTGGGGTTAAACTTTTATTCTCAACTCTTTAAACTTGAAAAATATCAAAATTACAGCAAAGTTGAGAGACCAAAAAGTACCTAGATTCATTAAATTTTCCACAGCTCACTCTTGCTTTAGTATTTACCTCCCAAGAACAGAAGACTGTTCTCTTACATAAACACAATACTATTATTATAGTCAGTAAATTTAACATCGACATCATAATATTATCTGTATCCCCCCCCCCCAATTATACCAACAATGTCCTTTAAAACTGGTTTTGCAATCCTAGGTCCAATTAAGGACCATGTACCCATTTGATTTTCATGGCTTTACAGTCACTTTTCCATTTTTTACAAAATGACACTGGCATTGTTTAATATGAGCTGAAGCCAGTTGTTCTGTGCACTACCCCCTAATCTGGATTTGTTTTTCCTCATAATTAGACTGAGATTAAACATTCTCAGCAAGAATGCTCCCTAGGTGGTAGCATGTCCTTCCCACTCCATCCCTCCATGGACACAAGGTTTTTTTTTTTGGTACCGGGGATCAAACTTGGGACCTTGCACTTGCAAGGCAGGTGCCGGAACCACTGAGCTAAATCCCCGGCCCCAGACACGAGGTTATTGATGAGGTTAGGTGTGGTCACTTAAGGTCATCTCTAAGGCACTCCCCATTGTAAAGGCACAGTTTCCCTTTGTGATTCATAAGAAATGAGGGGGGGGGAAGTTCCCTTACAACCTTACACTGTAGGTTCCCCTACAACCTTACACTGATAGTTTTGCACCTGTTTTTCTCCTTGCCTCCTTAATTTTAGAGGTCAGATCTTAGAAAGTTGTGCCAACCCTGCACTAAATTCAGGGGTCTTATAAAGAAGACAAATCTTCATGGATAATATATTTTTTTTTTTGGTGCCGGGGATCAAACTCAGGACCTTGTGCTTTCGAGGCAGGCAGCAGAGCCACTGGGCTAAATCCCTGGCTCAAGAAGGCAAATCTTTACCAGTGGGTGACTTGAGAATAAAATCAGCCTTCAGTTGGGACAAACTGCAGCAATAAAGGGATCTCTTTATTTTCCAGATAAGCCCTGGTGCCTTATTAACATCTAGCACACCAGGACTGTACCATAATTGAGCAACACTGTACTCCAAGGTGTTACTATTACCATAGCTTTGATCATGCAGCTGAAAAATTATAGAATTTGGCAAGATTCCCTAGCATGCAGGTCATTGATACCCTGAGTGACCACTTAGGATCAGCGGCCATACAAATAAAACTGTTATCCTTTGTCATCCAGTGTAGAGAATATGGGAGAACCCAATCCCAACAGGCCAGCTCTGCCAGCAAATCCCCTGCTCCCGAGCTATAGAAGGAGACACAACGCTCTAATGAAGAGCACCCCTGAATTCTACAGACCTGTGGGGGTGGGGGGTGGGGAAGGTTTGCAGTAGGTAGAGGTAACAGCCCCTACTGCCAACAAATACTTATGGAGCATCTGACATATGCCAGACTCTCTTCTAGGCCCTAGGGTTTCATTCTCAGAGAAAACAAAGTCCATCTTCATAAAGCTTACATTCTACTGGCAGGAGAAAGACAGGAAATAAAAAGGGTTTTGGATGATGGAAAGTACTAGAGATAAAGGGGCCGGAGCCAACTGTTTCATTTGGAGTGATGGGTAACCTTGGCTAGGAGGAGAGAAAGGAGTGGGTAGAGACAGCAGAGCCTAGTAATGGGAAGCTGCTGGGATTTGAAAAGGATCACTGCATCCAAGTTTAAGCAATCAATACTTTTTTCAACCCACTAACCAAACCAGGAAGGAATTAAGCCAGATCATGTTACCACCGCTGAAGTCAGTACTGGAAACTTAAGGTAAGCCGGGGCTCACAAAGCAGGCAGTCCCAGCAGCACGCACCTCATGGCTGCGATGGCCCCAGAGCTGTGGCCTATGACGATGGTCTTCTCATCACACTGCAGCTCCGTCTCCATGAAGGGCAGCCAGATGCTCTCCCGGGCTGTAACTGAGGTTCAGGGTAAGATAGTGTCATTCGACAGGGACAATTTCAGCCTAATATTCCCCCACTTTTCTAACAGACAACTTGACTGATTGGCTGCTCCCAGCTTTTAAATGGTACAGCTGTGCAATTGTGATGGGGCTGTTTTAACAGAGCCTGAGGTTTACATGTTGCCAGTTGAAAGACCTAAGTCTATAGTTTGAGTAAATAGTTTTGCTTTTTCTTTGTTTTTCTATGTTCTTGTTTTAAAAATACTGAGGGAATTAAAAAAATATAATTCAGAAGTTTTAATGTAAACTTGCAAACTTAAAAACTCTTGAAACATTCTAAAATATATGTATTACATGTTTTCCAGAGATAATTCATAAGCATACCCAGAACAAAAGGAACATTATTACATTTTTAAATATTTGGGTCTCAAACTGTAAGGTTGTATCATATCTCTAACTGAACTGGAACACCTACAGATTTCGCCTGAAAAGTATACCTCTAAAAGAGAAAATTAAGTTGCTTACAAAGTTTAAAATTAACTTTTACCAAGCCCAGGTGTTTTTCTTGATGCTTACTAGCATTTTCTATGTTTTCTGGTTTATACCCTCCTCCCAAAGCTACTTGCCTCATTCATTCTTAGGTATATATTTATCTTTGGCTTCTCTACTATGATATTTCTGATCTCTACCCTGCCCCTCCAAATGGTGAGATCAAAACCTAACAAAGTGAGGCTATTTAAAAACAAGTTTAGGGTCGATCACAGTGGTGCATATCTGTAATCCCAGCACTTGGAAGGTTGAAGCAGGAGGATTGCTGCTAGTTCAAGATTAGCGTGAGCTACCTAGTGAGTTTGAGGCCAGCCTGAACTACAAAGCAAGACTCTGCCTCAAAAAATATAACAAATAAAATAAAATAAAAACAAGTTTAAAACTTACTTGGGTCAGGCATGTTTTTGGCCAAACACTGGAAACCAGGTATCTATAGTACAAGAGGGGGAAAAAAGCTATAATAAAAAGCTTAATTGCAACTAATACTTTACTAATATGAAGAGACACCTGATATGACCTTTATCAAATGAATAAGTACTTGATTGTATTACGAAATGAAATGGGTTAAGTAAGAGCTCCAGGATTCCATATGAAGGGCCGGGTATTTAGCTCAGTGGTTTCGCCGCCTGCTGCGCTGCGCAAGCACAAGGACCCGAGTTTGATCCCCGGTACCAAAAAAAAAAAAAAAGGGATTCCATATGAATATACCATCCTTCCTCCTAAACCCTATCTGTATGTATTCCCTTATCTAGTCAGCTTGGTAAATCTCTACAGAGAACTCTACCTGCATTTGCGTATTTGTGTTTATGTCTAATGCACACATCTATAGAGAGAACATAAAGGAAAGTGTTCTCAACAGACTGATTTGACTTGGAACCAAGCCCACTGTGCCCCAGGGAGTCAGTGAACCTTGGTACAGAAATCTGGGCACCCCCTCTCCCTGGACAGTCGCAGAACTGACCTTTTGGTTTGAAGCTCTGCCCATGGTATTGAGCCACACCTTGAAATTCTATTTCTGAGGTCTCCTATTATATTGAATTTATTTACTCGGTTGGATATATTACTCTACTGAAATTCTCTTCTAGGGGTTAACCCAGGAAACAGTCTAACTGCTAGATTATGGAAAAGGGTTTTAAGACAAAATCCAGGTGCACAAGACAACCTGTAATAGGGTACCATCTTGATAAAGTTCATAGCCAAATTAAACAATATATTTTATAGAGTACATACATGAGTTGTAAAAAATAATTTTTAAGAGAAGCAAATGAAAAATAACAGGATGTGTTAGTGATTCATTGCATTATCCTTACTAGAAAGTTCCATGTTTTTTGGTTTATACTCACGTGTTACATACATGCTTTGTATATACCAAGTATTACACATAAAACGTTTTTAAAACTCGGGAGCAGGGAGCACTTAAGATATAAAAATGGAAAGCCCTAAATCTGAACCGGCAGCAAGTCTCTGTAATTCATAGTTCCTTTTACTCTAAAAACTGAGCCCTCAGAAAAGTCTTCTAGGCAGTTTTGGCAACCAGAATCTCAGCCATCAATCCCAGAGTTTGAGACAGAGCAGCAGGAGAGGAAGGGAAACAAGCAGAGCTTCGCTGGAGGCGGGACAGCTACTCACGCTCACTTCAGCCCTCCGTCCCTCCCCGCCTTCCCTCTGCTCCGGGGGGATCTGAGGAATGCCTGAGTCTTACCTGCTCCAGCGCCCTCTTCACCCAGCCGTACCAGCCGTGGGTGGCCACATCCCCGCCTCCGTTCCCGGGCACAATCACTGCCTTGCTGGGAGCGGCCATGAGTGCGCGGACCAGGGATCTGGGAGCAGAGGCACCTCCGGCCCGGCCCACCCGCGGGGACTGGGGAGCCGAGCGCGCGGACTCGGGTTTCCAGGACTCACAGGGCCGCTCCAGGAACGGGGGACGCGTGTGCCTGACGTGACAGGAAGGAGGTTGCCAGAGATCAATCACAATGTGTCTTTTATTGCAATACGTTTTAAACTGAATCATTAACCGATCACACCTCGTACAGTATTGCTTCTTAGGTTTGTATGGTACAGAATGTCTCTACCTCCAAGTAAAATTAACAAGGTGATTTTCTTTAATTTAAATTTTTGTTAGTGCATGTTTGCAGCACAGATGGTTACATTCTTCGTGGTGAACTGCTAGTGTTTGCCCCTTGTAAGACAGTGTGAAACGGCTCTTATGGCTGCAGAAAGTTAGACAAATACGACAGTTCTGTTACTCATCTCCTTGTTTAAGGATGAGAGGGACGGTCACGTAGAGGGACTGCGCTAGTGCTTGTCTCCGTGAGAGCGGGAAGCCATTACAGCAGGTGAGAAGAGGAAATCTTGTCAGGTTAAATCTAACTAGATTTATACCTAACTCACTAGACTAGGAGACTGCGCCCACGAGCAAGTGCGCATGCGTCCCCCTTCCCGGACACTCTCCCCCCCGCCCCTTCCGCACGCTGACGCTCTCTTTCCGGCAGCCTCGGGTTCTTCCGGCGGCACCGCTCCTACGTCCGGGGTTACACGTCATCCTTCTTACTTCCTCGCATCTAAGGCAAGGAGGCTTTCCACTGATGCAAACTGACGTCAAAATGTGTAAGTGCGACCCCTTCAGGAGCTATATCTAGGGAGCGGCCGGGCAGGCGCTGAGGTTTTCTGAAGCTGAAACCTTCAGGGGTTAATTTAAGGAAGCGTGTGTTCTGAGGAAGTGTGGTTTTCAAGTGCGAGGCACTACTGTGTTGCCCTGCTCCAGCATGGCGGCGTGGCTTCTCTAAATGTGTCACTTCCCCTCTTCTGTCCATACGTGATCTCTGACTGGCTCCTCTACGTCTCCGTAGCGTGATGCAATGGGGCACCGACCAATTGGCTGAGAGCTGAGTTGGACTTGGTGGGAGCCAGAGCTGGACTTTTGCATCTGTTCGCGCGGACGGCTCAGGACAGGTGTGAGGCATCGTCCAGGTGAGCCGCGAGCAAGGGCGACAGAGAGCTGAGAACCAAATGCTGGGAGAGTTGGGGTCCTTTGGGGATGAGGCCTTTTCCTGGCAGGGAGGGGAGCCGGAGGGAATTGATGACCCGGGAGTCCGAAATTGAAGTGTCCCACGGCAGTGGACCGGGTCCTGACTTCCCAGCCTCCAGCCGGAAGGACCCACTCCCGTATTATAACAAATGCAGGAGAGGTTTGCTTTGTGACCGGTGGAAGTAGAGCCCGGTCTTTAGACTTCCGACGAGGATTGAACTTTTCTTAATCTTGTCGAAGTGGGGTCTCCGTGTCCCCAAAAGTTACGTCTTGGTGAGATAAGAATGGTTCAGATTTCTCGATGCAAGTTCTACAGTGTCTGTCCAGGGATTTCGTTCAACTCACCAGTTCATTCATTCAGCTATCGCCTTCTCAGATACCCTTTGAAAATTTGGTAAAAGCCATGGACTCATCTCCTTAGAAAAATGTATACATTCTCTCCTGCACACAGTTTCGAATGCAGCTTCAGAAGATTGGTAGACCCTTAAGTTTTCTTTGTGTGCCCATGGTTAAAAATCAGTAGTCTAGGGGCCGAGGATTTAGCTCAGTGGTTTTGCCGCCTGCTTCGAAAGCGCAAGGACCGGAGTTCGATCCCCGGTACCAAAAAACAAACAAAAAAATCAGTAGTCTAGATGAGTGAGAGATGGTGGCAATGATAAGGGAGCAGGTTTTAATATGTAGGTAATTAAGAACTAGTGCCTTTTAATAAGGAACTAGGTTGAGAGGGGAGCAGTCAGGTAATACTTGGTGATAATTGTGGCATTAGAACTTGCTCTCGTTTCCACCTGATTTATCCCGGAACTCTCCAGGAAGTTGCAGAAGCCTCTTTGTGTGCAATGCTTCAGGTTCCTTATTTTGCTGGGAATAACAAATATGGTTTAGAGTTCCAGTTGGACCACGGATTTGAAATTTTCATTGCCTGGGTCCTATGTAGTAGAGTAAATTATTTGCTTTTCTAATCATGTAATATTATTGCCTTAATCCACTTCTCAGAATAACATGGAGACAATTGTTATCCAGCACTGCATGAAGTGGACATGATGACCATGTTAGTATCACAGATTTTCATTTTATTAGTACATGTTTGTGCCACATCATGAACACATTCGTCGTAGGAAGTTGGTACATGTATGGGATACATCTTATTTCTTTTTATTTACGTCCTGTTCTTTTCAGCCCCTTCATCTCTTAGTTCCCTTCCCATTTGCAAAAGATGTATCTCCTTATTTCCTATTATCTTGTATTTTGCTCTTTGATTTATTTATGTTTTGGGTTTCTCACGTTAGCAAAACCATATGATTTTAAAGCTTGTGTGTCTGATATATTTCACTTAACATTATGCTCTCAAGGTGCATGCATTTTCCTACAAATAACTCAAGTTTAACTTTTTCATGGCAGAGTAGTACTGTTTTCATTTTCTTTATTTTTTAAGTACCACATTTTCTTTATTCATGGTTGATGGACATATAGGCCACTTCAATTATCATGAATTTTAAAATTTGCCTTGTTTTCTGCTTTTCTTGAGGGGTTTGTTCCCTTGAATCCCAATAGCTTGGGTGTGTGTAACCTTAGGTTTTAGGACATGTGTAAGAAGTATGAGAATACAGTGAAATTGGGAATCATTTGGGTTTGAAAGCTTGGTCTGAGAACTATTTTATTGACCAGAGCCTTTCAAGACATGAGCACAAGCAACCATGGTGAGGAAAGAGATCCAGGTGAGACTTGGGATAATAAACTGTCCTCTGTCATTTTGATCAGAACTGGTTACCATAATGAACTGGACATTCGGATCAATACATAGTTCTTTTCTCCACAGTTAAAATGGAGAAGGGACAGGACACAAAAAAACATGATTACTTGGAACATAATGTTTAATATAGTATTTACCTTAGTTGAGTAAGGAAGGAATGGTATCAGAGAGGAAGATAGTTAGATGTTGAAACAGGGTTTGAGACTCCCCTTGAGACTCCCCTTGAAGTTGCCTTGACTGAGATGATGTGTGATCCGTGAGGTTTAAAGTAGTATTAAACTGCAAGCCATTAGAGATGGTCACATCATTGTAAAACTCCCACTTCTTTATTTTCTTGAGTGCTAGAGACAAGTACTAAAAGATAAGTGTGAACTAAGTGACTTTTGGGGTCAGCAGAAAGATAGATACTATTATCCTACAATGACAGGTCTTTCCCATGTTGGTATGTAAGAAACACTATAAGACCATCTTCTTTTTCGAGGTTTAGATGAGATTTTCAGGTAAAAGTAAAACTTTAACTTTAGTTCTCTTTTAGATGATGGCAACATATCTGGAGTTCATTCAGCAGAATGAAGAACGTGATGGGGTGCGCTTCAGTTGGAATTTGTGGCCATCCAGCCGTCTGGAGGCCACGCGAATGGTGGTCCCGCTGGCCTGTCTTCTTACTCCTTTGAAGGATCGTCCAGACCTGCCTCCTGTACAGTATGAACCTGTGTTTTGCAGCAGGCCCACCTGCAAAGCTGTCCTCAATCCACTTTGGTATGAATTCTTTTAAAAATATTAAAATGGTGAATACAGTAAGTTACCATCTTTATGCAAGTCATTCAATTTGTGCAAGTTGTCAAATTTGAGATAGATAGTAGTTGATGATGAGATTCTTAGGGGATGTGTGTTCATAGAAATCTCCCTGGCCTGACATTCCAGGTAAAATTAGAATCTTACAGGAATGAGGGGCAGACGTAGAGGGTGAAGATTTGAAAGTCACTGTTTTGGTGATTATTTCTTTGGTTTTGGCTTAACTATAGACTTTATGAGGTGTCTTCTAAAGTATTTTCCAAGAACATTCAAAAAGTTTAGGCTATATTTTCACACTTAACCTGGTGTGATGCTGTGTGGACAGAAGTAGTAGGGAGAAAAAATTTTAACTTAGTAATTTTTTGATATCTGAGATAGTGACCTGTAATATTTTACATACATATGGGTGTTATTGAAAGCCTTTATTTTTATTTTATTTTATTTTTTTTGAAAGCCTTTATTTTTAAAAGTAATTTATTTTTTGAGATGAGAGTCTCACTGTGCTGCCTAGCCTCATCTTGAACTTGTAGGCTCCTGTCTCAGCCTCCTAAGAATTTGGGTCTACAGGAGTGTAACACCGTCAGCTGAAATAATTTTGAAACAGGTGGAGGGTATCAAAGTAAGAGAACATTTTTACATTATTCCCTTTCTTTTATTTAACGTGTCAGTATTAAAACTATTGCTCTGCTTTTAAAATGATAACCACTGCTTAATAATTTTCTGAAAGTAGAAAGGAGCATTAGAATCTTCTATTATTAAAATGTAGAGTTTCTTGTCTTTCTTTTTTTTTCTGTTTTTTTTTTTTTTTTGGCACCAGGGATCTAACTCAGGACTTCGTGCTTGCGAGGCAGGCGGTGGAACCATTGAACTAAATCCCCGGCCCTCTTCTTGGTTTTTTGAGCTGGGTCTCACTATGTAGTTCAGGTTGGTCTTAAACTCACAGCCTCCTTGTGCCTCAGCCTCTCAAGTGTTGGGATTACAGGCATGTGCAACCATGTCAGGCTTGAGATGTATAGTTTAGGGGCTGGGAATTCAGTGGTGCTGTGGCTGCCACACAAGCATGAGGTCCAGAGTTTGATCTCTGGTACCAGAAAAAAAAAGACATTAATACTTGCACATACCTGAACAACAAACATGTTAAAAAATTTAAGAAGACAAGGTTAAGATAACAGGCAAGTCAGTAACCTAAAATGTATGTAAGCCAAGGCATTTAAAAATTAGGGGATTAGAAAAGAGAAAAAAAGACTTACTCATTCTTCATTGCAGCCTTTGATGGAAACTATTGGTGTACTTAATCAGCTAGAATTCTATTTGCAGTGAAATTTTGCAAGCTTTTATCTTATGCACATATATACAAGCACATGTCTGTGATTTATTGAGCTTCAAACTTACATTTGAATGCTTTAAAAATAAAAACAGTACCTCCTGATGGTATTTTTCTTTCTCACAGTCAGGTTGATTATCAAGCAAAACTTTGGGCTTGTAATTTCTGTTTCCAAAGAAACCAGGTATGTGAATTATTTTTTAAAATAGGTTATATGTTTTATTTTAGCTGTACTGTGAAAAAATGATGTGAATGTGAATTTCTGCCCACTCCTGGGCAGCAGTTTCTGCCAACTCAGAGTGATGGCTTTGTTAAGCACAGTATTGCACGCTGAACACTTGGGCCTTTTCTGTTGCATGATTTCATTGTTTGAGTCCTGGTCATTTGTTATGGATGGCTATGGAATTGTCTTCTTGAACATTTTCTGTAGGAAGTAGAGAAAATAGGTCAGTTGTTCGTATTTGAGTTGACTGTGGTATTTTCTAATTGAATGATGGATGTCAGTTTTCATTTCTGATCTTTCTAACTAGGATCCAAGTATAAGTATCAATGTGGAGCCCGTTTTGATTTGGAGAATTTAAAAATTCAAAGAACCTCACGTGACAAAGTGACTTCTCTCTCTCTCTGTTTTTTTGTTGTTTTTTTTTGGTGCTGGGGCTCCAACCTGGACCCTTATTTATACTAAGCACATGCCCTACCATTAAGTGATACCCCAGGTCATAGCTTCACTTTATAACTGTGTCCATGATGGGAATGTTCTAAAACTGGATTGTGGTGATTACTGTACAATTCATTTACTCATTGAATTGTACACTTAAAATGGGTGAATTTTATGGTCTATAAATTATTTCCTAAGTACAGTTGTTAGAGGAAATTAATCACACCAACATGTACACCGTTCTAACAGCTCTTAAGCTATCAATAGGATGTATTTATTCATTCGTCTGATCAGAATTATAATCATTCTCAGATACAGCACGTAAAGACAGTGATGAACAGTATGTAGTTGATGACTGACTATAGGTTCAGACTAGAAGATTTTATTCAGGGTTTATCTCCATAAGGGGCTGGGCAGGTAGCTTAGTGGTAAAGCACATGCTGAGCATGCATGAGGACCTAAGTTTAAGTCTCAGCACTGGGGAAAAAATTTTCTCTGTCAGAGATTCAGAAGTGTATATAACTGAGCATACTGGCACATGTCTGCAATCCCAGCACTCTAGGAGGCTGAGACAGGCAGATCAAAAGTTTTAGCTCAGCCTGGGTGACTCAGACTTAGTGAGACTCTGTCTCAAAATTTTATTTTATTTTATTTTTTTTGGTACTGGGGATTGAACTTGCAACCTTGCGCTTGCGAGGCAGGCGGTAGAACCACTGAGCTAAATCCCTGGCCCTCTGTCTCAAAATTTTAAAGCACCTATCCAGGTGTGGTGGTACATACTTATAATCCCAACACTTGGGAGGCTGAGGCAGGAGGATCCCTGAGTTTGAGGCCAGCCTGGGTTACATAGTGAGACCTTGTCTCAAAGACAAAACAAGGAAGCTGCAATGTGCCATGGATTGGAGGAGCAGGCAGTGGCGGGGAAACCATTCTTTCATACTTTGTTTCAGGTCTTTGTGGAGTGTCTGGTGTGTGTCTGAGGCACTACACTCTGCTTTGGGAAGCGAGGAAGAATTAAGAAGGGTCCTTGCCTGGAGAGGGAGAAGGGGGGTAGTAATTGAATGTGACTGCATGCCAGGTATCTAGGGCAGGTCTTTTCTATATGCCAGTACATTCTGGCTTCGTAAGTACTTGTGGAGGGACTGTTGTCAAAAAATAAAACTCCATGAGGCTATGACATGAAGGAACTTGCCAGAACAGTTTAAAATCACTATACAGTAGACCCTTGACTTACAAACTCAACTCATTCTTGAGGTCTGGTGTTAACTCATGTGGGTCGATTGAAGGCTTAGGCTCCTCTACACAGCCTTCAAAGTCTCTCTCCTGTATACAGGCAGATCTCAGTGTCCTTAGAGAGACATTGGCCCAGGATTTCTCAGTTAACCCCAACACAGGAAAGGATGTTGTATTGGTCCTTCCAGAACTCTTTTTTGTTTGTTTGTTTGTTTATTTTTGGTACTGGGGATTGAACTCGGGTCCTTGCTCTTGCACAGCAGGCAGCGAAACCACTGAGCTAAATCCCCGGCCCCCTTCCATAACTCTTGAAAGGTTAAATCCATCTATCTGAAAGCACAAGTGGCCAGCATTTGGGTTGTAACTCAAGACTTTGGTTGTAAATTAAAACTAAAATTCTGGTAGTAACCCAAGATATTTGTATGTCATGCCAGTTGTAACTTGAGGGTCCACTGTAATTCAGTATAGTAACAGGAAAGATACAGAGAGGGAAAGATCCACCAACCATTGTCTCTTCCTTAGTAGTTGGAAATGGGAGGTACCTAATCTTTTACTTTGAAGAGATGCTCTAGCATTTAACAGAATCCAACAACCATTTCTGATTTTTTTTTTTTTTACGGGGATCAAACTTGGAATCTTGTGCTTGCGAGGCAGGCAGTAGAACCACTGAGCTAAATCCCTGGCCCCCATTTCTGATTTTTAAAAACTTCCAACAGCCAGGCACAGTGGTGCATGCCCATAATCCTTTCTGAGTTGGAAGCCATCCGGGGCAATTTAGCAACACCCTATCTCAAAAACTAAAAGGGGCTAAGGATGTAGCCCAGCTCTAGAGCACTGGCCTAACATGCAGGAGGCCCTAGGTTCAATCTTCAGTTCCACAGATAAATTAAATTAAAAATAAAAAACAGCCAGGCGTGGTTGCACACGCTGATAATCCTAGCATTTGGGAGGCCGAGGCAGGAGGATCACCATGAGTTCAAGGCCAGCCTGGGCTACATAGTGATTTCAAGGCCAGCCTGAACTTCATAGTGAAACCCTGACTCAGAAACAAAACAACCTTTCCCAAAAGATAAAAAAATGTTTGCACTTTACTACATTCAGAATTGATGTCTGTGTTTAATATCATTTATAAAATTCTAAGGCAGGCTTGCATGCTGGTTAAGAGCTTTATTCAGACTGCTTGGGTTTGATTTTCAGATTTATTTTTTATTTCCAGTGTAAGTTTGGGCAAGTCACTGTTTTGTACATCAATTTCCTCATCTTGAAAATTAAGGTAATGGTATTGTGTGTCCTTGCTGGGCCTGGTGTGAGAATTAAACTGAGTTCAGAATGTAAATGCCTCAGTGGAGTGGTGCACACGTTCTGTGTAAGTGCTTGGTGCTATGTTGTTCCTTCACCTTCACCTGCCCTTTCCCAGGAGCGGCCCAGAGGTCTGTGTGTCACAGGCAGACCTGAGCTTTTGTAGCCCTCCCAGCTGAGCCCTGAGAAATTGAACCCCTCAGTGAGTGGAGAGCAAGCAGATGAGAGGTGACCCCAGGAGAAATGAGGGCGCTCCTGCCCACTCTCCCACCCTCTCTGTAGCGGACACTGGGTGGATGAGCAGCCCTTGCCAAGCGGCTGGGAGTGGCCATGGGACCAACTTTTCCTGTGTGTCTCTCATGCCTTCTTGCTGCACAGATGAAGCCCTACTCTCTGGGAGAAGCCACTGGGCAGTTGTGGCTGGCACAAGGTAGCGCTGTTTTGCTGGCCCTGCTGAAACCCCTCCTGGGGTCCTGACTGCTCCCTCCTGGCCCTGTCCCCCTATAGCTGTCATCTCCTGGCAGGACTTGTGTTTGGTCACTCTGAGCTCATTGGCCTACAGTGAGCCCCTGCTAAACTTGGGGAGAAACACCTAAACTTTTTTTGCGGGGGGGACTGGGGATCAAACTCAGGACCTTGGGATTGTGAGGCAGGCGGCGGAACCACTGAGCTAAATCCCCAGCCCCTAAACTTTTGTCTTTAATAGAAATCTAAGGAGTATTAGAATTAAAATAAGCCCACAACTATGATTTTGAAATGTTTCTACAGAGTTTTTTTTCTAAAAAAGAAAATGTCTATGCCATTATGTTAAGTGCAACTTAACATAGAGTGTCAACTTAAGTAGACAAGTCTAGAGGGAAATATCCCAAGATGTTCATAGTAGCTGCCTCTGAGAGGATTTTTTTCCTTCTGGTTTTCTTTTCCTGAACTTTCCAGTTTTTCTGCATAATCATAACTAATTTATTGATAATGACTAAAATAATAAATCTAACTAAAGGCTTTCATCTTCTATATAGACTGTTGGTGAGACAGGTAAATTTCAGCCTTTAATTTGCAAGACAGTGCTTAAATAGATTCTAATAGTGTGTGTTCACAATTAACAAGTGGTCATAACCATTTTTATCAGTGGAAATGACAAGTGTCACATAAACACCTTTCACCCTGCACAGAACATTGTTCTCCATTCTCTTCACAGTTCCCCCCATCGTATGCAGGCATATCTGAGGTGAACCAGCCTGCCGAGCTCATGCCCCAGTTCTCTACAATTGAGTACGTGGTACAGGTAACTTCTCCATCTTGTGTTTGCCGAACAGTGTTAAAAATTGATTTTCTCTTGAAATCCTTTGAAGACTGTGTCCCTTACCTGTCTGGGGGACTGAAAGCTGTGAGGGCAGCAGATCTTACACATGAGGTTATGGAGTGTAAACTTCTGGTACTGTTTTCAGGTTTTGACGGAAGGCTGTAAAAAGGCGGAACTGACTAAACTCTAAATGTGTCCTCTGCAGCCATGTTGTGTTTGTCTTAGTTGATCAAACTCCATCTTCTTGTTTACTTCATTTTAAAAACTTAGATTTGACCAGGGATTTAGCTCAGTGGTTTTGCCTCCTGTGCAAGCACAAGGACCGGAGTTTGATCCCTGGTACCAAAAAAAAAACCAGATTCATCCTGGACCTCTGCCTTTCACGCTCCAAATCTAATCTAGTAGTTTTTCCCATTGTCTTACTATTTAAAATTTACTTGGAGGGCTGGGGATTTAGCTCAGTGGTTTTGCTGCCTGCTGTGCAAGCGCAAGGACCTGAGTTCGATCCCTGGTACCAAAACAACAACAACAACAAAATTTACTTGGAATCCACCCACCTTTCTCTCTCCACTCCTGCCACCCTGGGCCAGGCAGAACCCTCGCTATTACTTTAGCAGTCTACTAACTGCTCTCCTTAGTTTGAACATTATTGTTTGTATTTTATTATTTTACTTTATTTTTTACATTGCTGAGGATTGAACCCAGGGCCTCATGCATGCTAGGTAAGCACTCTACCACTGAGCCACCTGCTCAGCCCTGCCATTTGTGTTTTATTCTTAAACTTAACTCCTTAAAAATATATGTAGCCTGGCTTGGTGGTACTGCCTGTAATCCCAGCACTCGGGAGTTGGAGGCCAGCCTGGAATATGTAGTGAGTTCAAGCCTAGCCTGAACTACATAGCAAGACCCTGTCTCAAAAAATAAAAAAGCAAGGGGCCGGTGATTTAGTTCAGTGGTTTTGCCGCCTGCTGGGCAAGCGCAAGGACCCGAGTTCGATCTCTGGTACCAAAAAAAATTAAATAAATAAAATAAAATAAAAAAATAAAAAATAAAAAAACAAAAACAAAAAAGCAACCAAAAAACATGTGCCTTTAGTTTTTTAAAATGGCACGCAAGTATTAATACTGCTTGTGTCTGCAAAATGAAGGGGAACAGATAATTTAACTTTTCTTTCTGTGCCTCATGTGTTTTTGCTTATCTACATTTTCTGTATTTTCCTCCTAAAATGAAATGGATTTGTTACATAATAAAAAATTAAAATATTAAAAGAAATATTAAAATATTTCTCTGTTCAGAAACCTCTAGTGGTGGCAATGGCTCCCCTTTTCACCCGGAGTGAAAGCCAGTCTCTTCCTGGTGCTGTGTGTGACCACTCCAACCTCAGTTTTCACTGATGCCCTTGCGCAGCCCCATGGGTGCCTCGACTCTTCAAGCGGCCTGGGTGTTAGCTTTCTCCTCAAGCTGAGCCTCTTTCTCTGCATCTGTACTGCTCCATCCCTCTCCTCCTCCAGACAGTGACTCTTGCTGAGGCTGCTATGACCTCTCTTTACTACATGAACCTGCCCCCTCTGCATTCATGGCAGTCACTGTCCTCAAAAACTCCCTAGCCTGAGAAACTTGCTTCTTGAGACAGTCAGGGATCTGTGTTCTTGCTGTTTACTGAAGTGTTCCAGGACCTGTACTGGGGATTGAATTTAGGACCTTGCAGTTGGGTGACACTGAGCTAAATCCCTGGCCCAATAAATTGTTGGATACAAGTCCTTTTTTTTTGGATGCAAGTTGTTTTGATGCTTAATGTGTTTTAGTGGAATCTGAGCCCAATGAGATAAGCAGAGATTTGTGTAGATATCCTTGCCAGTAAGTGTAGATGAAGATGGCTGTTTTGTATCTGATTTGCTTTAAAAATAGCCAGTTTTGCATAGTATTTGTATACTGATCATCCTGCTTTCTCCTTTGCCTGAAGCGAGGTCCTCGGTCCCCTCTGATCTTCCTCTATGTGGTGGACACGTGCCTGGAGGAAGATGACCTTCAGGCCCTCAAAGAGTCCCTGCAGATGTCCCTGAGTCTCCTTCCTCTGGAGGCCCTGGTGGGCCTCATCACTTTTGGGAGGATGGTGCAGGTTCATGAGCTGAGCTGTGAAGGAATCTCCAAAAGTTATGTCTTCCGCGGGACCAAGGATTTAACCGCAAAGCAAATACAGGTTTGTGCCTTGTTCCTACAGAAGCAGGAGCAAGGCTATATCTTAACAATGTAACCAGTCCTTAACTTTTACTTTTCCAGGAAATGAGGTCCTTTTGTTTTTTAGGATATGCTGGGCCTGTCCAAGCCAGCCATGCCCATGCAGCAAACAAGGCCTGCACAGCCTCAGGAGCACCCTTTTGTTTCCAGCAGGTGAGAGATGGGAGCTGCTGTTACACATACTGTAGTGGGTGTGGGGATAGCCCAAGGAGGCAGGAAGAGCAGTTTTAGGCCTAGTCAGTATTTGATGTTTTATCGGAACATTTTTGGGACTTGTACTCAAACATTTCCCTCTTCATGGACACATGGGTGGTTTTTGGTTTTGGTTTTTTCTTGGTTTAATTTTTTTTTTTCTTTTTTGTACCGGGAATCGAACTTGGATCCTTGTGCTTGCGAGGCAGATGGTGGAACCACTGAGCTAAATCCCCAGCCCTAAATTTCTTTTTTTTGTGTGTGCAGTACTGAGGATCAAACTCAGGGCCTTGCAAGTGCAGTGCCACTGAGCTAAATTCCTGGCCCTGTGTTTGTTTATTTTGCAGTATTGGGATTGAACCCAGGTCCTTCACATTGAGCTGCATCCCCAGCTCTTTTTAAATTTTTTATTTTAGGGCTGGGGATTTAGCTCAGTGGTTCTGCCGCCTGCCTCGCAAGCACAAGGGCCCAAGTTCAATCCCTGCACCAAAAAAAAAAAAAATTTTTTTTAATTTTAGGACAGTCTTGCTGAGTGGCTGTGTTGCCCAGGCTGGACTCAAACTTGTAATCCTCCTGTCTCAGCCTCTGGGAGTGCTAGATTATAGGTATATGCTACCATGTTGAGCTTGCCATTGTCTTTTTTTTTTTTTTTGAGACAATCTTGGTCTGCAGTTCAGATAGGCCTTAAACTCACTACGTAGCCCGGGCCTTGAACTCGAAGCAATCCTGCTTCAGCCTCCTGAGTGCTGGGATTATAGGCATGCACCACCACAAGCTCGATTGTCTTTTTTTTTTTTTTTTTGGTATTGGGGATCGAACTTGGGTCCTTGTGCTTGCGGGGCAGGCGGTGGAACCACTGGGCTAAATCCCCGGCCCTCCATTGTCTTTTTTGATCCTTACATAAAACTGGAACTGACAGTTTCTCATTTTGGTGATAAAACAAATTTATAAACATGTACTCACTTCCCTCAGCCCATTGAGTACCTCATTCTCCTCTGAGCTGAGTTAACATTTGGCAGACTTGATAGCTTGCCTCACCTGACATGCTGGGGCTGTCCTCTTACTCTGCCAGTATTATTTGTAAAGCTCAGAGGAAGCAGAAACTAAACCTTTAGCATGATGCCCATTGTCCACAGAAGTGGACCTTCTAAGGACTGAATTCCCCATTAGGCATGGCCTTAGGATTGCTTTGCTACTTAAAATTTAATTAAACTGACTTGTCCATTTTCAAATTGATTTTTTTTCCCACACTACATGTATAAATTGCCAAATGTTAGGTTAAATTATATTCCTTGGCCAGGTGTGATGATGCATGCCTGTCATCCTACCACTCAGGCTGCCAAGGCAGGAAGACTTGAGTTCATGGTCAGCCTGGGCTCCAAAGTACAATGCATGGTGAGACCCTTTCCATCAGTCAATTAATAAATTAATAAATTTTCTCAAAATTGCCCTGAATTGTTTTGTGTCTATAGTTGGAGGTATGTTTTTTCTACGCTGAATAATTATTTTGTAGAGCAGTTACTATGTGTCAGCAAGAGTAACAGATCAGAGTACTTTATTAACCCACCATTGATGTGTCTACCCCAAACTGTACAGGTTTCTGCAGCCCATTCACAAGATTGACATGACCCTCACAGATCTCCTCGGGGAGCTGCAGAGGGACCCATGGCCGGTCACTCAGGGAAAGAGGCCTCTGCGGTCCACTGGGGTTGCGTTGTCCATTGCCGTTGGCCTGCTGGAGGTAATCCAGGATTTATGGGTGGCCGTGCATGCTGTGCCAGCTTGCTCCTAGAAACTGCATTTATTGGCTTTGTTTGAAAATTTTTCGTGACCTAAGCCATCCCACTGTGCTATGTATCAGGAAGCGCTTTAGTCATTATCCACAGTGAAGGGATCCCTCAAATGCTTTAAAAATGTCAGAAGTTTTCATGGACAAATAAGTGAATTAGAGCAATGGCATGTGCTCACAGTAAATTAATAAAGTGTATAAAGCCTTCAGATTGGGAGAGAGTAAATGCTACTTTCTGCACACTTGCCTGCAGATTCTCATGCAGAGATACCTCATGCTTGATTGCTTGCCCTGGCCTGGGGTATAATATCTCCCATGTTAACAGCTGAAGAGGCCTGGGTGCAACATCCAGCGCACATACCAAGAACAGCTTTAAACAATTCATCTTTGGAGTATTTCTCCAGAGAAAGAAGAAACTGCCCTTGGACATGGGGCTGTTCACATCTAATAATGCTGCTGTTTTCTATTTCAGGGTACTTTTCCAAACACGGGAGCCAGGATCATGCTGTTCACTGGAGGGCCCCCCACGCAGGGGCCTGGCCTGGTGGTGGGAGATGAATTAAAGGTTCCCATTCGTTCCTGGCATGATATTGAGAAAGATAATGCACGGTTCATGAAAAAGGCAACAAAGGTAGGTTTAGGTCTGGGCTTTGCTTGACTTAGCTCAGGGTAAGGTGTGGGCTACTAGAGTGACAGCTGCTGTGCTGTGGTGTAATGATGCCCTTGGCTGAGACCATCCTCTTCTTCCTCCTCTTCACAGCACTATGAGATGCTCGCTAATAGAGCTGCTACAAATGGTCACTGCATTGATATTTATGCTTGTGCCCTTGATCAAACTGGACTTTTGGAGATGAAGTGTTGTACAAATCTTACTGGGTAAGTTAGGAATGGGCATCTGGGCAAAGATTTTTTATTTGCAGTCCTGGGGGTTGAACCCAAGGCTTCATGTATCTAGGTGAGCACATTACTGCTGAGCTGTACCCCGAGCCCAAAAAAGTGTTATATTAAGAAAGGAGAACAAGTACTGGAGCTGTAGGAATGGGTTAGCTTTCAGATGGCTCAGTGGCTGGGGAGAGTGGGTCCCATGGAGGAAGAAGCTGTGATGAGCAGGAGGCCTCAAGGGTTCACTACAAACAGGTTGTATCACAGTAACTTCATTTCTTCCTTAGAGTCATTAGACCTAAATGGAGACCAGGCTAAGCAATCAAGCATGAGGTATCTGGCCTTCAGCAGGCATTTCTTTTGGAGAAGGGACAATAATAGGTTGTGAATGCTGAAACAATTAGGAAAAACTTGACCTGGCCAAGCCACCGTACTTTATAACTAATACTGAGCACATGGTCAGCACCTGACTCAGAGACTCATATTGTACTTGCAGGTCAGAATGCAGAGCAGGACTCTTACCATGTGTGGTGCTTGCACCAGCACCTGGGACGTGACCAGGAATATACTTCTTGGGCCTTATCCAGACCTAGAGTCAGATGCTCTGGGGACCCAGCTTTCCGGAGATTGCGATGCACAGGAAAATAGAAGTAATGCCAATGCCAAGCACTGGTCTGAAGCTGGCTACATAGTAGAGTCACCTGAGGAGTTTTATTTGAGTAGGGTCTCACTGTGTAGTTCAGGCTGGCCTTGAACTCACTGTGTAGCTCAGGCTGGCCTGGAACCCACATGATCCTCCTGCCTCAGCCTCCAATGTGCCAGGATGATAGGTGTGTGTCACGGTGCCTGGCACCTGAAGAACTTTAAAAAGCTGTTCTTGTTTTGAGTCTTGCACCACCTCCCCGCCCCATACTGTCATTTAGATAGTGTCTGGCTTGGCCTGGACATCAACATTTTTAAAAGTTTCTCTAGGGACTCTAACATAGGGTAGAGTTTGGCCACCACACACATCAGCCTCACCTGCAGCTCATTAGAAATTCAGCCTCCTGGTCCACACTGTACCTGCGCTGGAACATCCTGGGTGCCTTCTGTGTCATGGGCACTGTGGTGTCGACCATAGGTCTCCAGCATTAGAGAAGTGAGACAAGGGAAGGAGCCATCCCCTGTGTCCCGCTGAAGAGCCCAGCACCCAGAGGAGCAGTCACGAGCAGTGTCCAGGGCTTGGGCCTGTCCTGACCTTGCCTCCATCCTTTCTCCCAAAGAGCCAACTGAGCACATGACTGGTGGACACACTCTGTTACCTTCTGGAGTGTCCATCATGGAGCAGAAGCACCCAGCAGCTCCTAAGCTCAAGAGAGCCCCCAATGGAAAAGGGAAGGCCCTGGATCTAGTTCTGAAACCATGTTACCACTTAGTCACCCAGTGACCCAAGACCACACCTTTCCAAGCCTCAGATGATGCATCTCGGCTCACCTGGTGGGTGTTGGAAAGGTGATGAAACCACACATGAAAAGACCCCAAATCCATGTGAGCCCCAGTGAGGAAACCATCATGAAGTGTTTGGAGCTAAAGAAAAAAAATGCAGTTGTTGCTCCTCTCCAAAAGAAGTACAGCCTCCTGAGCCTATTCGACCTCCTAAACCATAGCATGCATTTGCTGAAGATCCCAGGTGACTGGCACACATGAAGCAGATGGAGAAATGCTGGCATAGAGATGTGACTGGGCCTGAGGGTTTACATTTTAGCCAGCTTCTGGTCCTCACTGAGGAGGGGAAGAGGTGGAACCCAGGCACTAGGAGCTGTCCTGGAGAGCAGCAGATAAGTTAGGTGATGGGACTAGGGCCCCCGGCTGGAAGTGCATGAGGGAACTTTATTCAGTAAGATGATGAGCTCTTGCGAGGGGCCTCCGGGAGTTCCTGACTTGAAGCACTCAGAGAAGCTCTACTGCATTGGTAAAGTCAAAGATTCAGTTTTGAGGCAGTGGACTAACTTGAGAGGCTTTCCCCGCTGATTTAGCTATTCTCCCGTACCAAAGAGGCAAAGAGGTAACTGGTTGATATGCAGGAACACTCAGCTCAAACTCAGTTTGTCCTCCTTCTGTAACCCTCAAATGTGCAGGGATTTTTTTTCTTTTGTCCTACCAGCAAGTGAGCAGTCAGTTCTTCAGTGGACACCTAGCTGGGCATCTCTAATTTAATTCTGACTCCACCTACCTGGAGATAGTACCAGACCCTACAGATGGAGGGTCAGTCACCAAGACCTCCCCCCAACCTTAGATGCCAGTTGGAAGCCTCATGTTTCACAGCTTTGCTGTAAACCAGGTTCCAACAGCTCCTCCTGGGCTTCAATTAATTTGCTCAGGCAGCTCACAGAACTCACAGAAGCACGCACTTGCGCTTAGCAGTTCATTGTGAAGGATATTACAAAGAATACTGATGAGGATGCGTAAGGGAGGGTGAGGGAAGGTACGCAGCTTCTCCACACTGATGAGGATGCGTAAGGCAGGGTGAGGGAAGGTACGCAGCTTCTACGCACTCCTGCACCTCACCCTTCAGGCCCTCCATACAGTCAGCTACCCACAAGCTCTAACCCTTATCCTTTGGGGTTTTTAGTTGAGATTTTACTGGCTAGGCATGACTGAAGCATGGACAACCAAAAATGTAACTGGACAGAAGTGTGTGAACTAAGGCTAAGACACACAGCGAGCCCTGTCTGCCTGTGATTCTTGGCTTCTGTACCATTCATTCCTCTTGAATGTGCGGCATGCTCCCTTCTGAACCTGTCAGGCAAGGTAGGTCAGAGAATTTCTCCACGGCTAGTGCCAGGACGGAAGAGAGAGGAAGAGTACAGTTTCCATGACCCACTGGAGAAATTGTAGTTTCTGTGACCTGCCTTGGGCAGGATGTGAGAGCCAGGAACCGTGGACAAAAACCAAGATACACGTGTATATTGTGGCACAAATTTGAATTGGCAGGCTTATTGATGAAAGGATACTTTTTCTGTTTTTAACTTTTTTTTTGGAAATAATTACACTCACAGAAATTGTGACTGTTGGGGCCGGGGATTTAGCTCAGTGGTTCTGGTGCCTGCCTCGTAAGTGCAAGGTCCCGAGTTCCATCCCTGGTACCAAAAAAACCCCACCAAAAAACATAAAGAAATTGTGAATGTGATGGGAGTACACAAAGGCCCTCCAGTACTCTTCATGTAGCTTCTCCAACTGGTAGCCTCTTACATGAAATAGTGGTCTGTCAGTACCAGAAACTGACGTGGCACAGTACAGTTAACTGTACTGCAGACTTTATTTGGATTCCCTTAGGTTTTATGTGCAGCCATTTTCCCCTATTTGTTATGTGAGTATATGTAATTCTGTGAGATTTTGTCATCTCTGTAGAGTTGCATAATCAGTACAGTAATCAAAATATAGAACTGTTCTTAAAGATTCTTTGTGTAATGTTTTAGAAATAGTTCTTTCCTAAATACAAATTGAACTTGCCATTTTCCACTGGAGTCAGTAGCACCTTTATGTACATGGCATGTTAGCTTTCTGTCGCTGTGACAAAGTGCTTGACGTGAATCAGCTTAAAGGAGGAAAGATTTATTTTGGCTCCCTTTCAGAGGTTTTAGTCATGGTTGGCTGGCTCCATTGCTTTTAGGTCTACACCAAGGCAGAAACTCCTAGCAGAAAGGGCCGGTGGAGTCAAGCTGCTCACCTCATGGCCATAAGGAAGTAGAGACAGAACGCTGGAGAGGAAGGGCCCAGGGACCTGATGTACCCCTCAAAGGCTCCCCCCAGTGACCCATGACTCCATCCCAGCCTCGCCTCCTGGCAGCCCATCCAGCTGAGCTCAGGAATGGGTTAATCACTGATGAGCAAGATGCCTGGGACCTTGTCTGCCCTCTGAACATTGCTGTACTAGAGGGCTGGCTCTCAAGGCAAGGACCTTGGGGAACACTTCACATTTGAACTATAACACTTGGCTTTTCCTGTTTCTTTAGATTATTGATGACTTCCATACATTTTGCTGCCCACTTTCATTGTCTTTCTTCTCACCCAGAGGCCACATGGTGATGGGAGATTCTTTCAACACCTCCCTCTTCAAGCAGACCTTCCAAAGAATTTTTAGCAAAGATTTTAACGGAGATTTCCGAATGGCTTTTGGTGCTACTTTGGAAGTAAAGGTACGATAGACTTAAAGTGTTGGTGGCATTGGAGAATTGTCATGAGTTCAGTGTTCAGACCACTGGTGACCTCAGCCTGCTGGACACAGGCATGAAAAAGCTGTTCAAGGGTCCTGACAAAATGGCCTAAGGGTTGCTGGTTTCCTGCAGGCACCACTCCACTGGCTTTAATCCAGTCAGGGTTGGAGGGGGGACTGGGTATTAGGAGCAGCACTGTGGCCCAAGAACAGGTAGCCACTGCCCTGGTCACCCTCCCCTCAGCTGTCTCTAACCTTGTGCTCTGCTGTGATTTCTTTCAGACCTCTCGGGAGCTGAAGGTTTCAGGAGCCATTGGTCCATGTGTGTCTCTGAACATGAAGGGACCCTGTGTGTCAGAAAATGTAAGGAAAACCCCATCACCCTGTCCTGGCCTGCAGTGATGCCTTTAGGGTGTCATGGCGTGACAGTCTGTGGTGAGGAAGGAGCACTGAGCTGTCCATCCCTCTGTCTGAAAGATCAGAGGAGGGACTGAGGCCAAGCGAGCTTGTGTGTGGCTGAGGGGCAGAGCTGGCCTGGAGCAGCTCGATCCCAGGCCTCAACCCCACCACCCACATGGGAGTGCTGTGCCCAGGAGCCTTGGGGCTCCCTGTTGCACAAGGCCAGCAGCCAGCAGAACCCTTCAGGAGTGGACCACGGGCTCTGTGCTCGTAGGTGCCAGACAGCAGAGACCGCCGTGGGTTGGATGGGCAGTGGCTGATACACATGCCAACATCTGTGTTCTCTAGTAATAGATTGTGTGACCACAGTTCAGCTGTCATGTGGGAAGAGTGGCTCTGCTGATGGCCGGAGTCCTCTGATCAGCTGCCAGGAGGCCCATCCTTGACCATTTGGGCCCATGCAGCCTCTCCAGGGGGATCTTAGGCTGGGTGACACAAGCATGTCCTTTATCAGTGGTCTTCAGTGGGAGGGCGGACTATAGAGCTGGCTAAGGATTCAGGGCACAGGTCTCCCACTCAGTAGCTGTGTGGCCTGGGCAGAGCGTGTTTATCTGGGAAATGGGGATCACGTCAGTATCTGCCTCACAGCATTGTTTGGAGGAGGAAACGAGGTTGTTCAGATGATGCAGTTGGCGTAGGGCCCAGCACACCATCTGAGGCCTATCTGATTGTCCTTTTCAGGGGTGAATCTAGGATGATGATTTCTCATTCTGTTTTTGTAGTTCTTCCAGCAAGGCATTTAGAGGGTAAATGCTAAAGAAAATAATTTGTGTATTATAGAGAAAATGTTCCAGGGTATAGGAGGATTTGGGTCACCCTGCCTGGTGCCTAATGAAGGCTTGGTAAGATGAGGGAGGGAGGGATGCAAGCTCCTTGACTTCCTGGCATGTTCGTGGGTGTGGCCTGTCACCTTGCAGCAATTGGAAATGCATGCTTCTTGTGGAAAAGGCCTGAAAAAGGGAAGGTGAACAAAAAAAAAAAGGGAAGGTGAGCACCCATGAGTCCATCTACCTTGAGGTCCGGCTTAGGATGCACTGGCAGAGGAGAGTGCCCTCCCCGCTGTGGGATTTCAAAGAAACTCCCCACCTTGTGACTTGGCCACTGTCCTGAGATTGCTGCTCCTGCTGCCAGGTGCATACAGCCCTGAAATGGCTCTGTGGAGACACCAGACAGTGCCCATTGTGCTTAGCTGACCAAGCAGCAGGGTGTGTTCAGAGTGACACAGGTGACTCTCCTAATACAGAAGCACTTTTTTGTTTTGTTTTGTTTTTGGCAGTACTGAAGATTGAACCCACGGCCTTCATACTGAACTACATCATAAGCTTTTTTAAATTTTCATTTTGAGACAGGGACTCTTTAAGTTGCTAAGTTGCCCAGGCTGGTCTCAAATTTATAATCCTCCTGCCTCAGCCTCCCATAAAGTTGGGTTTACAGGCGTGTACCACTGCACCTGGCTGCATGTTACTTTCTAAGCACAGCGTTCTACAGCTTGATGAGATGTAGTGTGTATACTCAGCTTCTCTGTGATGATGGAATGGCTGTTGCAGTCCAGTAATTTCAGTGAGGATTAAAGGTGTTTTCTAGTGACTCTGGAATTCACATTTCATTGAGTCTCATATTTCTCACTGGGAGCTGTTTAATCAATAAAAAGCAGCCTTCATGCTGCTACAATCTCTTGAGTTCTCTCACTGAGAATTTATATATACCTTTTGCATAAAAGCATGGAGTTAGAAACTAATACTTCATATCTAATGTTCTTCAGCTCTTGTTTCTTGTTTTAATAATGATGATAAAAGACGTACATAAAACTTTCAGTCCAAGAAGATAATTCTGTTTCCTACTGTAAGTTTTTGCCCAATCTTGATTTGATTTTGTTGACTTGAGTGTGTATAATATATCTGATATTATGAAGCTTGTTCTGAGTGTCCATATAAAAAGCTTAATTTTAAAGTACTGTTAATGTACTTCTACTCTATAATTGTGCTTTTCTCGGTAAAAAGATTTCACTGAAATTGACATTTTCACATCAAAGATGTTCAGAGTGGCCTGCCCTACTCCTCAGTACCTTTCACCAGCAGTTAAGCACAGGGTCAGTGTTTTGAGTTTTGATTCCTCTCCCCACTCCCAGGAGCTTGGTGTAGGAGGCACGAGTCAGTGGAAGATCTGTGGCCTAGATCCCACGTCTACACTTGGCATCTACTTCGAAGTCGTCAATCAGGTGGGTTGGATTTCTTCTCATGTCTTTATGTCATGGAGTTCTGTTTTCTGATTTATTATAAACCAGAGTTCTCACTTTTTTTTTTCCTTACAAACACATTCTGCTTTAGTATTGTACCAGTCCTGATGCTGGTCTGGCATGATCTTCTTTTAACCCTTCAGGATTTAGGCAGAGTCAGACAGCAAATTACTTCTGTTGCCTTATTGTTGAACTGATCAGGGCATGAGAGAGTCATGGGTTTTACCAGCCATCGCAGTGTTAGGCTTTCCCTGCTATTTCATTATGAAAAATTGTAAGCATATGAATAATAGAATTATGCACTGAATACCCATATATCCACCAACTCAATTTTGTAATCAACATTTTAGGGTAGTACTTTGTTATTTATCTGTTGATTACTCTTAGTTTTTATGCATTTCAAAGTGATTTATGATCACAGGTGTATTTCATCTGCATTTCAACGTGCATGGTGTTCCTTGGAGCTTGGTCTGGTTTGGTTTTTCCCCTCAGTGCTGGTGATGAACCCAGGGCCTTGTGTATGCTAAAAGCATAAACACACACTCTACCTGAGCTACACCCCCAGCACCAGGAGTTCAGTAATAAATGTGATTCTTTCTTTCTTTCCCTCCCTTTCCTTCCTTTCCTTTCCTTCCTTTCCTTCCTTCCTTCCTTCCTTCCTTCCTTCCTCCCTTCCTCCCTTCCTCCCTTCCTCCCTCCCTCCCTCCCTCCCTCCCTCCCTTCCTCCCTCTCTTCTCCTCTCCTTTCCTCTCCTCCCCTCCCCTCCCCTCCTCTCCCTCTTTCCTTTCTTTCTTTCGCAGAAGTTAAATACAGTGAACTGTGCACGTCCTAAGTGTACCATTCAAAATGCAGCAAGAACCTCACCATCCTCGCTGTTCGTTGTTTTAGGAGACCCCAGTGGGCTCTGTGGCTGTGTTTAAGTCATGTCTATGACTATAACAGGTGTGTGGCCTCTCGCCCTGCAGCACAATGCCCCAGTCCCCCAAGGAAGCAGAGGTGCCATCCAGTTTGTCACACAATATCAGCATTCCAGCACACTGAAACGCATCCGTGTGACCACCATTGCCCGAAAGTGAGTCACCTGCTTCTTTTCTGTTGAGCCCCTTACTGGTGGTTTTCCTGTGAAGAGATGTTTTAACATCTGTCTGTTGGTCTTTCTCATTCCTTCAAATAGTGCTCCACAGTCCTCCCTGGCTCAGTAGCTTAGAAGAAAGGAGGCAACACTCTTGGCTAACCCAGTTGGGCCTACAGGCGCTTGCCTAGAAGAATTCACTTCCAGTAGGAATATAGTTCATTGCAAGTTGCTTTTCATAGCCTGCTGTGGTGGTACATTCCTGTAATCCCACCCCTCTGTAGGGACTGAGACAGAGGATTACAAATTCAAGGCCAGCCTGGGCAGCTTAACGGGGCTGTCACAAAATAAAAAGAACTGAGGATGTATCTCAGTGAGAAGGTTAGGTTCAATTCCAGGTACCCCTCCAAAAGGTTATTTTTCATTATTTTAAATTATATAAGCAACTGAAATACATCCTCCTTGTTAAAGATTCAGGTAGAATGTAACTGCAGGTGGTCTTCCATATCTGAGAGTTCTATGTCCAAGGGTTCAGCCAACCTTCAATGGAAAACATTTGGAAAAAAAATACAGTGTCTATATAAACATGTACAGATCTTTTTCTTCTTGTTCCTTAAATAAAACAGCATAACCACTATTCACATAGTACTTACACTGCATTAGTTAATACTGGTAATTTAGAGACAATTTGAAGTATGTGGGAGTGTGTTTATAGATTCTTGCAAATGCTGTCCTGTTTTCTGTAAGGGAGTTGAGCACCCATGCATTATGTATCCCAGGGGGAGTGGACCCAATCTCTGTGGACACAGTACAGAGAAGACTGTTTCTCCCCAGAGTGAAGACTGTTTCTCCCCAGAGTAAAGGCTGTTAATTGGTTCAGCCTCACAATCTCATTTCTATGAAGCTCTATACTGTAGGTATTTATTATATACAGATGCAACAGCTTGTCACATTTTATGTGTATATTATCTGTATTTGTATCAGTGTTTACCTGCAACTTGCAAGCCTGTATCTTGTTTATTTTGGTGCTCATGTGGTGTTGGATAGTTTGGATGGCACATATACGAGCACATTTCAAGCCTTGCCTTCCAGCATTGCTGTGTTCACGTATCTAGGTTGTTGCATACATGGTAGTCTCTTTCCAGCCACTTCATAAAAGTGAGACTTAAGTACTACAAAACTGCTCTCCTGAGAACCTCATTTGCGCTCATCCCATAGTGTGAAGCAAGTGCCCTGTGGCTTCATTAACGAAGGATATTTCAGTCTTCACCATGCCAATACAGAGCATTATCTCCCTTTGGTTATGTTTTCCTTTGGTCAGTGAGTTGACTCTTCCTCTTTACTGGCCATATGGATTTCTTTTATGATAGTGTTCACACAGTTTTGTAAAGCCTATTCCTTTTTCTTGTTCCTTGATATGCATAGGCTCTTTATATATTCTGGATATCATTGCTGTGTATATTACACATACCTGTTCCTGGTCTGACTGCTGTCCCTTAGGTTTGTTCATACTATTTTGTTCATCTGGAAGACATGGGAATGTGTGCTAATTGCTTTTTTCCACAGAGAAGGAAGGTCATTTTGGGAGTTTGTAAACATTCAGAGTTTTGTAAGATAGCAGTGAGAAAGGAACATTAGATAGAGACTGCATCTTTGCATGTCCACCATATCTCGTGCACGTGGTGGGAGCTCCTCTGTCATTGCTCCTTTGAGTTCCCAGGTGTCAGAGATCATGTGAGGGTGACTGAGCGGCTGTCAGGCCCCTGTCATCCCTTACCTGTTACATGAATGCAGTCAGATCTATGTCATCATCCGCGGAGGACCAGGATCTGTGCATGTCTGGGTCTCTGATGGCTCCTAAATGGCGCACAGCACTAACTATGGAATTGTCAGTTGGGCAGATGTGCAGAGCCAGCTCCAGCTCATAGAGGCTGCGTTTGACCAGGAGGCTGCAGCGGTCCTGATGGCGAGGCTTGGAGTGTTCCGGGCAGAGTCGGAGGAGGGCCCTGACGTGCTCCGATGGCTGGACCGGCAGCTCATCCGACTGGTAAATTGGGGTTGATAGCACTGGGTTCGGCCTTGTTCGCTGCTTTACCTTGTAGAAAAGAAAATTGTTACTTAAACCAATTATACATCCTGCCAGCAAAAATTTATGCCAAAGTGGATGGGGGCTGGGGATTTAGCTCAGTGGTTCCACGGCCTGCCTCGCAAGCACAAGGACCTGAGTTCAATCCCCAGTACCCAAAAAAAACACAACAAAGTGGATGATCTGAGAGTGATATGACAGACACGTTAATTGTGCCTTTTCCCCTTGAGGGGTGTCATTAGAATAGGTAGGAAGAAACAGCGTACTCAGAACATGGGAGGATGCAGGTCTGCTGGTGTAGGAGTTGCATTAGATGAAGGCTCCCAGCGTGCATTTGTGACCAAAAGCCCCAAAAGAGGACCTGGTGAACTCGGTTCAGCCCTGTATTTGCCCCCTGCCATCTCTTGGAGCTGTTTGTCAGGAAGTGTCAGCATTCCCATCAGAATTTGAAAATTGTTCCTCCAGGATTTCAAAGGGGTGACAGGTGAGCAGAGAGTGAAAGGATTGGCAAAGGCTTCATGTGAGAAGTGAGCCTTGAATTAGACCTTTTTGTACAGAGCAGGGTGATAGGAAAGGGAGGTAGCCATGCCCTTCAACTTGTGCTGGGGACAATGAAGGAATTACTGTCGCAGGGGCTGGCTGGCCGTGAGGAATGGAGGGAAGGAAGGTACACTGGGATTGCAGAATGCCTTAACTTCAGGGAGAGAGGTGGGACAGCGTGAGGTTCCTTAGGGAGGGGTGTGATGTAGGCACAGTGCTCTTGCTCACGCTTAACATTGGCATTCCAAGTGGATTGCAGGGGAAAGGCCAGTGTTATGACGGAGCATTTTACAGGGTCCAGGGAGCTGAGACCAGGTAGTGGCAGTAGAAATGGAGAGAGCAGAAGACTTGGAACTACGAAGTGTGCTAAATGAAAAACTGCTGAAATGACTATATAAAAGTTAAAAAGCAGGGCTGGGGATGTAGTTCAGTGGTTGAGTATTTGCCTGGTATGCACAAGGTCTTGAGTTCAATCCCCAGCACTGGGATCAAAAAAGGGTCAGCATTGTCTCACATTTCAAGTCGGGTAACTGCAAACATTGTGGTAGAAAATGGGGAAGGAGAGAACTTTAATGTGGACAAAGGTGATTTTTTTTTTAATACAGTAGCTTATTTTTGATAGATTGAATGTGATTTTATAAAAATATATACAGAGTTGGCCTGGTGTCTGTAATTGCAGCACTCTGGGATATAGATTTATGTTTATATGGAAAGCAGTCCAGTAATTAAGTGGAAATCCCCACTGGAGCTCAGGCTGGCCCTCAGAACTGGACACCATGAGGAAGATTTGGAGTCATCGGTGTGGTTCTAATGTTCATTTGTTACCAATGCAGCAAGGATGAGAGCAGGGGCCACGAACCCACCTGTGATCACTCCCCAGAGAGGAGTCATGAGGAGAACAAGGAGCCACTGAAGAAGGCAAAGAAGTCTTGGTTGGAGAGATGAGGAGAAATAGGAAAGTAAGGTTTCAGTAATGGAAAGGAGATCAGATTTGGTAGGTAATTCCTAGTGATGGGCTTCTTAACGATGGACAGAGGCCCAGCCCTTGGGAGGCTGAGGTAGGAAGATTGCCATGAGTTCAAGGCCTGACCATGGTGAGTGAGTTCAAGGCCAGCCTGAACTGCACAGTGAGATCCTGTTTCAAAAAAACAATGGACAGCCTAGTCCACTATTGGCCGGAGGAGAGGTGTGGTCAGAATAAAGACAGGAAAGGAAGAGAAAACTATTGTTCAGAGACCTGCCACTGAGAGGAGAAAAAACTGCACTGCAGCAGAACAGAATGTGCATGTCCCCGTACTAATTGCTAGTAGCATGGTCTTGCAGGCTGTCATGCAGGAATGGTGCCTAACAGCCTGGCAGCTATTGGGGGTGGGATGGCCTGGCTGGTGCTGCCTGGGAGCTGCTGGAGATGCAGAGCCGCCAGCTCCTCCTCAGTCTGTTCTTGCTGTTCCAGTCTAGAACTCACAGGAAATGGCAGAGTTAAGGTGGAAACATTAAAGTGGGAACATGGCTCCTAGTCCAGGAGTTTTCCATGTAACACTAACTCAAGTTTTCTTCTCTCTCTCTCTCTTTTTTTTTTTTAATATTTTCTTTCAACAGTGTCAGAAGTTTGGACAATATAACAAAGAAGATCCCACTTCTTTTAGGCTATCAGATGCCTTTTCTCTATATCCTCAGGTGAGAGATGCACATTTCAAGGGCTGGGATGTAGCTTCATGGCAGGGCGCTTGCCTAGCACACATATGGCCCTGAGTTTCATCCCCAGCACCACAAAAGGAAATAGAAAAGAAACAAGCTAATATAAGTGTGAGAGAAATAAACTATTCTCAGGGTAAAATGAAGACTTCTGGGGTTTGAGTCTCAGACTGTAAGTGATGAAGGTCAGTGGGGCTTTGCTTAGTGCTGATTGCTGGGGTTACCTGAGCAGAAGCCATCGAGTACTCAGCACCTTTCTCAGTGCCAGGCCCTGCTCAGCACTTCTCAGATGACCCTAGCATGTTCAGGCACCCGTGTCCCACTGGTTGAGGCCTTGCAGTATTGTGGGAAGAGCCCCACACTGGCCTTGCTCCTGCTAATCATTGATGGCATCCAAGCCCTTATGCATTTTGGTTTCTTCATCTGTGGAAGGGATGAGTTGGTCTGCAGTCTCTTTAAAGCCATGAAACCTATTCTTCCAGAGGGCCCTCCAAAAGCCAGCCCGAGACACAGATAAACTGGGTGCTGCTGGGTCCTCCAGAGCTGAGACTGAAGAGCCAGGTGCAGCGCCCAGTTGAGGTCCTGTGGTACCTGCTGTGGCCATGCATTTGAGGGTGGAAGTCAGAGCAGCTCTACCACGCAGAAAGGGTGAGGCTTTGGGCCTTACTTCTGTACTTCAGTTTCCTCCTCATTGAGAGCTGGGTTTGGGATGAGAACCTGCTGCGCAGGGTCCTGAGTTCAATCCCTGGTACTGAAAAAAAAAAAAAAAAATTTTAACAGGGCCGGGGATTTAGCTCAGTGGTTCTCCTGCCTGCCTCCCAAGCGCAAGGTCCTGAGTTCGATCTCCAGTACCAAAAAAAAAATTTAACTGTGGTAGAATTTACCATCTTACCCCGTTTGAAGGGTACAGTTGTGTGATGTTAATTATATTCACATTATTGTGCAACAGATGTCCAGAATTAATTCATCTTGCAGAGCTGAAACTCTGCACCCTTTAAACAATGACTCCCCATTTCCCACTCCACCAGCCCCTGCTGCCACCTTCTGCTTCTGTCTCTGTGAACCTGGAGGCCTTTTCAGAGTCTGGGTTCTCCTTTGGAGAAGATCTAAGGCAAGTCTGCTCTCTGGGTACTCACAGTTATATGCGTTTGTCTTTTTCCCCTTTGTGAATGCAGTTCATGTTCCACCTCAGAAGATCGCCCTTTCTCCAGGTGTTTAACAACAGTCCTGATGAGTCGTCCTATTACAGACACCACTTTGCACGGCAGGACCTGACCCAGTCCCTCATCATGATCCAGCCCATCCTCTACTCCTACTCCTTCCATGGCCCGCCAGAGGTGAGGCTAGGCATGCCAACTTCCCTTGGAGCGGCAGCTGCCTGACTGGAGGGTTTTTCTAGAAGCTTCCTCTCAGCAGACCTGGAAAAAAGAGAAAATTGTGAATTTTTGTAGTAATTTAGCATTTCTGACTATTTAAAAAGAATCCATAGGCCGGATTCTTGGTGGTGGATGCCTGTAATCCCAGCACTTGGGTGGCTGAGGCAGGAGGATGGCCATGAGTTGAAGGCCAGCCTGAACTATATAGTGAGACCCTGTCTCAAAAAACCCCCCAAAAATTAAAATAAAAAGAATCCATAGAAAAACTCTAAAGACATATAAAACAATGTTTTTGTGGGACATAGAAGTAGCTACAAAAAACTTTTTTAAATGGGTGCTTTTTTTCCAATGAGTTCACATATTTTGACCAGTAATTACTTCCAAGTCTCACAAAGTGTCTGGAAAAGTACTCCTAGATAAAGAAAAAGCTATGTGCAGAGAAACAATAAATGAAATCCTATAACAGAGAATTATATAACAATCCAAATGCTTAGTAGTGGAGAAATAAGTAATCTAAGAAATACATAATTTATGTAACATAAAATACAGAAGTCCTTATGAGAAAATGTTACATGGAAAGAAAGCAGAATCTTTCCTAAAAGAATATCTGTGTGAAATAGAGCATTGCTCAATTTGCAGGTAAAGTCAATTATGATCTTTACAAAAAAGAGACTTTTCTGAGTTGTGTTTTTTAGAAGACTTCAAAATAATAAACTCTGGAAATAAACTAAAATATCAATATTTGTTATACACGGGTACAAATTTTCTTAAATTTAGTATAAGTTTTATTATTAAAATAAAAATAATAAAATATATTTTGTAGTGAACTTTAAGAACTTGTTATTAAATGCTGCTTGCTCTCAAGTACAGCTAAAGTAGATTTGAGAGAAAGATCAGACTGATAAGATGAATATCTAACACTAAACAGAATATTCAGAATCATTTCTGGGTCCTGGATCACAAGATGCCACTCGCTTCTCTTCCCACCTGGTTGTCAGGGGCCTGTTTCTCCTTGAAATTAAGACTTGGAGCCCCTGGGCTGGGGAGCAGAAGAGGGAGCCCTGTGGTGTAAGGGTTGGTCCACCCCATGGGCCCTGGCGTGGGGCTGCTGTGGCACCTGGGGGAAGGACAAGGACCTATGCCTCTTCTCTCTCTCTCCCTAGCCGGTGCTCTTGGACAGCAGCAGCATTCTAGCTGACAGAATCTTGCTGATGGACACTTTCTTCCAAATTGTCATTTATCTTGGTGAGGTAAGATGACGTTATTGGTTTCTTTCCTGGCTGTTGTTTCTGCTTCCCTGTTACTTGTGATTTTGGGTTTTTCATCATATTTGAAGCAAGAATTCTGTAGTATTTGTATACTTCACAAGAGTAGTACTTGCTGTAAGAAAGTCTCAAGTGGGCCAGGGATTTAGCTCAGTGGTTCCACCGCCTGCCTCACAAGTGCAAGGTCCCAAGTTCAATTCCCGGTACTAGAAAAAAAAAAAAAAAAAAGAAAAAGAAAAAGAAAGTCTCAAGTGGTCCTTTTAAATCACTGTAATTTATTACTTTCTGAAATTGTTAGGTAAACGAGTTTATTCCTCCTCAATAAGCTCATTGTACAGACTGCTGTTCTTAGTGTTCTGTGAGGGGTGGGTTGGAGTCTATAGCTTTTCTCTGGTGGAAGACCCTGGCATAGGGACAGCACACTGGGTCCGTGAGTCCCCAGGGTGGCTATGGGTGGCTTCAGGGAAGAGAAGGTTTCTTTTTTTTCTCAAAGGGGTTTGTGCTCTACAGAGGGAATGGCTCCCCTGAATTTTTGCATTGTTATGAGGGGGGAAAAGTATTCTGTTCTATGCTGGTTTTTTTTTTTTAACCACACTAGAGATTGAACCCAGGGAGTGCTGAGTTATACTCCCAGGCCCTTTTGAAATATTTTTATTTTGAGACAGGATCTTACTAAATTATCCATGCCTTGAATTTGTGATCCTCCTATCAGCCTTCCAAATAGCTGGGATTACAGGCATGCACCACCCTGCCTAGTGGAAAAAAACGTTTTAATTCTCACTGTATTTGGTGACACTCTTTCTTCTGTTGTATGTTCTTTCCATTTAGAAAGCTGCTTTTGGTGATTGATTTGGCTTCCTAGAGTCCAAACAATGCAAATGATTACAAATGTCCTGAAAGAATATAAATTATGTTTTTAAATTTCCTGAGTAACTTAGGAAGTATTAATTTTCAGATACTAGTAGGTGTTTCATAACTTGAAACTCTTAACCTGTCAGCACTTCTGCTGGCCTCTTGCTCACAGACCTGGGCCATCTGGTGACCAGCAGCTGCACCTCCTGGTGACTGAGCTTCATCATTCCTTACTGCACCCCCACCCTGTTCATTTACTTATTTATCAAGCACCTTTTTTGGCCAAGGGAGGAGTTCTAAAGAGGAAGATGAGGTGTTTTTCCATTTGTTTATTTCTTGCTCTTCAGAAGCCCTGAGTCTGCTGGCTGTGGCTGTTCTTGTTGCTGAGGGAACTATGGGCACTTCCTCTGGCAACCAGACAGTCACTCAGAAGATTGAGATGTGGACAATGGTGGCTGGCACTGCTCAGAGGGGAGAGTAGACTGTAGTGGGAGGCCTCTGAGGACAGCCCTCAGGTGCCACAGTCACTGTTCTGATTTGTTTTGGTTTGGTTTTGTGGTACTGGGGATTGAAGCTGGGCCCCTTTGTACTAAGTTAAGTTACATCCCCAACCCTTTTTTGTTTTTTGAGATAGGATTTTACTAAATTGCTAAGTTGCCTAGGCTGGCCCCAAACTTGTGATCCTCCTGCCTCAGCCTCCCAGAATGCCAGGGTTATAGGCGTGCACCATCATACCCGGCTCTTATAGCTTTTCTCTTCCCCTGCCTAGAGAGGAGTAGGGCTGGGGTAGGTCAGTCCCACCCGGCCAGCCTGCCTACCTGCCTGAGGGCAGCAGTGTGGGTGCTGTTGAGTAGACAGAAGGGGGCATGGCTTTATGTTGGCAGCGGCAGATCCTCTCCCTCCAGGTGTGAGGAGTGAGGGACTAGGCTGGGGCTAACAGTGGAAGTGGACTGGAAGAAAGGCCAGGCTCCTTTTTTTTGGTACTGGGGATTGAACTTGGGACCTTGCGCTTGGAAGGCAGGCTGTAGAACCACTGAGCTAAATCCCTGGCCCTGGGCTCCTTTATTAACCAGTTGCTTTGTACTTGGGAAGGGACGAGGGACGAGGCTGCTGGCTGACATCTCTGAAAGGAGCTCCCAGGTGGTGTGCTGGACACCCCCTCTCTGGCCCTCCCTGCCTCTCGTCCTCCCAGCCAGCTCTGCCTTTTGGAATCCCCATGTTGATATGTGACTTCACCAGAACCCATCCTGGGAGGTGGTGCTGGAAGGCCTGGAGCGGGGATGGAGGCCACCATTGTAGCCTCCCCATGACAGTTCTGGTGAGGTTGTTTCTGTGCAGACCATAGCCCAGTGGCAGAAGGCCGGCTACCAGGACATGCCTGAGTACGAGAACTTCAAGCACCTGCTGCAGGCTCCACTGGATGATGCGCAGGAGATCCTGCAGGCACGCTTCCCCATGCCGCGCTATGTCCACACAGAGCATGGCGGCAGCCAGGTGAGCCAGCTGTCCTTGTGTTCAGAGCTGATGGAGGGCTGCGAATCCAAGCAGTCGTCACTGCTACATGTGGTAGAATCATTGGCAGATGGCAGCCTTCTAGCTGTGACTTCTTTTTACATGAATATGTTGGTGTAGAAGGATAGGGCCACCAATGTCCTGGGAGGTTTCAGACGTGGAGAGCTGGTCCGCTTAAGCTAGGGAGGTTCTTGTGTAGTGAAAGATTTCTGATATAGGGGCTGGGGATTTAGCTCAGTGGTTCCGGCACCTGCCTTGAAAGAGCAAGGACCCAAGTTCGATCCCCGGTACCAAAAAAAAAATCTAAAAGATTTCTGATATAGCCAAGAAACCTGATTAAACTAATATTAATGCCACGTTTAACATTTGAACTTCTTTTTTTAAAGGCTCGATTTCTTTTGTCCAAAGTGAACCCATCTCAGACACACAATAACCTGTATGCTTGGGGACAGGTAAGAAATTGTCAGGGATTTGGAAAGGAGGGCAGGCTACATTTTAAAAACTTGTTTTAAAATCCCATCAACCTTGACCCTTTAGTCTTGAGACAGAAGAGTAACTTGGGTAATTTTGCTGAGGGGAAGAAACCTGACTTGTAATGACATATTGAGGTGGGGTGGAGCCGCTGCCCCTGTGGGTCACTGGTGCAGTGTGCAGTGTGGTGAACAGGGTGTGGCTGGGGTGGGACGCGGCCTGCACCTCTGCTCCGCTCCTGGATAGTGGCAGCGGGCAGGCCCCCATCCTCTCCTGCCTAGCACCACACAGCAACTCCTGCCCACTCCTTTCATCTTGGTGGGATGCCTCCTTTAGCTAGTTATTCCCAGTATGTCTCTCCAGTGACTTCTCATTGTTTTCTTGTAATATTTTTTTTAAATGAACTTGTTTTTGAGATAATCGTAAATTATGTGCAGTTGTAGGAAATAATTTAAAAAATGAGATCTCCTGTTACTCTTTCCTCATTTTCCACTAATGGTAACATCCCAATGTTAAGTGACATGGAAAGGTGTATGCTCGAAACTATGTCTGCACAGTGGAGTGGCCTGGTCTCCGGGGACCTCACATTTTAGTTGAGAGTAGCAGTTACCCCGGCAGAGGTGACACCTGTGGATGCTCTGAAGTGGAAGGTGCTAAACAGCTCCTAAATTCTACCCAGCTTCTGGTCTTTGCCGTTGAGCCTCCTCCATTGCATTTCAGGAAACCGGAGCGCCCATCCTGACGGATGACGTCAGCCTGCAGGTGTTCATGGACCATCTGAAGAAGCTGGCCGTGTCCAGTGCCTGTTAGGTGGAGGGCCGGCTGGGATTAAGAAAAACCCTGTTTAGTGTGCTCACTGTTGTTTATAAAGGCTTTGTAACATTCCCTTCACTTTCCTGGCAGCTTCTTTTTTTTTTTTTTTTTTGCCACTGGGGATCAAACTTGGTATCTTTCACTTTCAAGGCAGGTGGGGGAACCACTGAGCTAAATCCCCAGCCCCCTTGGCAGCTTTTAATAAGTAAATCAGAGTAAGTTTTGTATGTAAGTCTGTAGGTTATAATTTATTTGTCTCCCTTGTATACGTCCCTTTTCTGTATCATAAAATTGTAAGGTCATAAACGTTTTAGTGGATGTTTATGTGCCTTTTGTGTCCTAACTTTTTAGTCTCTATGAAATCAGAGATAATGTATTTTGGCAGCTTGTTTCGACTCAAGTATTAAGGATCATAAAGGAAACAACTGGATGAGGAAAGCACTGGCTAAAACAATGCTAATACACATTTGATTCCCTGAGGTCTCCATGTGTCTGTGGGTTAAGTGACTTCCTCAGAAGGCATTTTCTGAACTTAGTACTCACTGTCTAAATATTAGGAAACCAAGGAAAAGTAACACACGTGTGAAGCTCTACTGGGGCCAGAGGTTTGGGGCCTGCCTGAGTAAGTTGCCTGTCCACAGTCCAGCCTGGATGACATCAACAGTGGTTGATGACTTAAGTGACTCCAACACTGACAATGCATCTGTCTTGGGTAAAATAACTTAAACAGGTGCTTTTAAAGAGCAAAAGCCTTAATTTTGAAAATTTTTAAATTAATTTTTAAATTTTATCAGTATTTGCTTTGTGGTTCATGCTTTTTATATTTTAAAAAATCTTTGCTTATCCCAAGATGGCAAAATTTTCTTCTTTGATTTGTTCTAGATTTATAGTTTTTGGGGGTTTTTTTTGGTACTGGGGATCAAACTCGGGACCTTGCGCTTTCGAGGCAGGAACCGGAACCACTGAGCTAAATCCCTGGCCCCCTAGGTTTATAGTTTTAACTTTACATTTAAGCCAGTGAAGCCTTTAATTTTTGGAGGTGTAGATTTCCGTAGGCAGAACACCAAGTTTTAAAGGCTAGGCAATGGTCAGGCATGCTGGCGCACGCCAGCAATCTCAGCACTCAGGAGGCTGGGGCAAGAGGATCACCGGAAGTTTGAGGCCAGCCTGAATTACATAGTGAGACCCTGTCTCAAAAAACAAAATAAATAAATTAAAAGAAAAAAAAAGGATAAGCAGTGGAAAAGGAGCCCTGAAAGAGACCAAAGAGTAGCGGGAGGAGAGTGGGTTGTCAATGTTAAATGCTTTTTAGCAATTAAGTTTGAGTATGGGTGAAAAAAACAGGCCAATTTACTGAGCCTACTTTGGACCAAGCAACAGCCTCGCTCTCTCAAGTTGCTCAGTTTCTAGGAGCGTGGGTGGATTATACTTTAAGAAATGTGTGAATAAGAAAAGATGAAGGTGCACAGAGTCAAAGATTTTTTTTCGGTTTTCTGACGTGGGCACACTTGGCACGATGAAGATAAAATGAACAATGAAAATAAGCGGGCATGGGGCAGCACTGGGTGTGATTGGTAGGTGAGGCCTCAGCAGGAGGCTGAAGAATGAGACCCAGAGCACAGACGGGGTATTAGCTTTGACTTGAGCTACCCGAAGTTGACCCAGAGTTCCAGATTGGAAAACTGGAAAGATGAGGTGCAGAGAGAGCCACAAATAGCATCTTGGCAAATCCCGTAGGCTGTAAGAGGAAATAGAATTAACGTTTTCAAATACCATCTGGCCTATGTAAGGCAGGCATTGCAGTTATGCAAGTGAGAAGTTAATGCTCAGAAAAGCTGTCAACTGTTCCCCATCACGTGGCGTGCAGGGTGGCCTGCCCTCTGCTTGGCATCCGGTATCCCCAAGATCCTAGCCTCGGAGATGGAGTGGACTACATAATCCAACATGCATCGCGGCAGCCGGACGTGGTCGCTACGTTAGTTCCTCATTGGCGACGGCAGCGGATATCACGACTGACGACCGGAAGGCCTGGCTCCGCCTGCGCTTCGCGAGACTCAGGCTTTCCAGGCGAGACGTCATGCAGCCGCAGCGTGCCGTGTCCGGGTACCGGAAGCTGTCTATGGTCTACGGGCTAGGCAGCTGGACCCTGTTGGGTTCTGTACTTTACTTTTACGGGAAGAAGAGGAAGCTTTCAGGTAGGCCTGTCTGCCGAGACCTTCCTCGGGATCCGCTGCCCTCCGCGAGGTACCCAAGGATCAGGGACGCGACCTCTTGTGCTGTAAATCCTCAGGTCTATTCTACAAAAATGGTCGAGGCGGTTGTTTGCCGCATGTTATGCAATCTGTAAAGAGATGCCAGGAGATGCCCTTTAAATGCTGTCACTTAAACCTTATTTGTTGAATAAGGTCGTCCCCATACTCACAATTGGAAGAATCTGTAAAGTCCGAGATGGAATTTCAGAGACCTTGGAGTTGGCATAAAGAACTGAGGCTGTCATTAGCTCAGGTCGCACATGGCGAGCAACAACTTCGGAACTTTTAGCAGTTGAGGGATATAAAAGTCTTCCCAGTTACTGGGAAAAGGGAACCACAGCGCCATCACTAAGTGCTGGAAATCATACAGAGGGAAGAAAGTTGATGGGTGTGGTTATCGGGCTGAGGGGTGGGGAAGATGGGCGGTAACTGATAGAATTGCAGAACCTCCAGTGGACAAAAGTATTGGAAAGTTAATCGTGTTGCTGGTTGGGCAAATACAAGTTCAAAAAAAGCCGCTGAATTCTATCTTTTAAAGTGAGATAATTGTATGTTAAGTATATTTCAATGAAACATCATGAGTACTGTCAGTGACATTGCAGTATTAAATATCTGGAACATGTCTGTAATGTCATGTTTTTCTTTTTTTAAAGAAAGAAAGTGATAGCTGGCATCTGATACCATAATTTTTAATTTAGTCTATTTCTGAGACTTGAATGATTGGTCTCTTTAATTCAGGTATTCCTTTTCTTTTAGAAGGTTATGAAGTAGAACAAAAGGATCTCCCAAGAAGTGAAATCGCCCCCGAACCCTCGAAAGGGTTTTATGTGGAGACAGTCGTTCTATATAGTGAAGATTATGTTCCACTTTCTGACAGGATCCGTGATTTTGTGAAAAAATGGACTGGTGATTCTGGTTCAGAACCATGATTGGCTGCTGAATTCTAAAAACAAGGACTTTGGCTCAGCATATAAATATGATAGATGCCTTGATTTCTATTTTATGTTTGTGGAAAGCATATATTTATGTTGTGAAATATGAAATAAATATTTCCTTGAAAGAAACTAAACTTACATAGTTCAAGAGGTATTTTCTATATGGGGAAGGGTTGATATGAAATTTCATAGAGGTTCCATAAGCTCAGTTTTTTTGAAACCAATGCATCTGACTTTTTTTGCATGCTGCTATTAAAGCCTTAGTGGTCCCTTTAAAGTTAGTAGCTGGGTGTAGTGGCACACACCTGTAATCCTAGCACTCCAGAGACTGAGGCAGGAGGATGGTGTAACTACAGAGACGCTATCTCAAAAAGGAAAAACAAAAACATTGCAAATAACTGAGCCCCAGATGCCAGCAGCAGAGACCTCAGCTTTCCATGGGACATGAGCGGTAAGAACAGGTCAGTTGGATCAGTTTGGTTGGCATTACGCTGATGAGCAAGAAACAGCACAACAGTGGCCAGGGAATGTTAGAGGAGCTGGTCAGTGGGAACAACAGCATGGCCTCAGGGGAAACGTCATTTCAGAGTCTGGAAAGGGCAAGAGCTGAGGGACCTGTTATGTGGCAGGTGAGATCTGTTTGTTCATCGATCACACCTACGATACACTATTGGACTTCTCTCCCCTGGCACTTACCCAGTACCCATGAACTAACTAGCGGGACTACAGGGGACACTTGGCTTTGCCTTCCCTGAGACTTGGTGGGGTTTATCTGACAGACCACCGAATTGCCCTCCCTCCCATTGAAGGGCAGCCGTCTCTTGGGCTCCGAAGCCATCTCTGTCGAGTGGTGGTGCTTGGACCCTGTAGCCACTTCATATACATCTGGAGCTGACACTGCTGCCTTTCTCATGAGCCTGGTTTTTTGTTTTCTTGGAGAATATTTGGTTTCTGAAATAGTCTGAAGTCCTTCACTCTGGACTTATCTTCCTGTTGTTTTTCTAGTCACCATGTCCTGTCACTTCAGTATCACCCACTGTCACACATCATTTAGTGATGGACACGTTCCTCAAAGCTTATTGCTAGGTGACTTCTCATCACGTGAACGTCATCAAGCTGACTCAGGACACCAGCTGTATGGAACAGACCTGCACTGCTGTTACTGTGCTGGAACACAGTGGTACCTGTGTATCTATGCATACAAAGTACAGTAAATCACCCCATAAAAGGTTTAAAATCAGGTGGCCTGCAGGGTGTGTCGTGTGAATGATGTTTCCTGGTCAGGAAGGTTCACTGGCTGGTTTATCTGAGTTGGAGGCTCGATAAACACTACACTGCAGCTATCCTGAACTCATCAAACTACTTTTCTTCAGTAGTAAATTAGCTTACTGCAACTTTTCTGTTTTACAAATTTAAATTTTTAAAAATTGTTGACATGTAATAACAGGTTTTAACACAAATATGTTGTATAGCTGTATAAAATTATTATTATTATCAGTAGTAGTAGTAGTGCTTAGGATTGAACCCAGGCTTTGACACTGAGCTACACCCCCAGCCCCCCCTTGTTTTTTTTTTAATTTTGAGAGTCTTGCCAAATTGCCTAGGCAGGGCTTGAATTTATAATCTTCCTGCCTCAGCCTCTTGGGTGCTGGATTACAGAAGTATGCCACCATGTCCTGTCCTTGGGTGACTGAGTCCGGAGGATCTGTCTGAATTTAAGACCAGCATGGACCACATAGCAAGACCTTGTCTCAAAAAGCAAAAACAAACAAAAAAAAGAAGTGGCAAAACCCAAGTGCTAATACAGTACACTGGGTTAAACAAAAGGAGGCAGGTGTAGAAAAGTAAACCATATAAGAAGATATGTGTAGGGCCAGGGATTTAGCTCAGTGGTTCTGGCGCCTGCCTCGAAAGTGCAAGGTCCCGAGTTCGATCCCTGGTACCAAAAAAAAAAAAAAGAAGAAGAAGATATGTGTAAAGGAATTTATTTATTTTTTGGTACTGGGGATCAAATTCAGGTCCT